TCGCTAGCCCAGTGAAGTTCCCCAATGTCTCAACCGCACCCGCATCCATTGTATACAAAAATGCATATTAGTGTAGAAGTAGTGAAGTAGACTAAGAAGATTTCATAGTGATGAGGATTAAGGAGATCTGTGTAGATCTTCAGTTAATTCATTGTGCATTTTGCCCTCAACTACAAACGCTTCCTCCCGCAGTGCTACAATTGGTAGCACTTCCTGGTTACCTCGCCCAAGCCCCGTTCAACTGCTGTAGCTGTACGTAGCCAGTGAAATGGTTGATGTTGAGTGCTTCTTGCTCGACTTTTCGTGCCAAAGAGTTGCTAACAAGCTGGCTGCAAAGCTCGTGTGAGCTGGTGCACTGCGAGCTTACCTAACAAGCTGGCTGCAAAGCTCGTGTGAGCTGGTGCACTGCGAGCTTACCCCAGTAGGTCATTACTCTGCATGACTGCTTGGCCACGGGAGTTAATAAAACGAAGTAGTTTTAGTAAAACAACGCAAGTTTTAGATCAGCCAATGACAGAACGGTGGGGAAGCTTACTTTTACGTCGAGTGCAACTTCAGTTTAGGTTAAAATTGGATGGTTTTAGGAGCTAAAACAAGGGGCAAAATATGTGAAAAGCACAATACTATCTATACACGTACCGTACAACTTGGTCGTTAAGATAGACTACTATTAATAGTAAATGCTTATACTGTTAAGTACGATTGTTGTGGTGCTAGACGGAAGAGTAGTTGTGGTTGGAGACTGGCGGCATCGTCCCATGCCCCCACTAGCGTGACCCTCAACGACGAAATGCAAACTCTACGGCGTGTAGCTGGTTCGCGTTGATCGTTACGAATACCCCCAACAATGGATGAAGTTTCAATCGTGTTACTTGCTGCCTCCAATAATTAATTCAAACACTAAAATGGCGGTCAACACCACGATGGCCAAGTACAGGCGAAAGTTGCTGCTCTTCTTGGCCAGGATCTGCGCCCGGTCCCCTTCTGCTTCAAGGCCGGTGGTGGCGCGGTCGACGTCCACGTTGATGTCGTCGAGGAGTCGCACATGCAGGTCCGTTTCATTCTTCACCGACAAGCTATACTGCTTCAAGTTGGACACGCCCTGCCCAATCAAGCTGAGTTGATCGTCTTGGTCTAAAAGGATTTCAATGTATGTCAGCCTACAAGTTGCTACAATGGGGGGGAACATGCACCTAGCATGATTTGGTTCTGCACACGAAGCATTTGGGCTCCCGATTCGAGCGTGGATGATCTATTCCATGTATCAGCATCATCGTCGATTGTACACGAATTGATGGGAGAGAAGATTTTGACCAACCCCTTGGTACCCTGTGCACGGTTGTTGTACGCTGCTAAGAGTGACCTTGTCTGCGTTTCCAGATCTCGCAACAGATCTTCCCGACGTCGTAGTTCTTGCGGCGTCGCCACGGCGTTCGTCGTGGAGCCACTCGTCATAGAGTCGAACTCCCGACGCAGCCGCGACACACTTTGCTGCAACGCGAAGACACTCGTGCCCAAGTTGGCGACGTTTCCGGACCGAATCTTCGTGCTTAGATTCTTCTCGGACGTGCGCGCATTCTCCAGCCTGTCCAGCCATGCACTCCATGCGCTTGCAGTCGCTTGGCCTCCCGACATGCTGGTTCGTTTTCTTCTTCGTTCGATTTTTGGAACTGTTGTCAAGAAATATAAATAAAACGTTGAACTTACTCAAACACAATGTATGGAAGTAAAATCATTTCAATAGAATTAGCAAACGTCCTCCACTTCAATTGAGGCTGGGATTGGTCAAAATTCATTGAAGTACTCCAGATATACTATTTTAATAGTACTAGTATTTGTAAATCTAGTATTAATATTAATACTTCGAAGTACTATTAATACGTATTAATACTACTAGTATTTGTAAATCTGGACTACTAATAGCACTATTAATAATAGTACTATAATTTTCAGTTACAATTTATCGTTCCTGAGCATTTGATTGGCTAATGGTCCTTTTCGACCCAACAAGTCAATTGCCGAAATGATCATGCCAACACTTTGGGCAGTGACTGTCGCCGCCGCTGCGGCGCCAACCGTGGATGCTTCTCCTGTACAAGCATTGCAGGGTGTGTTCCCTGACGGAATTCTCTAATGGATCCGTTTTGTATAGTCGGAGAGCAGCCACTTGGGCAGTTTTATCCGCACCCTACAGGAACATCCATGGACATCTGCCATTCTCGGGCGACCGCTTGACCTCCTGGTGCATGTCCATGCTCATGCCGACGTCGTCTCACACCATTCGTAGTCTCCATATCTTCGAATGGAGTACGCACTGATTGGACTTGCGTTCGTCACCATGACTGCCTCCCTCTTGATGCCATATCTCATTAATCTGTTCGTACCTCCTTCGTCGTCGGCCGATGCACGGGCCGAAATCGAGCGAGCGATCGTCACTGCACGTTTGGATGCTGCGTCCAAGCGTCCCAACGCTTACCCCCCGCACTGTCCTGTGCGCACGTCGAAAGGCGGCGATGCCGTGGTAACCATACCGCGGCACTCCCTTCCTTCCTTGCAACTCTTCATTAACCAGGTAATTCCTGACTGCAGGTTCAACGGTACAACGCATCCCTTGACACATACACGTTGACTTCGTCTGGTGTGGACGTCCCAGCGTCTGATGTCGTCGCTACTACCGTGGCCGATTTGTTCATTTACCCCATCAAATCGTGCGGCGGGATTCGGTTGACGCGCTCCCACGTGCTTGGTACGTCCGTCCCTCTGATTCTGATTCTCGAAACGACCGACACGTCTGATTCTGTCTCACGGGATGATATGCATGTATCTGAGTCTGAGTCTGCGTCCAGGGCAAGGGTTGCAATACGACCGGCAATGGCTCGTCGTGGACGACAAAGGCGACTTTGTCACACAGCGCAAGTACCCGTCGATGGCTCTGATTCAACCGCATCTGACTCTATTCGATCCGTCGTCCATTCGCTCTGCAAACGTACGACCTCATGTTGCTATCTTTTGCCAGTGGCTTTTGCTGTGATATCTATGTCTTTATATAGTGTTGTCCTTGTCATTCGATATTGGCGAAATCAAAATAGATGTTACAGTCGTGGTTGACGCTTATTCAATGTACTATAGTATTGTCCTGTTCGGTAACAATTTTGGACAACTCGTATTGTGCTTTCGAGTGAAATTTCATTGTGTTGTGGTTTCTCGTTGGAATTTAAATCGATTTGATTGGCTACTTCAGAAGAGCTCAAAATTATTAGCCAGTCCAAACCTTCTCAATGAAATTCAACCAATCAGATCGATTGTGGATCGGATATTTCTTAAATTTAAAATGGGGTTTTAATATAAATAATTTAACATTATTTTTTTTAAGAATTTAAATTATAAATAGCTAGGACATTCTCAAATACATTTGCCTAGTTGATTCGATTCTCCCCCATGGACACAGATTTGACAATGCATACATTTCAAGATGAACGTGTTGATTGGGCCAAACTAGTACTGGGTCGTCAAACATTTTTCGGATCGACGACGATTGGTTGAAATATTTCGTTTGTGCACTTTGATTGGCTAGGGCGTTCTACATTTTACAACTTTATTCGATTCCTAAACTCGGAACAGTCGAAATTGATTTTTTAATAATACTTTTGACTAGTAACGTTACTACGTTTTTAAGCAGGATTTGGCCATATTATCTCGTCGATATTTTTACTACTTGGTTGAATTCACAGGCCATCACGTTAACCGCAACCAACGGCGCCCTCGACCCTCTGGTCGTGCCGGTGCTCACTCGCGGCGTCCAGCGCAGCGTTCGTGTGTGGAAGGATCGTCTGGATGCCATCGATCAAGGCGACGCCGCCGCGGCTTGGCTGGCCAAGTTTCTGGGGAACCCAACCTTTCGCCTAGTGCGGCTCAAAGATGCATTCAAACGCCCGTGCGATCCCGAGTTTGCCCCCGATCATATCACTGGTACAATTCTCTATGTGAAAATGGATGGACAACATAGTACATAAAATGGGTTCCATTGCTGGCAGAAATATACTGTTGGGGGGGAATATAGACTGGAATTTTGTGTATCAACGATGATATTATTAGGGTTTGCGGACGGGTTTCCGATTTTAGTCGCGGCCGCCGCGTCGCTCACTGCGTTGGAGCAAAAACTGGATCGACCTCTCGACATCCTGCGCTTTCGACCCAAGTTCGTTATATTCTCAAATATATATATATATATATATTGTCCTTTTCGCTGAAATTTGGTCTTGCGAGAACCGACTTGTGTCAGATTGTAAGCTTCTTCCAACGTTTAATATTGTGCTTTCAAGCTAAATTTGGTATTTTCGGTAGATTCGATGAACCACGTCAAATCGTTTTACTTGAACTAACTATACTCACTGCGAATCGTGTTGATACAATGTTGAACTCGTTGTGAAATGGAGAACCTTGGCACCGGATACTCCTACGATTTGATTGGTCAAAGATCTTTTTTCGATAATTTCATTGGCTACTTCGGTCCATCGATTACTCCGTCGATTTTGCTTCGTCGATTCAATTGGCACCCCCAGTCCATTGTGAAATCGAATTATTACCAATATATGTACTTTTTGGTGGGGGCCAAACTGCTCGACCAAACGTTGGCGATCGATGATTGGTTCAAATTTCTGAATAATCGTGTGATTTGATTGGCTAGGACATTAGCCATTGGAACGAATTTGACAATTTTGGCTAGAAATGCTAATTATATATGGAACGTGGCTGTAGCATCGTGCTGGCAGGGTGTCCAGCGTGGGCGGACGATGTCTATCATGTGTTTGATATTCTGGGCCAAGATGGCAACTTGCGCTTTTGCAATGTCAAGCCATGCTCCCGATGCTCGGTGCCGTCGGTAAATCCGGCGACGGGCGCCAAGGACGACGAGGTGGCCGGGACCATCAGCCTCCAAGACGTGTTGAAAGCCCACAGGTACTGTAGGTACCTATGATTTGGGAACATTGCGAAGATGAATATATGTTGTTTGTGGGAGCTTGCATGGACGAATAACGAATGGAAGATGCTCCAAATATACTAAATCGAGAGATATTTCGGCGATGATGTGGTAGAAATGGCAAGCAATTGGGCTTTTTGAAGGGGGCGGCGCATGAGGTATGTTGTTGACGCATAATAATGTTTATTTATTTTTCAAATATATATATCTTGTGGAGAATGCACGTACTATTATTAGCTGGGAGAATAGACGACGACGTGAATTTGTTGATATACGATTCTAACTCGATCTTTTGTAGGTGTTTTTTGGTTCGAATGTCGTATGTGACAACACCGGAGTTATTGCCGTGGGGGATGTCGTCAAAGTCCTGGCGGTCAAGACGGCCTAATATCTTGACCAGACTTTAATATATATATATATTGCACGACACCGAATACACTAGTGCACATTGTGAGTGTTTAATAGTTTTAAATAATCTAGTGTGTAGTCGTCCATCATGGTTGATAAGACCGTGTATCCTGCGCGACAAGTGATCAAAACTACGAGATAAAAATACTAGTGTGATTGATTACTGAGCGGCAGATTGCTTTCTGGGGATGTGAAGGGCCGGCAGGGACCGCGGCACACTGCCCTTGACCGACAGGAGTAGCAGCGGCTCCATGGAACATTCTTTCGTAGGGGACGACGACGACTGGTGTAGTGGGGATAGTAATTTCGATTCCCCTACACTGTGGAGAGAGGCACTGCTGTTTGTGGACGGTGTGAGCTCAGTGTCACCCAACATGGGGGACGTCGATTTGGACATGCCGTCCAAAATGACAGGGTTTTCGCCTGCATCGTCGGTATTTTTAATTGTATTGGCAGCCACGAACGAGCTGGAGAAGGCTCCTGAAGGAGGCGGGGGGTGCGCGGGGGACGGGGGCTTTACAGGGGGCAAGCCGGACGAGTCGCCAACGTGCGGCGCGCTCGACGCATGCGCTGAGGAGAGGGGCTGGTGGGGATTCTGGTCCCATTTACTAGTTTCGCCGTCATGGAGGCTGGTACTGCTATAGCTGCCATGACCGACGGCCCCCCGATCCATGGGGCTATCAAATCGACCGGCGGCATCGACTGGTGCCAGATTGAGCTCGGCTATTCGCCCGTCGTTGAGTGGTAGGGGCTTTGGGCACGTCCATGTGTCGAGTAGATGTCGCACTTTGGAAAAGTAGGGCTTGGCGGCCCCCGCCGATAGTTGCAGGCATGCCATGGTCGTGCGGCCGACGACAGCGTCGCATATCGTTGCCGTCGTCGACGCTGTTGCGTGAGTGTGTTCTGAGAGCAACTTGGTCAGCAACGTCCGCGTCAGGTTGAAGATACATTCGAGTGTGCGCAGCGTGAGCAGGGGCAGGGCGTTGAACGCGGCGCCCGTGGCCAGCACGACCTTGGGGTGTTGGACTATTGGAACTTGGAGGTGCTCGAGCCAGTCCAAGAGTAGCCCCCCGACGCACTCGGGTGGAATGTCTGAGAACTCGCCCGTGTTCATTTTCACTTTGTGTGGCCACAGTTCGTCCGCCGCTACGACCATCGCTTGGCCGAGCGGCGGCACGTCCGAGTCGGTCCCCAGCAGCCCCTTCATGTGCTCAAAATGCGATGCCATACTCCCGTCAGACGTGGCGGGGAGGTGCGTGATGTAGATCATGCACAACGACTGGGCGTTGGGGGAAGCAGCAGCAGCAGCTTCAAGGGATTTGCATAGAAATGACACCTACACTCTTATAGATGATATATATTGTGGTTTCAAGATACCTACCACTCTGGGGGGCGCGATGCCAAGTGTTGAGCGCAACGAGTGGATGTATTGCCGGCCTTCCCGCTCGGCCATCTCGTGTAGAGTAAATCGGTCGTGGATCGATGGCATTGCATATACTAATAATCAACACACAAAGGTTCACAGAGAGAGAGCAATGTTAGAAGGACACAAACGAGCATAGTGTGTCGTACATACCAAGTTTTGAGCCGTGAGTGTAGTCGTAAAACAGTCGGATAAACTCCACTTGACCAGGCGTTTGGATGGATCCTGGCCGGCCGCGGCGGACAATATCTGTCGCCTATGATAAATAATCGTATTATATATGTCCAATATAAAGAGATTATATATGTCCAATATAACGAGATGAGCGGTGTACATTTTGAGGGGAAATGTCGTGTTGAAACACCAACGCGCATGCAATGGCAAGTCCCGTGCGGCCTGCAGAAATATATATTTTATTAAACATGTTTCGTGAGTATGAATTTATAGTAAATATATATATATCCTACCAAACCCGGCGTGGCAATGCACCGCCAACTAGAACACGGCGTTTAGACCTGTGACATCGTCGTACTACTGGCGATGGAGTACCTTTTGATTCGCACAGCTGAGCACGCCCGTCATGACCTTGACGAGATCAACCATGAAAGCCAGCGTGGGGGTTGTCATGTCTTCCCATCCAAAATTGTAGCATTGGACTACCGGTAGACCAGGTATGAGTATATATATATATTGGATCAATCCAATGCAACCCACTGTTGTGCGCCATAAGGTCGGTTTCCGGGTCGTACGGAAACCCACTGGCCACGAGGCCGTCGCCACAGTACGGATGCTCTCCCGGCAATGTCAAGTTGAACACAGCTTTGATCTTCAGCCTGCATATCCAGCAGTCGATACATGCATAAGCACCCCTGTATCGCGATCAACGATACGGCTACCTCTGGAACTGCTCGACAATACGATACGCTTGAAACAACCGCGACGATGGCCGCATCATGCCTAGCATCGAGTCGGTGGCCCAGTCGGCATGGAGGCCAGTCACGGGACTAGTTGGTTTGGCCAATGCAGCAGATTCACTGCACCGTCGGCACTTGGGACCACCGCAGAGCCGACATTTCACCGTGAGCGATTTCTCCCACTCCCGCGGCCCCACGACACCGGGCTTGGGAGGGGATTTGGGAGGAGACGGCGGTGCCGCAGAGTTCTCTCGTGAAGAGCGCAATGGACTCGTTTTACCAGGACTGCGTTGACTCGGACTTCCTTGCGACGGCCTTGTGGGGCTGCTTGGCGCGGACATAACGACCAGTCACGACGTTCCCAACGGACGTTGAAAGCACGAAATCCCTGCACTTTGACTTTTTTCACCCACGTAATACCGGAAATATGGGCAAATATCCGGCTATTTGTTTAAGGTAAACGGTAAAACGTACTTCAACTCGCTCGAAAGGGCACGACAAGATCCAACATGTCATACCATAGCGTCGGAGTGCGCAACCGCGTCCAATATGCAACCCAGCGAATCGAGCAGCTCGAGTCCATAGATAAGCGCCATTGGAGGCTTGAAGAAAACGCTGTCGACAACAACCACTCGGCATGTGTGGTCATGCTATCTTCGTAGGTCCCCGTTTTTATCTTTCCATGCGTCAAGTTGTTGACCAGAACATGACTCTGGCCCCTTAGGTATATCGAGACGAGCCTGCGACAGGCCAAGTATCACCACGGGTTTCACAAAGCCGTATTGTGTGTGGAAATCTTCAAGCACATGCTGTTCAACCTGGACCGGGAGGCGCTGTCGCCATTGTTTGTGTATTGTGAAGCTATGGAGCACTTCGTCGCTTCGATTCACAAAACCAAAGCCCTAGACGGAGCTAACAATGCAGGAGTGTCCCCGTTGTCTCCATCACCCACAACAACAGCACGGGATACGCTATCCCCTCGCTTCAAACGCAGTGGGGTCGCCCCCATGCCGTTAACGATTCCCCTCACGCCAGGACGGCCAAAACGATTCATCGAGTTGCCCAAGCAGGAACGACACGTTCTCCAAGTAGCGTTTTATCTCAAAGATGTCCTGACCAAGCTGGCTGGGAGCATTGGTTCGAAACCGGCAGGCAAGTTCAAGTCCCATCGCATGCCGGTTGTTGCAACGTCGATGACAACTACTACCGTGGATATCCTTCCGTTGGACGTTGTTCGAGCCCTTCGAGCAATCAAAACCAAACTTCGCAAGAACGAATTCTTTGCCGACTTGCCCAACTTGGTCGCTGATGCCGGTACTTCTAACGTTTGTCAAAGTGGCAGCGCCTTATTGATCTACCACTCGTTCGTTCATAGGGAAAACAAGCAAAGGTGGCGACTCCCGTCAAGCCAACACCCATCAAGCCTTTTCGAGTTTCTTCCTCTGTCTGCATGAAGTCGTCCGAAGCACATCGTACCACAGCATTGAGCTTGCCGATGGAGCGTTCGACTTACTCGGGGAAGTTCTCCGAGCGATCCAAAACTACATTGTCGAGGTACCGTTCGTGAATCGAAACAACATAATGTAGTACAAGATTGACCTATTTGGCGGCATATGTATGTAGGTGGTAGGCCAACGAAAGGAGCACAGGTCGCGCATTCGTGGCTTAAGGGCGCTGCGTCAGCAACTTCGAGCGCAATTCGCAGCGATGGAAGCCGAGACTCACGATATCGCCCAAGAAGCCATCAAGTTGTCCACGGTGCTCAGTGCGATCGAGTTTGAGCTCGACGTGCTCCACGACGAGTGCGAGTGGCATGCCCAAAGCAAACGCCTATTTCTCGACACTGTACGATACCAAGCTATTCAAGTTGGGTTCTGTGTATACACCCTTTTGATTCCCCCAACTTGTTGTATGCTTGTGACCTAGATTGGTGCATTGCGCGACGCGAGCGACCAGCCCCCCCTTGTGTTTGTCAACGCGGACGGCTCCAGCAAAGTGCTGCAGCCGGGCACTGCGATCTTGCGGGCTGAGAACGTGCCCCACATCCGGTACCTCGTGCAGCTACTTGCTCTGTCGCGAAGTTTCGTGCACGTTCGATTGAACGATCCGCGTGTGATGGACGCCAACCCGAGCCGAAAACTGACGTTGAACAAAATGAATCACCAAGGCCGCGCGGAAACGCTCAAGATGCACTTGATGAACCAGCGGCCGCGAGACGCGGCGGCCGTAGTGGTGGACCCTACCCCTCCACCCAACGGCAACGAGGGGGCGGCAGGGGGGGCTTCGCCGGGGGATAAATCCGCGGCGGCGGCGGCCAACGCCTTGCACAAGGTCACGGACGCAGAACTGACCGCCCTGTCCTCGATCCACGAATGTCTTCGAGGTACGGCATGTCGATGCGAAATGGCTTCACGAATTGATTTCCACGATTCACAATTATGTTTGTATATACACTACAAACGTACTGTAATATCTATACATATATAAATAATTGTGTAGCTGTCGAAGGGTTCATGGGGGACGAAGCTCGCCGCGACCACTCGAGCACAGTCTCCACGGGTTGTCAAATTGATGCATCGGTGCACCTTCTTGAAGACGTCAAGTACGATAATTCGCTTCCCCCAACATACATATACAATTCGGTGAAAAATCCTCTGCGCGATGGGTGTAGCAACCCTGCGGACAGCATCTCTAGCGGTGGGGTGTCATCAGGTCCGGACAACTCGACGGGTGCCGTCGTGCTAGCTCGAGAACTGGCCAAACTGCCGATGCCATGGCGGACGGCGTTTTCACTGCTGCATGACGATGAAACTGCGACGTTGTTGTCCAAAGATGAGATGCTGCACGACGTGTCAGCTATCTACGCCGCGTACGACGACGTACGATGACCATCCAACAAATGACACGAATTTGAATGTATCGGAAGAAGTTGTTTCACTTGGGAGCTTAGATGCTCGTGCGGCCCAGCCACCACGACGAAGTCATATTGAACACCACCACCCTCCCGTTCACGGCATTCGTCATGTCGTACTTTATGGTGTTTCCCCGCAAAGTGCCTTCAACATCACACGAATCGTCTGCCGACAGTAAGACCACATATACGTATGACAGTGATCGTGATGTGTTTCGGTGTGCAAATGAAGCCTCGTGGGAACGACCAGCCAGCCAGTCAGCCCTGTTCACATTTGACACGTATTTGGTGCTAGGTTGCATCGAACCGGACGCTGAAATCCGACAAGGGCCAGCATGGGCGAGCTGGGAATGTGCGCGGCTCGTCGTGTCCGTTCAAGTCCACGTGCAGGGGGCGGTGGGGGTGGACTGGCTCGGGTACTTTGCCGTGTTTCTCGGGCTCTCCAGAACGCTGACGTTGCCGCTTCCGCGGGCGCTGGACGCGTTCCTCTTGGCGCGGCGCATGCTCTATGCGACCACCGTAATGCGCCAGCGGCATGCCGATCCGTCGTCCATGGATGTGATCTGGGTCATGGCCAAAGACGCGATGCTGCCGAGCGCCGCGTACTCGTTGCATACGACGGCGGTCAAGATTCTCGGCACGTTCACTCGAACCCCAGGTACAACGAGAACGTCAAGTTCACATTGCAGCATGTGAAGTGTGTGATTGCTTGTTTGGTTGATTATTACTAAGTATATCAATTTCTTCAATTTGTACACATGATTTTCCCACACATCAAGTGGGATGTTGTGTCCAAGTATGTACTAAGTAGTCGTAGCCAATGGTATTCCTCGCGTAGTTAGATTGCCCAATGCAGGCGTATTTGTATCGTGTGGAGAACTTTCCTGTGTCGGTTTGGTTACAAATATACTACTAGTACTAGTAACAGTTATAGTGATGCTGAACTTTCGTGGGCTCTAACATGCCTAGTTTGACGCAGCTTTGAACACTGAGTTTTCAATGCCACTACTAGATGTATACTTGAATGTGCTTGCGGATAAGAGCACGAGTGTCGACTTGTTCACTGAAGACGATGTCGGCAACCGCGGGGTCAGTGCGGCGCTGGTGCTGCATGTCGACACGGCCTTGTTGGTGCTCATGCAAGCCTGGGTGCGAGAGCACCACCACACACTCCAAGTCCTCCAACGTACGTGCAAAATCCACCATATATATTCTACTTTATGTCAGTAATGTTGAAAAATGATATATCATTTTGGGGTGATATATATATCACTTTTGTACGTGGTAGGGATCTTTGGGGCGGCGTTGACCCACGACGACGGGTCAATATCGTACGGAGAGTTCGTGACCATGTGGGGGTTCATCGACTCGACGATCCCGCTGGATCGGCTGTGCACCATCTACATGCATGTACAATCTACCCGTTGATTGTCATTCGTGTTATCCAAAAGGATATATATATATTGTGGATTCGCTATAAACTTCCCAAATTCGCCTGGTTTGTCTAATCAATATTGAATCACGCTGGAGTTCTGATTGGTTGAATACACTTGTCCTTTCTGCAAGAGCCAATCAAATCCACTCAAAAAATGGATTAGCCAATAGCGTCGATTCGTCATTCGATTCATCGATTCGACGGGGTCTGGAAATTCGTATCGAATCCACAATATATATATATATATATATCTATGGATAATGGAAATGTGTTCCCATACGACAACATATACTGTCGTTTGCAATTCGTATGAGAACGAATGGTTTCTTTTTCATGCTCCTGGTCTTGTGGACTTCCGAAACTTGGATTTTTATGTACTACGTACCGGTAGTTGATATACTATCAATCAAATACGCTCCAGTGTAGCTCACTAGCTTTTGTGTGGCGACTTCGAATCAATGGTCCTGGTTTGATGTGACTATTTGTAGGCAGCGCAGCACGACAGTGCGAGTGCCTGTGGCGATGCGGCCACGACTCACTTGATTCAATCGCTGTACACGAGCGAGTGCTTTGCCGAGCTCAAAAAGCCATGGGTACGAACACACAAACGATGGAAAGGATGGGTGTCGTCTTGGGGAAGTTGTGGGGATGATTGCGATAGCTGGGTGTACTTGGTCGCTTGATCTTGATCCTCGACACTGGGTATAGCTTGTTTAAGTTGTGTGAGGGCGTCGTGACTGTGGGATGGCGGTCACATACGCATTACGAATGAATCATGTGGGGGTGGGTAGTCAGTCTAGCTCAAGGACATGGCTTCTGAATTGGACAATATCATCACCGATGGCGCGACGTATACTCTATATGTTGTTCTTTTTCCTGGGGATTTCTTGCGCATTTGCACCCGAACGGGGGCTTGACTTGATGGGAATATATATATATATATTTATGTGTTTGCCAGCCTCCATCTTGTCACCCACACATGTGACTTTGATGATGGCGGCTATAGTTGGGGGTGTCGGCTATGCATGTGGCCTGCCCCCACCAGCGCGTGTGGGACGAAGGCGTGGACGGCCTTGTCGCGATGTGGAGAGCGACGCGGGACCGCGTGCTGGATCGGCTCGGGGAGCTGAAAGCCACGACGCAAGTCAACCTGGCCATGGTGCACACGTGTGAGGAGCGGCAGGTCAAGTTGGAGCGTCTCTTGGCGGCGGCGACGGCCGTCGACTGCGACGACGTTCCCACGGCGGTCGAGATGGCCTGGTTTGCGTGTCATTTTCTCCAGCAAGATATTCACGCGACCACCCACGCCATCATGAGACAGCAGAAACCCAACAAGGTATTAATACCAAAGGTTATTCTAGTGTCGATATATATATATCTACGAGAAGTGGGGGGAGGGGTTGTTTGGGAATGCCATGTTACTGTATGATGTTTCGTACGCTAAACACGACGATGCGCGTAGAAACCACATCACTGGGCGCCACCGACGACCTCAAGCGTTGTGTCGTCGTCATCTAAAAAGGCAGGGGTGGTGGCAGAGGTATTGGTGGATCGTCGGAGTTCTGTCCCCCACATGCAACACTCGGAATGAAACCAAAGCTCAAACCTCTACCGGTTCACCGCCGCTATAAGACACATAACAACGGCAAATTGCTTACACGTTGGAGTGGGAGGGATAGGCCAACGTCAATATATTCTATAGAGCTTGTCGTTCATTTCGAGTATTCGATCCAAATGGGGGCTTCGGTCGTGAAAGGAGGCACGCCACCCCCCCCAAAGTGACCACCTCAAAACGAAGTAGTATCGTCCTTTTACCCAAAATTTGGCCTTTTGTGCTGATTTGCCAAATCTATCATCGATCCATGCTTTGTACTGACTTCATCCAATGTCACACTAATTTAATTCACACACTAATTCGGTGTTACACTAATTTAATTCACATACTGGTGTTGAATTGGTCGAAGAGTGCATTTGATTGGCCACTTGATTATGGTTCTGGGTTTGGATTGGTCGATCGATTGTCTGCCGATTTGGTGCTACTGACCCCCACACCGATAAAAATAATACCGATTGAGGGGTCCTATTGCATAGTACTATCACTTTAGTACTTATCATTAAAAGGTATATTGCTGCACGCTTGGCAAGCGAACGACGCTGGATGAACAGTATGTGTGGATTGTTACAAGTCCTGTACGATCTCCAAGTTGGCTTGTGAGAAGTACGCTGCTCGCTTCCTCTTCTTGGTGGTGGAAGTGGTCATGAATGCTGCAATGGATTGAGTTCCCACTGGCGCGTCCTATAACAATAAGGCATCATGTAAGCTATAGGAGAAGAGTTCAAGCTGTTCGACAGATACTGGCATGATACTACGATATGTATATATACTTCTTTGTCGTGTGGCCACGTCACGTCTACCAGGCGATTGTTGTAGCTCTCCAACGTGCCCCAGCTGAACCGGACAATGTTTGGGTAGCCAAACACGGGCTCGAGGGCGTCGTGGAGCCAGCGCTTGCACTTGGGGTCGCTCGGGTAGCCCGACCCGAAATCGGTGTCCAACTTCGCCAACCCCGACGACTCGTACTGCCACGACGCGACCACGGCATCCCGCGTCACCTTGGCGCAAATGCTGGCCGCACTCACCACTTTGAAGAGACTGTCGGCCTTCTTTTCCACCGTGAACACGATCTTCCCGTGGAAATGCTTGGTTAGGAACATGCGGTACCAGCCAGGGTCCCCCACCGTGTCGACGTACACGTGCTTGACGTTGACGCCGGCGTTCTGAACAGCGACAATCATCTCGATCGCAGCGTCGCGAGACATTTCGTTGAGGTTGCGCCGGCGAGTGAGCATGTTGTGCGAGATCTCGGTCGCGTCGATGGTCCGTGTGACGTACCCCATGTCTGTTGTGGCTTTTATTTTGTCGAAGAGGCGCTGTCGCGACTCGTGCGTCAACGCTTTCGAGTCGTCGAAGCCCTGGCTGCTCATCACGGCGTCGTCCTGTACACGCCAGTATGCAGCGCCGTAGACCATCGGGCCAAGGACAGGGCCGCGACCGGCTTCGTCAATGCCGAGCATTACGTCCACGCCATTTTCAAGGCACACCGCAGGGACCGCACTTTGGTGTAGCATGGTGGAGGTACAATGAAACGCCGAATTGAAGGCCTTTGATTGGCTCAAAATGGCCAATCAAAACGTTTCCCACTTTCCAAGTTGACAGTGAATTAAAAGGTGGCAACACATACGACCATGGTGACGACTGATTGCGGGGATGCGAGCGCTACATGTACCTTTAGATTCCGCTTGGTATGACCAGCTCACAACTTAGGCCAATGCGTCGTACCACAGCAAACCTATCGATTTCGCACACCAGAAATGCCTGCATCTAGTACTTCACAGCTACTAGTAGGTTATTTGCAAGTTGACTTCGCAAAGCGTTCAACCAATGAAGTAGTTGGGACCATAGCTGTGTTCCATGAACCGCATTCGTCACGCCACAGTCAGTCGCCTTCCCCCTTCTTCAGTCAACGGCGACCGCAACAGTTACATTTGTGTAACCGGAAGTGATGACTCGATGCGATGACCTGGAGCGGGAAATTGCCGCGATGGAGACGCGGTTGTTTGAGGTTAAAGTAACGATGGATGCCGAAGTGGTCAACTGGAAACGTGCCAACAAACTGCACAAAAAGAGCGGAACACACTGGCGCAACGCCGCCAAACTAGCCACCCCCGCATCATCGTCCACCCCCCGCACCGACTCATCCATCATGCCGCTGTCGACAAGCTCCTTTGCAGAAAATGCTCCGACTTCATTCACGTTGCGACCGCCGCCCCCTCCCCGCCACAAGTCGTTGCACGCGTTGATGAAACTAAACATCGCCAACTGGACAGTCTCGGACGTGTCCGCGTGGTTGCATCATACCAACCACGAAGCCTTGGTCACGACGTGTATAGACGTGGGCATCACCGGCAATCAACTGATGGACGCACACTTGGGCCTTAGCGATGTCAACCTTCGGCGCCTCTTTCATGTTCAACACGGCGACTTGCGGTGGAAACAGTTGGTGCAGGACGTGGATGCCCTGCACCGGCAACACACAACGCCCCCTATGGGCAATAATGCCCCCAACACAACCCCGTTGCCTGCCCTGACGGCATCCCCTCGACGAAACCCGTCGTCGAATCAGAATCAGACAACGCGTGCACTCAATCCCAAGCCTCAACGACCCCGAGTACTACCGGCGGCCTCGACTGTGCCGACTTCGTGCGCGGGAGGGTGCGGCAAAGTCGTACATCGAAGGAAGGAGGACGTAGTGCATTCAAATCGGAGTCATCCAACCCGATGGTTCTGTTCACCCCAGTGTCAGGGCGACCAGCAAAGCTGCATAAGTGCCTGCGGCTTGGAAACTGCAAGTGGCAGTGCTCGCCTCGTTGGGTACGATATGCCTGGAGAAAGAATTCTCGTTGGCGGACTGATGTACGTTCGATATAATTCACTGCGCATCGTTGTCCTTAGATTGGATGCAACCTCATGTTCGACTATGTCGGCAACCAAGTCCACGACAACTCCACGCAATAGAGTGACTCGAACTCGTAAACCTCCGAGTACGATAGCGTATCATCGTGCCAAGCCCGTCCATTCCATTTCACGCACAATTGTACGATAGATCGAGCGGTTGGTGGCTCGGCGGCATTTGCTGGACCAACGATCAAGCCGACTCCCCGTCGCGAACGACCGTTGTCCCCCCACAGCAACCTCCCTATAGAGCTCGTTCGAGGCACATCGACGTCCTTGAATGCGACAGCTAATGGGGCGTCCAGGCGACCGCCGCCTCTTGGCCATGCTGGCGTTCCACAAACTTCGGCAGATTCAAATGTAATGAAGATAGGGGGAGGTCGATTGTCCCATGGGGTTACGAGTACCCGTGGTGCTGCGGCCACCGTTTTGCCCACGCCGTTGTTGCCGATGCTTGTGGTGGCGTCCGTACAAGTTCACCACCCCTCGTCGACGACGAGTCGGATTGGGCACATACAACCCAGACCTGGCGGAGTTGCGTTTAGCAAATACAAGCTGGACGATCACACGACGCCGCCGCCAACCTTCACGTCCGTCTTCCTTTCGCCCGTGCCACTCGCCGCTTCCTGTACGCTATCGCCGCTTCGTACAGCTCACGACGACGACGACGACAAAGTTCGAGACCATGACATGGTCCTCGCCCCGCCGTCGTTGCTCACCCATCTGGCATCGTTCCTTCGTTTGCCGGCGTGGTGCCGGCTGTCTGTTGCGAATCATACGTGGCATCACATCAGCAAGGTACGTCCCAAGTCGATGTACTCGCGACTTATGTAGAAGCATTATACGATGTATGACATGAATCCCCGAACCTTTTTGTCCCCATGTTTTCGCACTATTGTTACAGGCCCAAGATCGAGTGTGGAAGGACTTCTTTGACCATATGTGGGTCCGAGCCGTGGACGGCGGGGTAGACGCTGTGGCCCACACCACGTGGACGAAGAAACGGCGGCAGTACCGGCGCACCGTGTATAGTCTGGCCAAGCAGGTGGCCACCATCGCAGCCGACAACGTGCACTTGCTCGTGCATCCCGAGTCATGGCATCTTGCCAACGAAACTGACGATCTTATCGTGGACACGCAGCGCTTTGCCGTGGGGGCGGACCGAGGGAACGTCGTGGCGGCGGTCGTGCCGGCGTTTCCAACCCACCTCATCCAAACACTGGTGCCCGAAATCTCAACCATGGGGGTGCTGCAGGGGTTGGCGGCAGGAACGTTCTTGTGTGTGACTATTCGACGGCTCAAGCTCTTCAACACTATTCACGTGCCCCCGTTGGATCTGTGGCCGACGTTTGTCAACCATCCGTTGGTGTCTGTGACAGCCAACAACGACGAGGTCAAAAGCACCGAACCGAGTTGGATCAAATCGTTGCAACGACATGGTGGAGGGGGGGGAAGGGGGGAAGAAGGAGGAGGACCGGTGCGCAAGTTTCAAGCGGCGGTGATCTCAATGACACAGCGACGGCTTCGAGCGAAACTCAAGGCGGACGCGTTGGACCGACTGGCCAAACGGGCCAAAAAACACCCGACGGCCACCGCCGCCCTCGAGGCGATCGTCCACTTTTCAAAGCGTGACTCCGCCATCGTATCCCCAACAGGCTTAAGTGAAGACCCAACCATCATGGGACAATGATTCCCAATCTTTTAGCTGTCTAATCGAAGCGAAAACTCCTTCTAGCGAGCAAACCTACCGCCGTGATAGAAAGGCATACCATACGTGGCTGGGTACTGTGAAATGTGGAGGGTATAACGTTGGATTACGATGAAGGTTGGTAGGCGCAGGCAAATTGTAAGCGTATACTGTACATAGAATACGTCATCTAAGTTGCCAGTTGAATAGCATTGTAGTTAGTTGGTCTAATAGAATCCATATCCTATTATTATAGAACCCATCTTGTTTGGATAGTTGACAAGAGCTATGATATGATTGACATGAATGCAATCGGGTGTATTACGGATGGGGCTCTTGCTCAATTTCCAGCGACAACGTTGTGGCTAGCGAGGGGGAGAGGGTGGTGAGGGCACACATGCGATACGGTCCCAACCCGTGCATGGCCAAGTGTTTGGGCAGCGACAGCAACACGTGGAGAATCGAAGCTTCGTCGGTAGCAACTACCAACTCCTTCGAATGAACGACAATCAGCCCAATGTACAGCGCATACATGGCGAGCCAGCCTTCCACGAGGAACGTGTCGAGTATATGCATGCAAGTGGACGGGGGCAGCGACCTGTCGTTGAGGAACAGCGACAGAATCCAGCTACTTGCAAACATGGACGTCGAGATGCTATGGGCCCGGAGGTGCGCGGCGACTTCGGGGGCGTACACGTCGACACAGCGCTCCAGTTGGCAGAGTCGGCGGGGAAGGCCCGCGCCAAACGACGACGGACTTGCATGCCACAGGTGGTGCATCCCATGTTTCTCCATGAACGTGACAAAGACTCGGTAGGATGCATCCATGTCGTACTGAAGTGTAGAGAGAAGTGCGGCGCCAACGAACGTCATGCCATGGCCATAGCCCACTTGGGGGTACTGGTGGGCAAATGTTGACAGAAGATGGTGCAGTTTCTGATGCAGCGATTTGAGTGCAGGGGATCTGGACGAGTACGACCCGATGCGAGGCAAGTATGTTGTAGAGCCTGAAGGGGGCGAGTTGGACAGCAACGCTGGCATGTACATGGATTCCTTGGGAAAGAACGTCGTTCGATGCACTTCCTGGTCGAGAAGGGCGATGTTGCGAATATCATCTGTGCAAACTCGTGACACGACGATGTCATCGATGTGCAGATGGTCAAGATCTGGCGAGGTCTTTGTGGTTTGGATAAGGAGGTACCGTTGCCAGTACTGCCATCGTTCGTGAGGGTGTGAGAATGCCTGTGACAACGTGCAGTACGCGGTGAGCATGGACAGCCATGAGCGGCAGACGGACAGCGCCGCGGCAACGTCCGCTGGTCCAAGGAAGGAAAAGACTGGCAGCATCCCATATGGAAGGTGGTTGAGCAACGTGGTGAGGACAGAATGGACGGTGTGTAGACGTCCGAGTTCTTTGTGAATGCTCTGGTTCATCAGATCCAGTTCCAAGCCGATTCGAAGCGACTCTTGGCGGGCCGAGTCGAGGGATGTTGTACGAGTCCGACGTGGAGACGTCATGCCGCGCTCCAATGCATGTACAAGGGTGTTGTAGTGGAATCTAAGGTGGAAGGGATTGGTAAGTTAGGAATTATGAGTAAGGGACGATATGCATCAGATGCGGGACTACTCTCCATGGCTACATACATACGTAATGGAATGGAGAGAATCCGTGGCGACGATGCCGACGGTGTTTTGTGGGTGATGCAAGAGGGACAAGTAGAGCACACTGCGCTTCAATCGTGAGGCTTTCTTCTTGAAGCATTTCTACAAGTGGCCAAGATGAGATGCCACCAGACAGACACACTCACCTCGGTCGATTTCAGCAATGCTCGGCACTGTCGCTTGTAGTCCTCCATGCTGTCAGTGTCTTCGCTGGCCAAGAACTGTCGCGCCGCACGCATGTCCTAAGATATTGCCATGAGCTCGTGACGGCGACACTACATCGTTTCGACTGGCAAGTGGACATACATAGTACGGCAAGTGGTGCATGATGTTGCGATCGCTCTTTTCGCCTGCGGGAAACACACGCAATGCCGAAACGTACGTCGTCTGCATTCGAGAGCCGTTGGCATCATTGGCTAACCTTCCATCACTCGTCTTCATCCGTCGGTCCAAAGCGTTGTGTCGAAGGTTACGCAAAGATCGCCAAGCGCGAAATTTTCACCGTCGGCTCCGGATAACCAAGTCGTTTTCGGATGTTGAAATGTCTATTACCCGGATAAGTCAGTATACGTATCCGGATATCCAACGAGGGCATTCAGGTGTTTGTATCTAAAGAGTGCCACGACCATGAACAAGGCTACGTTGCACTTCCGCTACACCAGCGCCGATACGTCGTCTTCGCTTGTCATGTATGGCATCTCGGATGACTGTCATCGAGTAAGTAGATGGTGCATTCGTGCGGAGTTGGTGGAGGACATGGATGCAAGGGTCAACACACTGACAGTGTATTCCTGGCGTGTAGTGCGACTTGGTTCCAATTCGCCCAGTGACGTGTGCCCAAGACAACGCAACGTGCGTGCAGCTACATCCCAACACGACCTACGACTTTAGCGTCGACGGTGTGTATCCCATGAGCTTGGCGTTGCGTCCAAACGACGAGGAGCCACCAGTAACTAACTCCTCTGGCTCGCATCTAGGATTCCCACGTCAACAACAATGTCATCGATAGGTGTGGCAAGGAAGCCACGCATTCATGGAACAATCTGAATACACCATGCAAGCCCAGCAACTCGACACTGGCGACGTCCATGCGTCGATCGTGCTGGACACCGAAGGCTCGCCAACGTTGATCCTCACGGCGATATTTGTGTTCGTGCTCTTGTGGCTAGGCTCGTGTGTGGGGCTGTTCTTTTGGAAACGTCATCTGGCATCCTTGCGGTGCGTTTCTGCATGAAGCGAGTCATCTCCTCATCCTCGTATCTCCCTCGCTCGTAGAAGCGACGACGAGGACGACGAAGGCGCCACCAGCACGAACCTCGCGCCACTGCTGCCCCCTACTCGCCCGTCGGTCCACACGACCGCTTCGTCCATCAAGCTATCGGCCACAGGCACTCCAACCTACAAACGCATCAAGTCCTTGGACACATTCCGAGGCATGACCATCTTCCTTATGATCTTCGTCAACTATGGCGGCGGCGGGTACTGGCTATTCAATCACAGCACGTGGAATGGGTTGACCCTCGCGGATCTGGTCTTTCCATGGTAAAATAATATATATATATATATATATATATATACGGATTAGAATCTTAAACAAATACACATATTGTGCTTTCGAGTGAAATTTCGTGTTGTGGCATGGTTTCTCGTTGGAATTTAAATCGATTACTTCAGATGAGCTCAACATTATTAGCCAATCAAAACCTTCTCAATGAAATTCAACCAATCAGATCGATTGTGGATCGGTTTGGTTGGCGCGATTCGATTGCACCCCCTCCCCAAATTTGTATCAAATCGACAATATGTCAACATGTTTTCTCGTCCAGGTTTGCGTGGATCATGGGCATGTCCATGGCGCTAGTGCCGCCCGCAAAGCGAACGCTTTGGGCCAGCGGCGTCCGCAGCGTCAAGTTGTTTGCCCTGGGACTGTTTATCAACAACGGATTCGATCTCAAGACGTGGCGAGTTCCAGGTATAGTATCTTTTATATAAAAGTTCACAATAGAAGTTCATATTGTGAATTTCACCCAAATGTGGACTTGAGAGTCTTTCATTTCGCCAAATATATAGCGTTCGAATCCATTTGATCTGATTGAAACTTGTACACTTTATATACACAGATTCGTATATTTGCGGTTTTGCCCCATGCAGAACATTGGTAGTTTCGATTGGCAGAAATTCGACAGAACGAGTGATTTGATTGGCTTTGGCGGTTCTTGAATCCATTCTATTACCAATCGATTTGACAATACAGTCTTGGATCAGGCGTATTACAGTCGTTCGGAGCGAGCTACGCCATCATGTCGACGATTCTATTGGGCACTCAACCGACCGGCGCGGGTCCGTCGGCTGTTCCCGTGGCGCTGGCCATGGCCGTTCTAGTGGTGCTGCAGCTGCTTGTCGTGTACTTGGTGCCCGTGGACGGATGTCCCACAGGATACGTCGGTACGTTGTACCTTGATGTAATAGGCTACTGTAGTTAGTTTGCAGTTTTCGATGGTTTGGACGATGTGAGTTTGAATTTCTGGGGTCTGACTTAGTACGCTCTTTGATTGTTGTCTCGCCTTGATCAACACCAATTCAAAGCTCAGGCTGTATTGTACTTTCGAGTAAAATGTTGTGTCGTGGTTGCTCGTTGGAATTTAAATCGATTTGATTGGCTACTTCAGATGAGCTCAAACTTATTAGCCAATCAAAACCTTTTCAAAATGAAATTCAACGACCAATCAGATCGATTGTGGATCGATTTGGTCGGCGCGATTCGATTGCACCCCCTCCCCAAATTTGTACTATCAAATCGGCAATATTTGATGAATATATTTTTTAGTTTTGTTTATTATAAATACTTATCTTGGATTTGCTGTATTTTGTGGCCTGGTAGCGTTTGAATCTCGCAACCTCTCCCATTGGTCAATCCGACAAGTTTGTTTGTCGCTGATTGGCTACAATCCACGTTCGATTCTTTTTTCTATATTAGCCAATCATGTCTTGCCTTGGCGCGAATTGTCCTAATCAAGAAATATGACCATGTTCATTCGTATGTGGTTTTGGGGGGATCGTAGGGCCGGGGGGAAGGGGCGACCACAGCCAGTTTGTCAATTGCACTGGCGGCGCGCACCGGGCGGTGGACGTGGCGCTCTTTGGGGCGGCGCACATCTTTCAGCACCCAACGACCAGACCAGTGTACGACACGCCGTCGTTCGACCCAGAGGGTTTTCTGAACTGGATCATGGTGGCCCTTACGACATGCATGGGGTACATTGTGGGCACATGGCACCATCCCCTCGGTCGGTCTTATGTACGTTGCAGACACTTGACATCGAAACATTATTGTCTATTTACCCGAAATTTGGATTTGGGATTCGCTAACTCTATCGATTTTCGGTGATTCTTTGTACTGACCTTAATCGCACACTAATTTTAGTCGCACACTAATTCGATGTTGCATTGGTCGAATGTGAGTGGATGATTTGATTGGCTACTTGATTCGTGTTATGATTTTTGATTGGTCGTATATCGATTGTCGTCTGTCGATTTGGTTCTTCTGCTCCTTCGATGGAGCACCATCCAAACCCTCGAATTTCGAATATATCGACTTGACAATATAAAAAACCTGAGACAGGGGGTTTGTCCCCTGTCTCAAGTCGTGATGGGGAATGATATGATCGATGATGAAACCTCTAGAAGATGATTTGAATTCGTTTCTTGATCTTGTGGGATAGCCATGTATGCATATATCAATGGGATATATTAGATAAACACTGTACAATAGTATCAATCGAGTATTCTGACAGCATACTAGTATGTACTACTAGCCTATTTAGTTAGTCCCTTGCTAGCGTCTATAAGTAGAATGACGACATAGAGGCTCATGGAGTGTACTAGTTGACGGGAGTGTATACCACTTGCTCACAAAATTGTGATGCTAGAGCCAAAAGGCGTGGGTTCTCGCCTTGTCGGGGTTGCTTCTGGTCGTGCTGGGGGTTGCACTTTGCCAAGGTCGAGTTCACGACGGATGGGTCCCCGTGAATAAGAACCTGTGGAGCGTATCGTTTGTGTTGATGGCCTCTGGCTTGGGCAGCGTCGTGTTCTGCGCAGTGTACTTGCTCGTAGACGTGTGGCACATGTGGTCGGGCGCGCCATTTGCTTATGCTGGCATGAACGCTATCTTGCTGTACTGTGGGGTAAGCCTCCCATATAAATATATATTACAGTATGTACATGCATGCCTGACGATCTTGACCATGGATGATATTCTTCATATGCGACACCGTCTATGGGATACGCCGCCTCTGTGATTGTCTTTCTATTACCCTGAATTTGGACTTTTGTGCTGATTCTTTGCCAAATCGATCGATCGATTCGTCCAGTATCACACTAATTTCATTCACACACACTAATTCGATGTTGACTTGGTCGAAGAGTGGCTAATTTGATTGGCTACTTGATTCGTGTTCTGGTTTTTGATTGGTCGATCGATATTGTCTGCCGATTTGGTGATTCTGCTCATTTGATTGAGTGCCATCCACCTAAACACTCAATCCATTTCGAATCGACTTGCCAATATATATATGTGAGTAGTATTGGACAGTGTACCTTTGTCCGGAGGTTTCAGCGTGATATTGTGGGATAGAGTATATGTGACACGGTATTTTTTTTAATTCTGCATACACGGCGCTTTCTCTAGTATTACTACTCTCACTCCCATCGATAGCATGAACTACTCCAAGGGTACTTTCCATTCAGCTTTGCACACGATGAGTCGTCCCACACAGCGACAACTGCGGCGAATCTCGTGGGGGCGGTCAGGTATCGTCACCCTACGTGGCAACATCCAAATCATATATGCGATGGCGTTGTGTAGCTGGTTGTGCATCGCTCGCGTCCTGTATGCCAAGAACCTGTTTATGACCGTGTAGATGTGAAAGTTGATGTGAAACGCTACTGCTCGACAAAGTTACACAGAGCTCTTTAGTGTGTGCTACATCGAGCGCTAGTATGTACTAGTATGTACTAGTATTACTTAAGTAATACATAACAGCAAACGTATACACAGTCACTTGAGCTAGGATGTTACTTGGAGATATGTACGATGCTGCAAGCTTCCATACCGGTATCTATGGTGAACGTCGTGGCTTGGTGGGATCCGAGTTTTATGTCTGCACTGGGAACACAGTTAGCAGCTAAGTTAGTAATACTACTTCGAAGTACTACTCCGGAGTAGTACAGTACGGCTTTTCCTGGGGAGTACTTTTACTTGGTGTTTGTATGGCCGGCAATGAATTACCTTAATTACCTTAATTAGTCATTCCGACCTGTGAATCTGGCTGGCTTCAATTTGGGAGGATTGGTACGAGTTCTCGAGTTGTTCAACATGCTCGACACGACGAATCGATATGGCACGGACGTGCACGAGCACGAGATCTTGTTGAGCAGTGCGGGGCAGCAAGTCATGATGGCGTGGGAGAGGGAGTACATGGAGAAGTGTGTGGATGCGCTCGGGATCACGCCCACCTCGGACGTGTTGGAGATCGGCTTTGGCTTGGCGTACTCGGCGACCCACATTCAGTCGTACAGTCCCAAGTCGCACACGATCATCGAATGCGACCCCGTGTCGCTGGTGGAGCTGGAGGTTTGGGCCAAGACGCGGCCCAATGTCGTGATCGTCGCAGGCACATGGCAAACGGTACTGGCGTCGTTGGGAAGTAAGTACGCGTCGTACTTGTTTGAATTGAATTCGATGATGCTACCATAGGTTTTGACTGCATCTTCTTCGACGACTACCCCCTACCTCAAACGGAGCGCGACGAATCCATCTTTTCCATCTCCAGGTAACTACAATCACGATGACATAATCCCAAGTCAATCACGTCATATATCATATTATAGGTGGCATGACTTTTTGGACGCAACGTTGAACTGGCACGTCAATGTGGGGGGTCGTGTGACGGGGTATTTGGCTCGGGAGATTGACTTGAGTCGCGACGGGTGCCACGTAGCCATGACGCCGTTCGAGGTCTCCAGCTCCTTTCACTCTCCCGTTACTAACTCTTCAACTAAATTAGGTGCAAGTGCCTCTGAATTGCACCTACTTCCCATACAAAACTGCATTGGTGCCACTGGTGACCTTGGTCGAGCGCAAGCCGAGCATCACTACATACGCCCTGCGTCATGACGACATGAAGGAACATGCTGCTGAGCACAAAGTTGTGACGTCGCATCCGAAACTCGTCCAACTGCGACGCCGCCTCGACCTTCAAAGGTCCATGGAACGAGCGGCCGACACATCCTCCCCACCTTGCCGCCCCATCACACAAATGCCACGAGAAGATTTCATTCGCCACCTCAAGGCTGCTGCCAACGCCGCAAAGAAACAAGTGGACGTGGCCAAGAGCGACGACGATATCCCCCTAGAAGGTCACCGAAAGCGTAGCGACGATCGAGTTATCGGCTAACAAATCCATCTAGACAACGTTAAAATGTTGCTCGAGTTCTTAATTCTGAATCTAAACCTGTCGCAATCTATATAACTTGTGCAATATAAAGGCTCCAAGGTTGGGTTAGGATGCGACGATTGGCTATAATTCCGTGGCCTAATTCACGTTGATTGGATAATACTATTCTGGACGAAAAAGGCAACCCGAGCTGAAGATCGAAGGTTTGTTTGTTTCCCCAAACATCAGAAGCCATGGCGATGATCTTCCTGTCGGGGCTGGCGATGTCGTCGTACTTCCTCGCGCTGTGCTACATGCTGATGACATTCATGGGCATCTCCAAGCTCTGCAGCAACAAGAACCTGTCGTATTCCCGGACGACGCAGCTGCTCATGGTAAGCGTCTCCCTCGGGTGCCTGTTTCGGGCCGCGACGTTCTCGACCCTGTGCTTTCTCGACTTTCAACACACTGAGTCGGGGTTGTCGCCATTGAGCTCGCCCGTGCACGTTCCGGAGGTCACGGCGCCCGAGGAATCAGACCTTTCGTTCTACAACAAGGTAGATTCACCCTATCATCCGAACGCACTCCTATCGACCCCGCATGATATATGTAGGTCGTGGCGGTGCTGTTCAATCTCCCCGACTACCTCTTCGTGTCGTCGTACTTGCTCGTGGTGCTTCTCTGGGCCGAAACATATCAATCGTCGCGGCGCCATTGGTTCTCCGCAGAGCAGTTCCATCGCCGGTGGATGATCTTCTACCTCATTTTCAACGGATTGCTCTACTTGACCCAAGTCGTGCTCTACGCCCTGCTATTTCTCCGTGCAGATCCGTCTGCCATTGCTGGCATCTACGAAAACGAGGAAGGCACGCAGCTGGCGCTGGTTCCCACCCTCATCTTTGGTTTGTGCAGCTGTTTTCTACTACTAGTACGACAGTAGTATTACTAACTCTGCGATAGACTGCGTCGCTGCCGCCGACCTCTGCCTGCCGCTCATTATCTTCATCACGTGGGTCTACTTGACGTTAACCCTGTCTGGGTTTCCCTACAAGTCGCACCACGCCCAAATCAAACTGGCCAAGGTACTGGTTCTAGTACTACTAGAAATAACTACTAGGTGCAAGTGAGGAATGATGGTAAATTACTGTGGTAGATTGGTCGCTTGGCCATGGCATGGAGCTTGGGGCGAATTCTATACAGCGTCATGATGTTGCTGACGTTCACACGGGTACGACCGACGTGTGTGTTGACATTTCAAACATGTGAATATAAGCATGACGATCCGGATAAAATGACATGTAGGGATGGTTCAATGTTGGCAAGAACAATGCTACAGTAAGTACAGCTGTCATTTGATATTTGTGATATTTGGACTTGCTTTGAAGTCTGATGGGGGTTGTACATATTGTAGACACAATCCATGTTGCTGGTGGCGCTGTTCATGGCGGCAGAGATTCTGCCGATTTACATTCTCATCGACGCCGACTTGTTAAGATTATTGTCCATGGATGCTGCTTACGAGCAAATCTTAGAACCGTAAGAACGTTGTAACTGCAAGCTGGCTGTGAATTGTTTGTATGATCCGAATTCAAAAGGACCAATCAGCGACCGAGACGGTTGATGGTGGCCAATCAGAACGTGAGTTTGTTGCGAACCAACCAACGTGTAAACGCAATCGTAACTTACTACATAACGTTAACTTCAGCCTATATCGATTGGGGGGCTACAGTTTAGTAACTAGTACTAGTATTTGTTTATGAGCATATCGATTCCAGTCAGATTTCTGTACAGTACTCTACGGGACAGTGCATTCGGTGAAGGCAGGCTGTATGGTACTAGCTTGTACTTGGAGTGTACAGTACTTGTTATGTACCAGTATGTATAGTGAGTGAGGTTTATTCGCGTTTATCAGCTAGCTAAGGAATCTTTTGCGCCTACAGCTAGCGGACTTTGCATACGTCGAGCGTTAGACGTCTGAGTGCTGGGGGATGGTGGGGCATGCGGCATGGTCAGCACCTTCCACCGGATCTTGTGCCTGTTATATTAAATCGAATCTGGTCCATAATAGTTGTCATGCTCACTTTTTAATTGGTCGTATATGCGTAAATCTTGGCATTTACTGTGTCTGATTGGTGCAAATGATAAATTCGTCGATGTTGCGACGATATGGCTTGCCAAGTAAACTTCGTCGAGTGTAGGTTAGTCAAAAGCTGAGTGCTTCACCCGCCAGGCTATCAAGTCATCACTATTTCCTAACACTAACCTGTCTACATCTTCTTACTTCCTTTGTTATGACTCCTTGCAAACTTCCAAGAGCCACCAACGAGCCCGTAGCCTAAACGCACCTGGAACGATGTTGGGAAAACGAATGTCGTACTATACCTGCTAGAAGCATCTGCAAATGTGCATCTTTTGCCACCAGCTCACGATGATATAGTGCTACAGGTCATACATTGGCCGCATACTTTGACTGGGCTAATTCGCCACACCACCACCGAAAGCATCTCCTAAACCCAATCTTGGGGTTTTTACCTGGATAATCCAATACTGGTATCTAATTATACAGGTAATATCAAGCCAAAGCATACTAAAATCAAGTTTAAATTGATGATGACAACTATTATGGAGTGAGTTAGTATACAGACTTACTCTACATGCATTCTTTCAAAGTCACAGTTCGTAGTCCTTGGGACCATCACCCAAACAGGAGTGACGGTGCCTTTTAGCTTGTATTTTGTATTGGAATCGGATGGCGCGTTGTGATTGGTGCGTGGGATACCAACACACTACAAAATAGATGGCTCGACGGTCGACGGAGCCACAAGCACCATCGCCACCTACTGCCGCGTTGCCTGGACAATGGGATGGCGTCGCACCGCTGAAGCGCAAGCTCAGTGCCTCCTCTGGAGGAAGCGTGTATGACGAGCTCATGGCGAAGGGAAAGCTTCTGCGCGTGACGGCCACCCGCATCCCGCCGCAGCTCTCCACGCGCCGATTGTACTGTTTGAACCACGCCTTGGAAGCGTTTCAGCAGGCATTAAAAGTGCCTGCCGAGTTTACTATGACCAAACATACGCAGGACTGTATGGAGCAGATCCGGGAAACGCAGATCGACCTCATGGTGTTGTCCAAGATGACCAAGCAATCGGCGAATTCCACGCCACAGTATCGCGCGCCCACCACCCTCGGGACAAACTCAAAGGAGCGACTGCGTGTAACGGTGCGTCGCCGGCCTCTTCCGCTCCTCTCGCCATCCACGTCATCGATCACCGTCATGTCTGTCCCGATGGCCTCCTCCGATAATGTTCCTCCTCCCCCGCGCCTCCCCACCAACAACCCAGCACCAGCGCAAGTTGCACCACATATACCTGAGATCGACAACGCGTCCTCGGGACAAGTACAGCATGGCCTGCACGAATGTCTCGAGCCAGCCAACCAGTCTTCGACAGCCACGATGGAATTGCAACAGTGCGATGTTAGTCCTGAACTAGGCAAGACCAAACTCCTTTTGCAAGCCCCAACGTCACCCCCATCCCGCTGTTCGTCGCCCCGGCTGAACCACAACTTGTCTCCACAACGAATTGAAAGACATGAATCGAGTCCCCTCATGCCATCACGTGACACCGCCACGTCAGAAGCATCGCCATTGGTTCAAGTGGAAATGCCATCACCGCCATCGTCCATCCTCTCGGCAGCTCATACTCTCATGTCGATCGGTGGTCAACTCCCACGATCCCCCTCACCACGTCCAGAATGACGACGTGGGTGTGTCATCTATTAATAGAAAGCGTTGTAATCGTGTTGGTTTTTACCATAGCGAGTTGGGAACCGCACCATATTCACCCATTATTCCGCATCGCCGCCTTGCTCCCCACTGGCCTGCCTACTTCAGCATTCTTCGAGCATTGACCTCTCTTTGAAGCCATTGACCGGCGTCGAGGGTGTTTGTTGTGGTGGGTTCCGTCGGTACTTTCAGCTAGCTGAGGAACATATCATGTCCACCCTGACAAATCAAAACAAGGCGCCAGCATGGTGGGTCGAAGCACTGCCTGCTTGGCATGCCTCGCTGGTCCAAGAGAGGGCTCACATGGAGGTACACGGGCCACTAGGATACTGTAGCTACGACTTTCTGTGTAGGCGTTGTTCAACGCGACATGCAAGCAAGTCGAATTTATGCTTGCAACATATGAGGTAGATGCAGTGTTGTTCATCATCAAATGGGGGTTCGATGCTTCATGCATACTGTAGTAAGCGTCTGCATACAGCATGAACGTTTTGGGTGTGGACTTTGTGTAGGCCATCGAGATCGCCACCAAGGGCAGTGGTATTCACGTCGACGACAGCACGATCCAGCAACCAAAGGTCAATCGGCTAGCCAAAACAAGGGACACCAGATATCCTTTTCTTGCATATGCTACTGTATGTAGTGAGGGTTCATCACTTAGTACTTGCAGTGCCTTGCATCAACTTGTTCACACGGGAGTCGAGCATGCTACTCTTCACGCTGCGGTTCGTCATGTTCTTACTAGTGTCCTCCATTCTATTGTCCAGTTTGCGGCTGTGGATGGTCGTAGATGGCCAACCCTACGTTGGAGATGGCAGACCGACTGGGAGAAACTGCCCGTGCCAAGTGGAAGCAGGTGCATGTCGACTCGACCGGCCACCGCATGGCGTTCGCGACGGCGTTGCGGGATCGTGTCCACTCGTTGCTTCGGTGGCTTCGCCACACATCGCTCAAGACGGCAGATGCTGCTCCAGCACTGGACGTTTGTTTGCCGTCTCCTCTCGAAATGTTGGCGTCGACTCCGGACGTGGATGATGTGGCTGGTGGCGGTGGACCAATCCCTTCTACTATTGACGATGACGTGGCACGCTACCGTGATTGGGCGTCCCACGAACGCTTCAACATTGACCAAGCCCACGCCATGCAAGTGCACAATGCCGAGCGAGAATGGGGCGCGTACCATGCGTACTTGACAGCCCAAGTGACCGCTGAATTGGCGTCTTGCGATAGCATGGACAACGTCCACGTGGCGGCCAAGAAGCGCACCCTAGTTCGAAACATATTTGCGTCGGCGATGGAGGTACATACTACTCAAACTGCTAGTACTACTAACCATCAAACCGTGTGTGTGTGACCATACTCATCGTTTAGACTGGCGAGCAGCGGAAACTCGACGCGATGCGCCACCTCGAGATGCAGCACCGCGACTTGCACATCCAAATCGACGCGAAAGAGCTCGAGTTCAAGCTCGTCGTGTTGGTGCGGGAACAGGCCACGGCCGAGTTCCATCGACTAGACCGTTGGATTCACACGAGCATGTAAGGCCGGACGGATGACTTGGGTGTTTGCTTCCAAACACGATTTACATCACAGTTGCCATTATTCAGGAGCCTTAGTATTTACCAGCTATTGTCTCGTGTATATGTTTGTAGATCCACGTTGCAAGATGCTGCGAGAGGAAGCTCGTGGGTGTCTGATACTTCACCTCTGCCAAGTTGGCTCGTTGACATAGCACAAGGCGCCCCAACACCACCACGACCCCTTCCAGCGCTGCAAAAGCAGCTTTCCATTCATCGCACAAAGCCGTCATCTTTTGGACCGTCTAGTAGGCAGAGTCGCCATCGATTACCGACTGGCACTTCGTCGTCCATGCCCACTCTGTCGCGCTAATCGAACGATGATTGTGTGTGGGAGGGATTAGTAGTAATGTTACACTACTACTGTAGTATGCATCATGGTCATTCTCATTGGAGTGTTGGACAATCCGACCCAATCCACATGTCATGAATGGACAGCAGGTCGAAGCGAGGAAACAACGAGCGAAAGCCCATCGTGTATACAGTAAACCCGTCAGTATGCCAGTGATGTCAACGTCAGGTGACCCGCGGGGACAGCTTGGCTCGAGCGGGCGTCACTGTGGCTTGTGTTGCAGAGAGTGTTTGGTCCTTGGAGGAACTTCCTTTAGAAAGGTGCAGCGAACGCTATCCGAGTACATTAGTAGCGACACAATCATAGCGAGCTACTTGTGTCAGAATCCTATATCATACATTATGTAGGTGGCCCACACTGATAGCACTAGTCACGGAGCGGCGGATATCCGCCGCTGCGTGTGCTAGTCTACCCTAGGGTCTCGCTCCTGCGTCCTTCCTAACGTTGAGCCCATTCTTCCTTGCATGCGTCCGCCGCGCGCGTCGCCTGCCTCTCCTCCCCTTCCTCCTTCCGTTCTCCTGCCAAGGATACCCACGGATCTTTTGTCCACGACCTTTCCCGAGAATGCGGTGCCAATTATAGGGTGTCTTTGCTGCGTCGGCAAAATCCTAGCCTATGATTGGCTGCGTGATTTGATGGGTCGATTTGATTGGGCCAGTGAACGCCAATAAAAACGCGCAAGGCCACATGGTCAAACACAAGGTTTCGGTGGCATGAGGGCAGAATCGCAGTTGCCGGTCGAGACGTCGTCGCCGTCGTCGTCGCCGCCGCTTGCATCAGATTCCACGGCCACAGAAGCTCCTTCTCCATCGTCCATGACATTTACGTCCTACACTGACGTGACGTCGTCCGTCGTGATCGATGTCCTGCATCGTCATGTGCAGGACACGGATGACAAGACTCGCAACGGTAAAAGTACAACGCCGCTGTCATCGCCGACACGCGCGACACCCGGTCGTTGGAAAATTGCTGCCGTATATGCCGCCTTCATCGTGTTTGGACTCGGCTCGTGGATCATGACCAACAGTACGCACCATCACCACAACCTTCCTCCTCCTCTCCATACATGCTCGTCCGTGTCATGCAGTCGTGCCGTGTAGGTGTGTTTATTGAAACGGCGGCTCTTTTCCAGCAGGTCCCAGAGAAGGCAGCGATCAGTGCCTACTTGGTATGCACGACCACGACCCCTCCGACATTCACCTTCTTCTTCTTGATGTGCTGCTGCTGCTGCTTTAGATCGTGGCCCTGCAAGCCGCCAACATCTTCCCGACGTTGTACATGGTCTTTAACAGCGACCAGCAGTTGTTTTCCATTCGGTCAGCTATTTGGGTACTCCTCGCGCTTGGCGTGGTCACTTGCTGTACGTCGATTCTGTCAACACTCGTACCATCTACATCATCATGGACGTGTACTTCTGCATGTTGTCAGTGCATTTACATCATAGCGTGTCATCCCAATCGACGAACTTCGCCAGACGCTGGCCTCATCCCCACACATGTCAGCTGATCCATATATCGTTACCATGTCCTGTAGTGCTGCTATCTCAGTTCTGGGATATCACGTCCGTGTTCTGGGGCCACGAACACAGCTCTGGTAGGCCAACTGTACCCGAATGTCGTTGAATCGTGACATTGCAGCATGACGATCTTGGTTCAACATGGATCTGTTTACATGTGTAGCGCTGCTGGCCCTAGTCTTTTTTGGAGGCGCTGTGAGTGCCACCACGACCGTCGTCTACTACCCGTTCGTGGCGACGTTTCCCCCCGTCTTTACAAGGTACTGCCAGTCGTTCGCGTTGCTTGTACCTTGGTTCAATATGGAATATTGTCCAAATGAGAGTATATTATGACCAGTCAGATCGATTGTGGATCGGTTTGGTCGGCGCGATTCGATTGCACCCCCTCCCCAAATTTGTATCAAATCGACAATACATACAAAATTCTTTGTTGTCGTTTGGATCCTTGCTTGTTGATGTACATATGTGTTTGATCAGCGAGGTGGAGATTGCTCTTACTCGGTGTATATACATATAGTAAGAGTACATCGGCGATATATATACGTGTATTAACGTGGGACTGCAAATGATATAGTGCGCTGTCCACTGGCGAAGGGCTGAGTGGGGTGGTGGCGGGTGTGTTGGGCATCTGGCAAGACCCAGGCGCGTCCACCATGCATTTGTCCGTGTCCCACTTTTTCACCTGCGCAGGTACGTACGTAATACTTGTGTCATTCTCACGATTTTATTATTTTCACCTATTTATACCAAAATTTACCGTTTTTTCCCGTTTTTGGTCAAAATATTTAGTGCAAAGTGCAGTGTGTAGTGTGTAGTATCATGTTTCGTCGATATATATGACTGTATTAGTACAAATGGCAGTTTTCGATATATAACTATAAAGGATATCATTGTAGCGGGTGTGTTTGGCATTGCCATGGTCGCGTACTGGTTCCTCGCCACATCGACCATCTCTGCCCAAGTCCAACACAGCAAAGTACGAACGTCCCCACGTTGCTATGATTTTTAATTGATGATTTTGTATGGGTACAGTACAACGAAGACCCCGGCGAGTTTGAGTGCAAGTTCACCCCGCCAACGAAACCGCGCACGTCGTCGTCGTCGTCGTCGCGCACAAAGACTAGTATCAATGGCGAATCGGTACACGACCACCCGACTTATCGCCATTTCCGTCGGAATTCGAACCACATTATGATTGTGTACACGACAACCCCATTTGCGCCACAACTCCCTTGGAATTATCATTTGTTGTTATGATTGAATAGCATGTGTATAGTACATCAAATGGCTAACTAGCCAACTTCGTTGCATGCAATGTTAGATTCCCCTCGTTTCAAATCCCCCCCAACGGCCCCCCCATGTACGTCGCTCTTAAGGCTTTACATGGCGTTATATTTGTTATATTTGCTGTAGATATTCCTGTCGTCGACCCACCGCCGCGACTACGTCCTCCGCAACCTGTGGAAGCCGCTCATGTTCCAAGTCCTGCTGTGCGCCATGAGCTTTGGGGTCATCCCGTCCATCATGCCGTTCCTCGGCAGCAAGTACATGGTACCGAATGAGATCATCATCCTTCTTGGAGTGTGATTCACATTGCCCTTGGCTACAATAAATAGTTCAGCGCCCAAGTGTTAAAGTGGTCGTCTGTGTTGTCCATGGCGTGCGATCCCCTCGCTCGGTTTCTTACAAGGTAATCATAGTTGTCCATGTTGTGTCGTCGTTGGTTCGTTCACGGTGATCTGTCACACATTTGGTTGCTCACGTCATCACACATTCGAATGTGTCTTGTAGTTTCTATCGCTGGTACAACGTCACAGCGTTGAGTGCGCTCACGTTGTTTTTGGGGGTACGTTGTCACATATATATATATATGGCTTGGCAACGACCTCTATATCCATCTTGGCACATACCAACTGACTGTAACGTGAGCATATATTGGGACTCTGGTGCTGGTTGTATCTACCCTTTCTTTCCCTGTTGTTTCTATAGGTGACCATGGTGCTATCGTCGACGAGCTCCAACCCGTTGTTCTCAACCTTCACGTATGGCGGCATCGCGCGTACGTGTTTGCGTCATCTGTGTTTGGATTATCATGATGACGTTATCAAGATGGTTGCACCTACCTGTTTGGATGATTCACATACATATATGATGATATACGTGTATGTATAGCGGTGGCGGCCAACTGCTCGTTTGTGTTTCTATTTGCGTACACACAGACGATGGTGTATCTGACTCTAAAGCGAGAAGTACGCGGCAATGAAGCGTATGCCAAGACGGCGTACCAGTGGAGCGGGTTCATGACCCAGATGGGGGCCCTTGGGGGGACCGTGATTATCTTCCCCCTTGTCACCTACACCACGTGGTTCCAACCCTCGTACGGCGCCTGACTAGTACTACTGTAGTACTAGTACTAATAGTACTAAACCAAACACATATCAGTAATCAACACCACATACTAACGTTACTACAATCAATCGATTGATCATGACCCCATCGTGACTACCAACCTACTGTAGTATACTACTACAATAGGAGTACTTTAGTACTATTATTAGTAGTACTAAGCCAAACACATACCAGTAATCAACACCACATACAATCAATCGATCGATTGGTGTCGTAATCATGACCCCATCGTAGTACTACTACAATGCTCCTAGTACTTTGAGTACCCCCCCGTCCATCCGTGTAGCCATGTGTCGTTGGTGTGTTATTTTCTCAATTTTTGGTTTAATTTTAGCTTTTGTTTTATATCAATTTAATTTTAAATTATTTTATCATTTCAAAATTTCAAAAATACCCTTTAAATCTAATAATAAATAATTTAAAAGATAATTAAAATTAGTTTTTTTAGGTGTCCATGCTCCTGACTGAGTTGGCGGCACCGTCCATGTCGATTGGTCTCATGTATGTGCACCCTCTCCGCCGATACTTACCTCTGGACTAGCGTTCAATCCTGAATGTATTTCTAGTCATATTCCGAGCCGCTACAACCGCCCCCCATCGATGATGCCACCCCCAATCCACATGCCCTGATGGTTCGTTCATCCGTCTATGATTCTTGCTGCCATGTCAGCATTTTCGTCGAAATTGAGATGTATCTCTAGCACTACTGTAAGGTGATCCATAACCTCTTGATGTATGTACACTTAAGCAGTCGATGGCTTTGAGTTTTTGGCCTGGATGGCTACAGTCGCCGCCGCGCAAAGCCGCGCGACGAGGCCGTGGAGCTGCACGAGGGTAGTCAGGCCGTCGGCCACACACATGTGCGCTTGACCGATGAGCTTGACAAAGTCCAGCTTGAGACTCTCGTCCATGTCGGTGCTCTTAGCGACGCGGAACACGGTGCCGATGATGTCGAGAGCCGAGTACCCCGACTTCCACAGCGCCACCATGGCCTTCTCCGCCGTGACCATGTCGCCCTGGACACATGCATCGATGATCTCCTTGACGACGGTCGGGTGCGGCTGATCGCATACTTTGAACACATTCGCGTCGCTTATGTAGCCAAACCCGCTGAACGTGGCCTGGCAGTTGTTGAGCGCATTGCGCATGTCCCCTTCGGCCGTGAAGATGAGCGCTTCCATGCCGTCGTGGTTGTACCCGACCTTCTCGGCGTCGCACACGTGCACGAGGCGCTCGAGGATCATCTCGTCCTTGAGGCGCGTGTACCGCAGGATCGCGCACCGACTCTGGATCGGCTCGATGATCTTGGTCGAGTTGTTGCAGGCCAGCGCGAACCGCGTCGTGCTGCTAAACACTTCCATGGTCCGACGGAGCGCTTGCTGCGCCGCTGTCGTCATCGAGTCGGCTTCGTCTAGGATCACAATCTTCTGTCGATTCGGCGGTAACGTCACCTTTTGCATGGCGAACATCTTGATCTTGTTCCGGACCTAAGCACCACCGCATGAGAGTCCTGTGGACGAGTACGAGGGGGAACGTATGTAGATGCGACATTCGTACCGTGTCGATGCCACGGTCATCGGACGCATTCAGCTCCAGCACCGCCGTCTTCATCAACGCATCGCCCAACAGATCCCGCGCTAGACACAGAATGGATGTGGTTTTCCCGATCCCGGGTGGCCCGCTGATGATGATGTTCGGCATGTTCCCTTCCTTCGCGATGACCTGCAGTCGATTCACCGTCTCCGAGTTGCCGACGATCTCCGACAGCGTCGACGGGCGGTACTTCTCCACCCACGGCGCTTCAAACTCGACCGACATTTGTCCTCGTGGTGTGTTTGCCGCCAAATCGAAAGGAGGTTGTGCCATATGATTGGTCCATTTTCAATTAAATATTTCATATATTGCACCAATCGGTGTCATTAAACCATATTTTCAAAACTTTCAAAACGCGTTAAAGGATTTGGAATCCAACACGTTTCATAAAAAAAGCGGTTTGGCATTGTCGTTTTAAGTCCACGGTTCCGTTTAAACGTAAAATGACGTGAGTGCAAGTAAATACTTCGAAGTGTACTGGGGACTCAGCGGTGAGTGCCACGTCTGGCCGCGTGCCGCCTGGCTTTGTCGTCTTCGCGGAGTTTCCGGAGTCGGTCTATCCGCTGCCTTGCAATCTCATCCTGTCGCTTCTGTTCCACAACCTCGGGCAACTTTTCGTACAGCCGCTGATTGCGCGCTTTCATTTCAGCCGGCGAGATGACGTCCCGGCCTTCACGGACCCTCGACCTGCGTTGTGATGGTGGCGGTCTGGTTGTGTCTTGGGAAGGCGGCATTAGAATGTGCTCGGTGGCGGATGGTGTCGTATGTGTACGAGGGTCATCGGTGCTGCCACGACTTGACTGTTGGGCTAGCACATTATTCAATCAATCCTCATGAGAAGAGCACCACACAAGTTGGCGTGTTCATGTCAGGCGACACATAGAGAGTGGACATGAAGTCGGGAACAAGTATGCATACCTCGTTGTTCATCGGGGGTAGTGCCGCCACGGGACGGAGTCGGACGTGGCATCTTCCGTTGACTCATGCGGTGGTACAGCGCGGGGTTTCGTAGCCGAAGGTGGTCGGCGATGGAGACTGGTTCTGGTGACGACGACATGTCATCTTCTTGGTCGTCGTTGTTCGTGTTGGGACCAACATAAACGAACGAAGACGGCTCGAGCGGCGGCGGTGGCGGCGGCACAGACATATCCATGGGGAATGGAAACGGCATCGGCGGCAGCAGTTCCGGCATCCCTCTTCCATCTCCTCGATATGACATGCTCCAATACGGCTCGCATGTGCTATCATCACCAGTGTCGCCCCGTTCATATAAACCCATGGGCCTCCTACAGAGATATACACAATGAACGTCATCACAACAGGATTCATATCAATATGGAGAGTGTACTTGGACCGTACCTAGACGACCCACCAAGCCCCGTCGATTGCAAGAGTGTAGCTGGCATCCGCTGCACTGCATCCTCCTCTTCGTAGCTGGCAGAATCGTCTGGTTCATACGAAGGAGATGATGGCAAAGGTGGTGATGGGGGTCTCATGCTATGCCTATTGAATGATGGAGGCGGCGGCACAAAGTCCTCCGAGGTACTAGAGTATAGCGGCGGATACACGATCACTCGCGACGAGCATGCTTCCTCCTTCGTCGACGTCGATGGAGCTCGACGAGTGGCATCATGGGTCGTTGGGTGAATGGAAGCAGCCGTGGGGGGGCTATGGGGTGATGGTTGGAGCCTAGCTAGCGGCGCGGATGCCGGCGGTAGAGCTGCGTGGATGTCCGACATCCGGACCGACTGCATGGCAGTCGCTCCAATCGAAGACGCGTCGACGGCAGGTGACGACGACGAGTGGATGGTCGTGAGCATCACACCTCGTTGGATTATATCTTTGGCATCTTTAGGAGGATTGTGAGTCCGAGCTGCGCCAAACTGAACTTTCCACGCCGAGCCATAGATGGCAGACACGTCATGGGTGGTGGTGGTGGCTTGTTGTGGTGGTTGGGGGATGATAGTGGACAAGGCGCCTTCGTTCCCCCGATGAGATAATAACGACGACGACGGAAGGGGCAAGGATGTGCTGCCGAGAGCGACGAGCACGACGTCCTCGGCCACGTTCACATGGCCCCCCGACGATGCAGACGACGAAGGGGCGCTGTTGGGAAAAGGGTCATGTGGTTCTGTGACACGGGGAGGAGGTCGAGCAGGGGAGGACAATGGAGGGTGGTTCAACGACATCGCAGGATTCGTCGACGGTGATCGAACAGAGGGAGACGACGACGCATCTGCCCCCAGCGACTGGCGCACCAACGTCGACGTGTCATCCAAAGACATGCTGCTGCTGCTACTGCTACGTCCATGTGATGATGACTGCATCGATTGAATGGACAGGAGCGATTGCGCATCGTCCTCCACCATCACTTGAACGGCAGTCTGCATGTCACGAGCCGGCGAGTAGAAGCCGCCGTCGTCGCCAGTACATTCTGTTGACTTTGCATCAAGCGGTGGTCGTCGTTCTAGCGGCGCGGGGCTTTCTGCGGGAAGGAACCCCGTTGGCTGGTGGTGCATGGCACGAGGTGGCCATGGACCAGGGCTAGGTAGGCTTTGTTCAGAGTTTGGGGCTACGATATTCCGATTTGAACCAGGTTGGGTGTGTACATGTGCTGTTGCGGACATGGTCGTGGCCGTAGATGGATGATCTACTAGGGAGGATGTGGCCATATCGTCCAGTTCTTCAGTCGTCTTGTGCATCGCAGGTTGCAAAGGATCATGCAACCACCTCCCAGCATCAAGAGGACTACGAGGTCGCACTTGCGTGAGTACTACCTGGGCAGACATTGGCACAGCGATGTGGTTTTCGATATGGCTAAGCCGTCGCCCGTCCACGATCGCCGCGCGAGCCAAGTCTGCCACCGACGAACTCGATGACGACGAAGACATTTGGGACGTGTGAAGACTGCGCTTGCCCTCCAACCATCCGTCGTCGTCGTCGTCTTCAAAGTTGAGGTGGTGGATATCCCGAGTAGTTGCGACCCCGTGGTGACTCGTGTGGACGTCGTCCAGATGATGAAGTTGATCATGGGCACCAGAGGATGTCTCGGTCGCATGGCGGCGATGGAGGTCGTCGGCCCCCACTGGCATGTCGTCGTCACCAAAGACTGGCGGATACGGCCGCCCTGCACGACCATCGTATCGATCATTTTCGTCAGATGACAAAGATGGGGCGTGTTGGAGCCACTGCAACACGAGCGGGGCGTCCGCCGCCGACGCCTTCCCCGCCATGATGTCGTGGGATGGATGGTCGTCGTCGTCGTCATGGAAGAACGAGTGCTGGGAGGCCAGTGGCTCCGATGTCTTTTTCGACCACGATGACAATGATGATGATGACGACATGGGTGACGACGGGGCCACTGACGACGCCATGGACAAATCCATGTTGATGAGCGGTGCTGTCGTCGCCGATTTCCAGGCCAACATCATACTGTCTGGAGGGTTGTCGTCGCTGTTCCGTTCACGTTGATGACCACGGACAGTTGACGGGTCGTTTTTTTCTTCCCTCGTTATAGGAACAACTTCCATGTCCTCTTCTTCTTCGTTCGCCACGTCACGTCTACTACTACTAGTAGTAGGTACTAGTGACGTGGACATGTTGGACAGGTCGTGCACACTCTGTCGCATGCGGCCAACGGCATATTGCATGGCATCATGTTGTTCCTTGTCATGTTGTTCCTTGGTCGAGTAGGCAGACGACGACGACGACGAAGAGGAGGACCCGAGCAGGTCCTGGAGGCGCTGGCGGTCTCGTTGGAGGGCAGAAGACGACTGTGGCAACCGCGCCGCCGTGGCAGAAAAGACAGTTGACGACGACGACGACGAGAGGCTACTGCTGCTGCTGCTGTTGGATAGAGAGGACATCCGGCGCAACGTACGAACCGTGGGATGGAAAGCCGGCGGAAATGTCAGAGTGGGCGCCGACTCGGACTGATGGCGAGGGGGTTGAAGCGGAGAAGCAGGAGCATGAGGATCCCACGCGTACCCTTCGGACGAGTACGTTGACGAGTTCAAGTCAAAGCATGGCAAGTCAGTGTCGTCATCGGCATTGTCATCGTCATCGCTGGAACTGGCGGCAGCCTACCCAAACAAGATGCAGTTCAAATGCCATACTAGTATGATCCAGTAACGAGTAAGCAACAACACAAACTAGTTTTTTGTCGGATCATATGGAACCCATTCTAACGAGTAAGCAAACAGAAACAACATGACGTACGTGGAACTCGTGGTCGCCATGCCAAGATGGAGACCCACGACGAAGATGAGATGTATGGCCGTTGGATGTGTGGCAGAAATCGTCGCGAAGGGGCGGGGGGGCGGCCGTGTCGAACGTAATGGATAGCCGAACGTCGGCAGCGTCCCACTTGGCCTCTTTGTCTGTACGACACACCAAAGCGGGCGGCGGTAGAGATCTCTCTGGTACAGTAATGTCGGCGGGATGTACGACCTGGGTTCCTTTGTCGACCCCACTCGAAGGGGGTGATGATGTCGGGGGAACGACCACCACCACCCGTGTAGGTGAACCACTCAGATGTTGCAGAGCAACTGATGTGGCGTCATCGTGTGGGGGCGACGACTGCTGGCTCGAGATGACACCCGACGATACCAGCATCCTTGTAGACACGGATGGTGAAGTCGGGGGCTCGTCTCCACTGGCCGCCGTGAACGTGGTCGTCATGTCGTGGGAGGTCGTGAGCGTGCTCGGGCCTTCGATGCCTTCAAGTGTGCTCGGGTCCAAGCTGGACGCAGCATCGTTCATCTGTGTGGCAATTGCTGGCTCGGACAACGACGACGACGAGGACGACGACCTGACACATGACAAGTCCTTGGTTAAAGCACCACGTCGAGATGACGACGACGATATGCTGTGATTGGAGCTGGGTGACAATGACGATAGAGATGGTGCATGACGTGGTGACAATGCTGCTGCTGGTTGGAGTGACTCGTTTGGTTGTACGCTTGAGATGATGGGATGCTGCTCCGTCGTGAATTCAACTGGTGGTGACAATGCCGGTGACAACCGTCCTGCTATCGTCGCTTCCACAGGCGGCAATGGTGGGATGGGGGTGTCACCATCGTCGTCGTAGTCGAGACTAGTACTACTACTACTACTGCTCCACACCGATCCATGGGGACTCTCTGCCGAGGTTGGCTCACCCTCGTAGAGTCTACCGTTCGTTCCGATCTCTGCAGGATCTGTTGTCAACGTCATCGATTGTTTTGGACTTGCCACAGCATCGTTGTCTTGAATCGTGTCCACAGCTGGACCATGCACAGTCTTGCCCAGTGCCGATGGCCTCTCGTAATCCTCGACCCCGACGGTGCCAGTGTCGTCACCATTCGATGCAGGCGATGGCTGGCGTGGTGATGGCATCACAAGAGGCCACGCACGACGCCCCGCCTTGTCTGCCCTTAGCACACTCGTAGACGATATATGATCATCCATCTGTGGGTAATACACTGCCGACGACACCTCGGGCGGCGGTCGTCGTCGTCGTCGATTTGGGACATGCTCTGGTTCCGTCGTCGTTCGGTTTCTGTGTGGTGCTGCCGTGGGGGGTGCCGCGGGCATCACATCCAGCAGACGACGTCTAGGGGCTTGGCCGTCGGCGGCCTCCTCGTCGACGTCTTCCATCTGGCCATCCTGGTTCACATTCCATACCCTTGTGCTGGGCTGACTCGGCGGCGATGGCGCCGCCTCTCCTTCAAAACCCGACCGACTAAACGTAGCCTCAAACGCGGCTTCCGTCGCCCTTTCCAGGGTCTGCCGCTCCCTCGCGGATCGATGCATGACGTAGCGGAGGTCGCGCTGCCGGGCGGCTGTTTGCTGGGTGTACACTCTGTCTGCGTCCTGTAGCCACTGCAGCGTCGTCTTGGCGTCGAGGTCGTCGACCATCTGGCGCTCGGCGACGGCGCCGCGGTCGCGGGCGTCAGCTGTCTGCGCTTCCGCGGCCATGAACTTTGCATGAGTTGCTTGGTCCACCTCGTGCCGCTTACGACGGCCTTCGTTCCACGCATCCATCGCGGCAGCGTGATGGACATTGTGCCGCACGATTCGATTTCTCGTTACGGAGGATGATGTTGTGTGCGTCATGGCGTGCAGGCGGGAGTGATGAAGCATGGACTCGTGCACCTGGACGGGAGCGACGGATGTCGGCGATACGGTCGTGTGCTCCCGACGCGCCTCCACCGCACGAGCCATCGCGTCGCGATGCTGCCGCTCGCGCTCGTCCCGCTCAAGTTTGTGTCGCTGGACTTTCTCGGCATGCGCCCGCTGTCGACTTGCGATTTCGTGGATTTTGGCCATGTTTTCGCGCGCAATGCGCTCCCGCGCGGTGCGCCGTCGAACGTCCTCGAGGGCATCCTCCACAGCCGACGAGAAACGCTGGTCTTCTACGCCGTCGTTGTGTGCGAGGACCTCAAGCTGTCGCTTCGCGCGCGCCTGGAGACTAGAGTTGAGCTCCGTTGCCAATGTATGCGCGTCGCCAATGGCAGCCAGCGACGCATTGTACTTGGCGTGCAGCGACGACAACACGACAGACTTCTCCACTTCAGCCACTTGCATGCGTGCTGCGCGCTTCCTGTTGTGCGTTTGCTTCAGCTGGGCTTTGTACCATTGCGCTTGTTCCTGCGCGATCCGTTTTTCTTGCCGACGCACCTAGAGAAGCAATGGATGGTCCACGTGACGCACAACCGAGCGATGGAAGTACGTACCTCGATAAGCCTCTGCTTTCTTCGCCGCTGAGACTCTTCTTGTCGCAAGAAGTGCTCTTCACCTGAGCTCAACGGAACAAACATGATGTCCGAGAGGTGCCGCCGCCGCGTCCAATTTGAATTTTGGAATAAGACTTGGAGTCGAGTGCCTCAAATCCTATATGTTTATCCGGATGCTCCCTCCTTCCTGTCATTTGATTGGCCTACAACTTGTCACTCAAATTCGTACAAAATTGAACTGCAAGCTCACCATGCCGATGAAAACGTCAGGGGGACAAGAACGAGTAGATTCTTATGTCCACATGCAAGGCGCCGCGAGCGAGAACGAATGATGGCTTCCTCGATGTGAAGTATCTGCTAACTTAAACTCTTACAACTACTCCTGGCACTACCTCGAAGGAAACTGTGACCGCCTGGATGAGAGGGGACTGCTCGTGCAACTACTACCTTGTGCATGGCCGTCAAGTAGGAATGGACTTGTGTGGCACAACTTGACGAGTGTGTGGGCCGACTTCTTGAGAGCCAGCAGTTTGGCTTGTGCTTTTTCCGACTGCGATGTGTCGCGCACCAAGTCGCCACATACCTACGATCGAATCAATGCGTCCGTGGACCAAAACACATGAGATGATGTCGATCTTTCGTTACCTCATCAACCTGCTCCAGCTGCTGCACGCACACATCCAGCATATACCGAGTCCACATGCTATATGCCTGCCGTTGTTGTTCATCGTCTGTGTCCTTGTTGGGACCGCTTCCATCTCCTTTCACGTCCTCATACAGGGTCCGAGAACCTGTTGTCGAGTCGCACGTGGAGGAGCTGCTGCATGTAGTGCTCCCTGATCGCTCTCCCAACCCAATGGGGACTTGATGGGATAGCCGCCGCATGTTTGACGGGAAGGACGTGGCGCTAGTGTCGGAGCGACGACAAGGCGAGTCTGGCGGCGACAGCACTTCCACGGGCGTGTCATAGTTGAACGGGAATGGACGAACGGGCGGTGGAAGCTGTGCCGTGGCCAGGAACTGGCGTTGTTTCTGAAGCAGTTTGCGTTTCGTGGCGGCTTGCGACATCAAGTTGCTCCACTCGTCTGATGGCGTGTGCAGTTTGCGGTGGCGAAGGCACGCGATTTCAGAGGCCGTAAGTTGGTTCGTGGGGTGTTTGCTTTTGTTTTTCATGAGCAGTGTCATGATGAGCGAAGGCGGTGCCAACACAAGGGGCGGCTCGGACGGGGGCGGTGGCGATGGACGGACTTCGTCAGCTTTGTCTGGGGCAGAAACGTTGACGATACGACTGGAAATGTATTGCTTGGAGATCATAACTGATGTTCCCCGCTTCCATACATCGTCGTCGACAGAGTTGTCTGGAGAAGGAACCGAGAGCACGAGGAAGACACAATCGGCTTCCGTCGACATCTACGTTCTGTAAGGGTGCCTGCTGCCTGCATAAGAACCGTCCACCTACCTGCGGAGACAGCTGAATGTACACCGTAATGGTGCCTCGGGGCTGCAGCATGCCTTTTGATGGCTGTAGTCGAAAGCGCGACGACACGTTGCATTGTATCTTGAAGTGCAAGGGGACATGAAAGGAAGGGTTGTGCAGATGCAGACTTCGTTTCGTTCGGTCGCCAAGGACAAAGTCAAACGGACACGGTCGTGGCGTGATGTCAAGGGCAGCAGGCATGCCGCCGCCTCCTTCGGTCGGCATTGGTGTCGTCTCCATGGTACAAAAATGTGAAACCGTCAGTTCGCATAAGTTCGAATAATCTTAAATTTCGCACTTTAGCTACAATCCTATACGTCAAAGCAAAAGTTGATCGCGACGAGGAACCGCATCCGCGTCTGCGCGGGGTTGAAGATGACGTATTCGTTGTAATCCAGACCCGTTCCAAGATGAACATGCGCCGCCCGATTTCCGTCCATGTTTTGGCGCTTCAATGCTCCAAGCGGGATCACCGCGCCATCTATCCGTCGCAAGTCAATGCACGAGTACGCCATCATACTCGTACAGTACCTGGAAGCACATGTTCTGCGTCGGCCGACGGCGTGTACGAGCCCACTCCAAGGACACTGTGGTACTCGACAAAATCCACTTCCGCTTGCGCTCTCGAGTTGGTCGTGGTGCACGAGTTGGGGGTGCCCAGCGCAACCTATGTGATTGGTCATCACAGTTGTGGACGGCAACTGGCTTACCTCGCTTAACAGCAGAATGCCCGTGCTCTTTTCCATGGTTGCGCGGCAATATGGCGCAGATCTCGACACCTAATGCAGCGTAAGCTCAACAGATGGACATTTTCTTGCAACTTCGCAGCCATTACCGAATCGCTAAAGTAAATGCCTTTGCCAAAGCTATGCCCATTGCTAATCACGTGCGGCGGGGCAATTTGAAGGCCTAAATGCATGGTCAATACATACTATGGTAACGTAGCTACTCTCACCGTCTTTGAGAATGCCTGGCCAGTTGGTCATGCTGCTGCCGTGCCACAACAGCTACAAGCCGCCACGTCATCACATGTTTCGGCGCATGTCATACCTTTCGATTGCCAAATCGTTCAAACCGCTTGAATGCCATGGTTTCGTCCTGCGCATGACAAAAGACCTCACAATCATGTCATACCTCCACGTTCAATCTGCGATCATACAAGGGGCAACGTCGTTCTACCTCTTTCATCACCCGATACACTGCTTGGATCTTCATTTCGTACTGAACATGGTCCTTCGAGTTGTGCAAGTACGTGGCTACCAAGTCGTACTCCAGCGACTCCTTGGGCACGACTTCCAAATCCACGCCCAGCGCTGCATACTTTTGCTCCAAGTTGTCCAGCGGTGGCAAGTGGTGAAGAAACGAACGGGAGGGCTACGCATCCAAGGTTCAAAGTGCGTTCAGTCACAAGACATTGTTACGCTCGTCATGTGCAGCTCCTTGAGCGTCTCGCGGCAATTCTCCACCTTTTCCATGGAATCCAGCATCACGCGCGGCGGATACGTGTGTGGAATAGCTACATCATACTCACTGATGGTAGTCGTGAAAAGGTTCTAACCTGAAAAGTATCGGTTGCTCCACCCTAGGAGTTTGGCACGACGCCCCCGCGGCCCCTTTGCCTGCAACGTGGCCTCCACTTGGTCCAGAATTGAATGTGCCTATTCGTAAACTTGGCCTCTCATAGTTGCTGTACAGAAATGCTAGTCGTACCAATTCGATGGCAACTTGAGCGTATGGCAACTGCGACATCAACCACGTGAGACAAATAGAAACCATAACAATGTCATATTTGCATGGCAACTACTGTACATACTGGCAATGGCATGGGCACAGGAATGGTATCAAATGGCTTGATAACGTGACGATCTTGGTCGTCCTTGTACAATATGGACATCAACTTGCGCACGTCGGTATGCAGGGACGGACCCAAGCACCGATGGTCGAGCAATGCTAACGAGTGCGTCGACGGGTACTCCATGGCCACGTAGCTATTCGTTCATGACGTGGCAAAATTTTCTCTCTTTCATCGTACCAATACAGGCCGTCAAACGGGTCAACTTGCAACCGCGTCACATTGTTGACGCGATCGACCCACGCAACGCCCGTCTTTTGCTCAAACTCCGACGTGAACGAGTCAATGGCCAACGACGTCGACACGAAAAGCGGCGACAAGTCGGTGGACGTCACGTCATTCGACGTTGGGTCGTCCTCGTGCCAACTATTGTGCCGTTGCCAGACGTAGTACCCGTACGAAGTGGCTACGACTTGAAGCAGGCACGTCGCATGGCGTCTCGACGACAACGACGCCTACACACGATGTCAAGATGATGGCAACATAAGGAGGGAGGTTTGCGATTGTCAACTTGGTGGAGGTGGGCATCGTAGATGCACCCGTCTTGCTGGAACACGGTGGCTCCAGTTACATCGCCGCCGACGGCCGCGGCAAAGGCAAAATCCACCGGCACGCGTTTGTTGACGGGGCTGCTGACTTTGGCTTTCTTTCGAGGAGGGGTTTGACGATCATGGGTGGTATCGCTATTGTAGTAGGTGGTCCGGTAGAAGTGTTGGCTACGCCGTTTGCCGCCCCTCGCCATGTTGGACTGTTGTTGTGTAGTAGCCAAGTGCAAGATGGCTGCGTCGAAGAATGCGATGCGGAAGAAGAGGCAGGTGGTAGCGGAATATAAGATGTCACGGACCCCGTGTGGGGCAATACTACCGTTGCGTGGGACGCGGCGATGTATGTGATGGACTTGACCTTGCTGTCGAAACCCATCATCGGACGACGAATGCGAGAACACTCGAGATGTGGATAGTATGATACGAAGGATAAGAGCTGATTATGTGCAGTTGTGGTTCTAGTCTGGAAAGGCAAGACGTTGTCTACTTTGCTTTCTCCTCTTGCTTCGACTGGTTCTTCTTCGTGTATTCGCGAGACGGCGGGATCGGTAGCACATTTGCTAGCCCCAAGAGAAACGACACGCGGTCGCTGGGCTGGGCGCCGACACTCAACCAGTACTTGACGCGGTCGTTGTTCACACGCAGTTCCTTCACGCCATCCGTCGCTGCAAGCGGGTTGTACGTGCCGAGGATCTCCAAATGACGACCGTCACGCGGATAGCGCGCATCGGCGGCAACGATGCGGTAGAACGGGGAGTGCACGCGGCCCCATCGGGCCAGACGAAGACGGACGACCATGGTGATCAAAATGCGGAAATCGGTCAGTTGGTGGTTCTTACGAGACCGCAAAATTGCACCAATCCGAAATCTAACGCCATTTCATTGGTCCATAATTCAATTACTTGAAGGCTTTTAGCGAATCAAATCCCTTGATTTCACTCCTTTTTCGATGAAAAACACAGTTGAAACTGCAAACATGAGAAATAACCGGATATTTTGTCCGGATATTATTGGCCCTTCACGCGAGTACTTCACAGTGACGACAATGCGGCGCCTCCATGGTCGCATGGGGCAACATGTGGCCAGGATATCGAGGCAGGACATGTCCACGCTTGCCCGATGGCAGCAGAATTCCATGATGACGATCGTGGCCATGCCGCAACGATCATTTAGCACAGATGTACCCAAGAAAGAACATGGCTTTCGACCGCAGATCCATCGACTGCTCTATTCGAGCAACACCACGCTCGAGGAAGTGTTTACAATGCTGGCGTCCCGTGTCGCCCCATACGACTCGAAAGGTTCGGATGCGTTCTTCTACAAGTGTCTGCAGCACGACTCGCTCAGTCCGTCGTTCTTCCACGACGTTGTGTCGTACTTTGACCGCTTCCTTCATGATGACCTTGTCGGACCGAGCGACGGCGCCATGGCATCTGTCGTCGCTCTCTTGATCAAGCACGGTACTGTATCGATCCCTTCTGCACGAACGATCGATCTAACCATCATCAAGGACACCTCGACCACGCCGAATCCTCGCTTCGAGTGCGCCTGGACCGGTTTCCAAACTTGCCGCCGCATTTTCGAGTGCACGCGCCTTTCATGGAGCATTACATTGCAGGTATTAACGCGTCCTCTTGGAAGCGTCTTCCTGACCAAGCTCCGCGTCGTTATTTGCATTAGTCGGTGCGTTGGAACTTGCTTGGAAGTGCTGGGAATCAATCAAGTCGTCGTCGACCATGCATTTGCCCCCCGATACAGTCGGCCCCATCTTGGTACTCCATCCTCCGTCGTCATCCCCATCATCATGTTTACGCGCGTAGGCATCGTTTGCATTGGCTGCGTTGCAGCATAACGACGAGCATCTGTTGCGCAAGATCATGCAAGACCTGCATGCATTGCGCTATCAATTCTCACCCGCGGATGCATCAGCGTGGGAAGCTGCCTGGCACCCGCCGAGTCCTACCGCCCAACCACACATCGCTGCGCCGATGGGACAATGGTCGCTCGGTCGCCATGCCCAGCAACTGCCAGTACGTCCTGCCTTTATAGTATACAATGTCGTTAAACCGAGGGATAGGTGTGCACTCAGTGCAGGGAACCCCTCGAAAAACTGACTGTCCGTCCCGCGGAGCTGGCGCACTTGCTCGAGGTCGTGCGAGCCATGTGCGTCGCCGCATCGTCTTCCCGACACACGTCAAAGCAGCAACATCATGCCGCCGCCGAAGCCAACAAGAAGCTCACGGCACTGGCCGACTTTGAAGCGTGGCTGTCCCGACGGCATGCACAGGTATTGTCGTTTTACCTCAAATTTGGACTTTTGTGCTGATATTCGTTAAATCTATCGATTGATTTTCGTTGTACTGACTTTTGTAAATACTGTACCCATCGGCCAGTGTCACACTAATTTCATTCACACACACTATTTCGATGTTGCATGAGTGGATTTGATTGGCTACTTGATGAATGTTGTGGGTTTTGATTGGTCGATCATCGATTGTCTGCCGATTTACTCATTCGATTGAGTACCCCCAGTTCGACCGCTGAGTTTTTTTTCAATGTTTTTTCTCGTATTTTTCTTGGGTATACATACATGTGCATGTTGTGAATCAACGTTTTTTTTTATTTTAATTTTACGTTTTTTTGTTTTGCTTTTGTCCGGTAGTACATACATTACCGTTTACAAATCTACCTTGCACTTCCTGTAAGTTGAACCTTTGGATATGGTAAATACTCCACATTGAGATATTGTGCTTTCGAGTGAAATTTCATTGTGTTGTGGTTTCTCGTTGGAATTTAAATCGATTTGATTGGCTACTTCAGATGAGCTCAAAATTATTAACCAATCAAAACCCATTTCTCAATGAAATTCAACCAATCAGATCGATTGTGGGTACGGTTTGGTCGGCGCGATATTGCACCCCCTTCCCAAATTTGTACTATCAAATTTCGACAATACCAGTCAGTACTCACAAGAAGATGACTTGGCTACTGTATGATACAGGTGGCCCCTGGGAAGATGCATTACATTGTGGATGGACCGAACGTGGCCTACTTGAACCAAAACTTTGAAGGCGGCGCGTTCCGCTTTGACTATGTGGACAAGGTCATCACCGAGTTGGAGGCCCAGGGCCACGTCGTGTCTGTCACGATGCCATCCATCTACTTTAACGAAAAGTCTCTGCTCAGTGTCAAGGCGTCGACAGCCAACCGTCGGCAGGTACATCGTCGTTTGTGTCTTGTGACTGATATGGGATCGATTATAGCGCAAGGAAGGCAAAGTGTTTCACCGCACACGCACCAACGCGGACAAAGCTTTCCTGGACAAGTGGGAAGCCACCGACGTGGCGTTCAAATGCCGCCGCGAAGTACACGTTGATGAACCAAGTTCGCTGCTCACGGCTTTGTGGATGCAACTAGGTGGCCCCAGACGACTTGTTTTGGCTGTACGCGAGCTTGTTCTTGGCATGCCCCCCCCAACAGCACAATGTGCGCGTCGTCACCAACGACATCATGCGCGACCATATCGTCGTGCTCACGGACCGGTATCACATTTCCCGCGACCTTATCGACCGGTGGCGTGATAACACGCTTGTCGGTGTGCGTATCCTGGATCGAAACCTCAAGCCCGACGGGGTTGTGGCGAGGTCGTCGTCGTACCAGTCGTCGGCTGCTTCCTCTACCAGCAGTCCGCTTCAAATGGAGATCCTCGACACGTTGCCGTACTCGCTAGTGGTGCAAGGGAAGGGCACCCCGAGCTATCACGTTCCTGTTGTCAGCACCAGCTCGGCCGTCGAGTGGCTCTGTCTTACGCGAGCCGCCAAGCACCACGGAACATAGAACATCAGTCACTTGTCATCAAGCCAAGAGTGTATTCATCGACCATGGCGCGACTGTACAACCATGGATACTGTAAATAGGAGGGAAGTTTTGAGAAAAATAAAATGAAAAATACGTCGAAATATTGACTAAAATTCATTAAGGTTTGAATGAATATTGCCTTTTGTTGGAAAATATATTCAGAAAAGTCAAAAACCATTCTTGTCAGTACGGGTATAGTGATGTTCCTGGCATGCTACTTGCTGACGCCGGCAGACCCGAAGAAGCACATGCGGATGTCGTACATTGGCTTTACCGTAAGCCCCAAGCGTCGGATTCGACAACACAATGGCGAGTTGGTCCAGGGGGCCAAGAAAACGTTCAAGCATCGGCCGTGGTAACCAGATCGTCTGTGGAAGGAGCAGCACCACCTTTCACATGATGTATATCACAGGGAAATGCTGTTGGTTGTGTACGGCTTTCCCACCAAAGAGCTGGCGTTGCAATGTACGTACGACGCCCCCCATGACCCTTCGCTCCTTCGTACGAGACACATTAGCTCACGAACGCACTGCACAGTTGAATGGGTCTGGCAGCATCCATACAACAGCAGGTTCACAAAACCAACGATGGGCCACCTCAAGACCGACAAATCTCTGGGTCCGATGCGGTCGATCCAGCGAAAAGTCAGGGAATTGCATCTCGTGCTCAACTTGGCACCGTGGTCCGACCTGTCCTTGACGTTGTCGTATACTTCCCACGGTAAGGTCAAAGGCAGTTCGTATGATGTGTCATACCCACCTTGGAAGCGATGTTCGTCGGTAGACATGTTGGAATGGAGTCGCACGCTCAATGCATTCCGCCTGCCTCCCGTCATGCGAACCGTGTGCTCGCCGCTCGACGACTTGCCTACCACAACGTCCGACGACGACGCCGACGATGATGCCGCCATCAAGTGCGATGAATGCTCCCAACCGATAGCCTGTCGGGATGAGCCCATGCTGCACTGCTACGTCAACTCGTGCGCCATGAAGTGCCATGTCGCATGTCTATCGAAACGATTCCAAGCCCATCATGAGAACTTGGCGTTTGTGCCGCAAGTGGGCACGTGTCCGCTGTGTCTGAACGAGTTGACCTGGTCCAGACTGTTGACCGAAGCCATCAATCCAGTCCATTCCAAATCCCATGGACACACAGTAACACCGTCGTCGTCCACGCAACAGAAGAAGCCGCGACGACAACAACTGCCGCCGACGCCATCATCCTCACCCTCCTCGTCCTCCTCTCGCAGCATAATGCAGGTGGAACTTGCTCAGAGGCGGCGGCGGCGGCGGCGACTGGGCGAACAGGAACCCCTCGATCGACAAGACGACGACGACATGGCGACGACCACGGATATGGCCAGACTGTCGTCACCGTCGGCGGCGGCGATACTAGTCGTGGACCTCGTCTCCGAGGATGACGATCTTGACGATGCAACTTAGATGGGTGGTGGTCATGGCACTGCGATAGACTTGACGAGGAGGTCGGTTACATTCGGTTACTTTGTAACTGTCGAAAACGTGTGGGATATATTGAGTGTATATATGGGAAGAGTGTCATCCGACGATATATGGGAAGAGTGTCGTCATGCTGATGCTCCGTGATGAAAGGGACGACCGACAAAGGTTGACCGTCAACACATCGTCGTGTGCCTTGTCGCCCCCGTCGTTGGAGCAATTGCTGCCGAGCCCAGCTGGACGACGTCGAGAGGTGCAGTTACTACTTAGTAGTAGTACAGGATCGTCGTTATTACTATATACTGCAAGAGTACGAGTGATCGTATCTGATCGTTGGTTGTGGGGGCTAGGAACTGTACCAGACCCAGCCAGTGATCTTCCCTGGCTCCCCGTACGTACATATATACACTGGCGCGGACACCAAAGTTGGTGTACGGTTTTGTAGGATCTGGCACGATGGCCCCACGACGAATGACGAAGGATATGACGCCGTCCGTCGTCGAGGCGGGCGACCTCGATTCTCCCGTATACAATCGCAGTCGTCCAAGCAGCACACCGGTCGCGTGTCGGGGCCACAACAACACTCGATGACAGGTACTACTACACTTGCAAGTGTATGTGAAAGGCCTGTGTCTTTTCAGTATCATAATATACTGTCCTTTTACCCCCATATCTACTTCCAGGATCACACGAATTTCAATCACACACACTATTTCGATGTGGTCGGATGATTTGATTGGCTACTTGATTCGAGTTGTGTTTTTTGATTGGTCGTATGTATCGATTGTCGTGTCGATTTGGTTAGAAGACCTTCATCACACGAATTTCAATCACACACACTATTTCGATGTTGACTACGTGGTCGGATGATTTGATTGGCTACTTGATTCGAGTTGTGGTTTTTGATTGGTCGTATGTATCGATTGTCGTGTCGATTTGGTTAGAAGACCTTCATCACACGAATTTCAATCACACACACTATTTCGATGTTGACTACGTGGTCGGATGATTTGATTGGCTACTTGATTCGAGTTGTGGTTTTTGATTGGTCATATGTATCGATTGTCGATTGGGCTCGTCTGGTAGTCGTAGACGATGGAGCACTCCTCCGACTCGAATGTACCGAATCGACTGCTTGACAATAGATGGAGTCACGACTACAAACGACTGTGTACTTAGTATCTACCTCATGGGAAGTGTGTTGTGTAGAGCTCAAGGGCGATGATGAGTGGGAGTGTGTGGTTGTGTTTGGTCTTGTGGGGGTACTCTGGGTCGTGGGCGTGTGCCTATCGCTGTTCCTGGTGCGTTTTCCAGTTCACGTATACACGGCGCAAGCCATTTTGATCGTACTGGGGCCGCTCATGCCGCTGTATTGGTTGGTGCGTCAGTTGTTTCAATGTGCCAGCCACATGCGGCCAAAGATCGACGACAACAATGATGACGATATGTAGTAACTTGTAGTAGATCGTGATGGGTATCATCTCCCCCCTCCCCCCCCGAAAGATGTACTAGTAGCTCGTGTAAAAAGTCCCTACCACGAACGAATTCCCCCCACGGTAGTGCCTGAACGCTTGTAGTTTGAATGGGAGAGCGCCATGTAGGAATAGAGGAGAGCTTTGGAACACTAGACGTGGAGGAGTATTTACTGTATAATATATACTACTCTTTATGGCATGGTAGGACATGGTAGGACAGTTATCCGGAATCCGGTTAAAATTTGTTATACGGATTTAACCGGTTGATGTTGTCCCGATCGTGCAGCCCCCCCCACACATAAGGGCTGCTGACAAAAGTTTTAGGCGCCCCAAAGGCTCTTACGCTGGTCTATCATTGAACGGCATCGCACGTGTAGGGCTTTTCGCCACAAAAACCTGCGGTCGGTTTTGGAGGTCTGCCTTTAATGTGACGCATTCGACATTGAGGCAATGTGAACAATGGATGTATTTGAATTTTGAGCTGTACCGCATGCACTTTTTCGGCAAGGACATGGTGTGACGCATTGCGACTGGCAGTTGTCACTTGGTAGGCAGATTCCTTTGAAGTTATTATGGAAAGTCACTGAATTGCAAGGACTTCCCTGGAAATGAGACTAAACTATTGCAACCCATATTCGAGCTAATACGTAACGTTAGTAAAACCTAACGTTAGTCTAAGGTCTGTGCAATGAGACCTTGACGTGCAGTGTTGGTACATTGCGTACTGCAAATGATGCCATCATGATTCACAGTCCAACAAATCAGTCGCAAAATGGATAACGTTATTATGCCCTCAGGCGATGCCCAATTTAGTGCAGTACACAGGGCAGTCTGGTGAATTCTACAGAGGTGCATTAATCGGCGCTCCTTGACTGTAAACTGTGGGTGGGCTACTGTACGTACACCCTGGGAAGTAAGTTGTCTTCGTTGGGGCAATGGATCCTGTGCCCCAAATACCGATTATTTTCACGAAGTACGGTATTTCGGGGGATACGAATAACTGCTGAATTATACGGATGGTAGGACCACCTGGTAGGGTTTTGGTAGGAAGTGGTAGGAAACAAAAACACCATATACAGGACCGCAGTAAAAAGCACTATTTTGGTCCACGACTCGAATACATATATGTACTTACAGTTAGTCGACGGCCGAACGCTGGACTCGAAACAGGTTGTACGGGGTGTCAAGTTGTGGATTTTCCCTGGATGTCGTGACGACGGCGCGTCACGTCAGCAATGATTACGAAACATCCAATCATCGACCAGGACAGTCCCTTTGCGCCCATTGGTGACCCTGCTTAGCTGAGCAAGCGTACTGTACTCCGGAGAAGGACTCGATGCTTCTTCGCGTACAGTACTGGACAATACCTCGTAGTACATGTAATCATGCTGTGCATATGAAGGCTCGAGGTACCCCGACACCATCGACAGGCCAACACCAGCATGATACTCTGGTCAAGATTGCACCAACTCATGTGGCATGTTAGTATTGGGGTCGAACAACTGGTTGAAGCATGCACGACCAAACCTGTGACAATTGATACTCACCGCCGACCGACTGACATAATCATGCAATCCCAGAATATATTGTACCATCGTTGACTCGACGTCGAAACAGTAATGTCATAATGTACTGACGTTAGTATTAAGAAATAATAGTAATATTAATAGTTAGGCACGTGTCGTACAGTGTACTACATTGTCAGCGCAATCGCGGCATCCGCGATCGCACTGCGACGTTAGAAAGGCATGCGCGTCCATGTAAGTACTACATTGTAGTATACCACATCGCTTATGTAAACATCTTATACGGGCTTGCAAGTCAATGGATCGTACTTCAAACGTCATGTTACGTGCACGCTGTGCTCTCGAGTATTCTACCTCGCTGTCGAATTTCAATCGAAATTCGTTTTAAATCAATTTCAAATGCGTTTGAAACACACTCGACGTAGCCAATGGAGCCGACGGCGTCGGTTTGTAAACAACATCGAGATATTAAGTTTCAAAGGTCCTATGGAACACGAAGTCGTCGTCACTTTTCGTTTCTCGTCGTCGACCTCAAGCGTATCAACATCGTTCCAACCACATAGTACATCCATCTCATGGTGTTCGCAAAGATTCACGTGGAAAACCCTGTCGTCGACCTCGACGGGGACGAGATGACGCGCATCATCTGGCAGTTGATCAAGGACAAGTTGATCTTCCCCTTCTTGGACTTGAAGACCGAGTACTACGACTTGGGCGTGGAGCATCGTGATGCCACCAACGATCGTACGAAGGAATCCATGGAGCCTTCGTTTCCATCAACTCATGGCAACGATGTGAATGTATTGTAGAGGTGACGCTGGATGCGGCCCGCGCGATCTCGCGCCACAACGTCGGCATTAAATGCGCGACGATCACCCCCGACGAGCAACGCGTCCAAGAATTCAAATTGAAGGAAATGTGGAAGTCGCCCAACGGCACGCTCCGCAACGAGTTGGGCGGCACCGTGTTCCGTGAACCGATTCTGTGCAAGAACATCCCGAAGCTTGTGCCTGGGTGGAAGGAACCGATCATCATCGGTCGCCACGCGTTCGGTGATCAATACAAGGCGACGGACTTTGTCGCCCCGGGCAAGGGTACGTTCAAGATGACGTTTGTCCCGGACGATGCTTCCCAGCAGTCCCAAGAATGGACCGTGTACCATTTCAATGACGCCGCGGGCGGGGTTGGCATGGGCATGTACAACACGAAGGAATCGATCCTTGGGTTTGCGCGGGCGTCTTTGGAATACGCGTTGGACCGCAAGATGCCGTTGTATTTGTCCACCAAGAACACCATCTTGAAGCGATACGACGGGCAGTTCAAGGACGTGTTCCAAGACTTGTATGACACGGAATACGCTGCCAAGTACAAGGCCGCGGGCATCTGGTACGAGCACCGGTTGATCGACGACATGGTGGCGCAAGTGCTCAAGTCCAAGGGCGGGTTCGTGTGGGCATGCAAGAACTACGACGGCGACGTCCAGTCGGATATTCTAGCCCAAGGGTTCGGGTCGCTCGGGCTCATGACGAGCGTGCTGTTGACCCCCGACGGTAAGACCATGGAAGCCGAAGCTGCGCACGGTACGGTCACGCGGCACTTTCGCGTGCACCAAAAGGGCGGCGAAACCAGCACCAACTCGATCGCGTCCATCTTTGCGTGGACCCGCGGGCTGTTGCACCGCGCGGCGCTAGACCAGAACGCAGCGCTGAAGACGTTTTGCGAACAGCTGGAAGCGACCGTGATCGAGACGGTTGAAAACGGCCAAATGACAAAGGACTTGGCGCTGTTGATCCACGAAGACAAGATGGAGCGCAAGCACTGGCTCAACACGTTCGAGTTCCTCGATGCTGTCGCGGAAAACCTCACTGCCAAGCTCACCTTGCACCAATAAGTATAATACCCACTCCATCACCACAATGAACCCAAGTGGGAGGTTGTAAGAAAGCACGGAGTACAGTACCTACAGTAACTTCGCTCTTGCGATAACATTACGTGAGAGGACCTCTCGGTGGTGTAGGCTGACTCGACTGATGATGTATGTACGAGTAACTACGTAGTAACTAGAACGTACTACTAGTTAGTATATATATATATATATATACACGTCAAGGTCCGTTGTGGAGAAGCCATGGTGCGAACGACGTACTGGTAACTAATGTGAATCCCCTAAACATGACGCGTACGGAGGAGGAGGTCACACACCATCGTAGGACTAGGATACGAATGCAGTGTAGATCGGTGTACAGTAAGCTTACATACTCTCATGCCATTGCCCTCACAAGCAATGGACTCATGCAAGTCGCAAACATGCGGCGCGAATCCGTGGCCGCGATTGTGTGTCAGGTTGTGCTAGGGACGTCAGGAGGGTACATTAAGCTTACTCTCATGCCATTGCCCTCACAAGCAATGGGCACCATGCAAGTCGCGAACATGGGGCGCGAATCCGTGGCCGCGATTGTGGTAGGGACGTCAGGGGAACGCAGCATTGGATTGGACAAAATACGAATAATATTCCACCAATTAGATGGAGAATTTGAGTTTTGCAAATACCCGACAGATTGGCCGACGGACAGACGTTCCCACCTCATCTGGCAGTTGAAGAAGGAACGATGAGCGACGAAGAAGGCGTCGGCGGCGGCGGCGGCGACATGAGTGAACACGACATCATGAGGACATTGCGCGCTTTGTCTCGGCAATCGCAAGACCTTCCACAGACGCTTCGAGGTACAACTACCCGAGACTACACGTCGGGTCCCATGCAGCTGACCTGCTGCTTCTTCGTAGGACTGCTTGGGCAATTCGGGGGTGACCTGCCGGTACGATCCCCCGCATTTCTGCTACTGATATATGAAGGCAGGCGTCATGATTAAAAGTTCTTTGTAGATGATGTTTGGTGCCCACAACCCGCAATTCCGCAACCTGCTGGAGAAGATCCAACCGTCAAACGCGCCGCACGTGCAAATGGTACACCACCCATACTGTAATCAAGTCCTTGATTACTTTCATTCCCACGTCTTCTCGTTTGGACGTGGAGCATATGATCATGTCGTGTCTCGTAGGCAAGCCTGTCAGAACTATGTGAGCAGCTCACGATGTCGTCGTCGGAAGAGATGCTGGCGTTGTCGGGGTTTCGAGCCGACGCGTTCGTCCCTGTGTTGGCGACACTCGTGGCCGCGCCCCCCTCCGACTCGATGGACATCCTCTTGCTTGCATGTCGCGCCTTGGCCACGATTTTGGACGTGATGCCATCCGCGGTCGACATCGCGGTCGCCGCGAACGTCGTCGCCAGCTTGTGCGACAAACTGCTCAACATCGAGTACATGGACGTGGCCGAGTTGGCGCTGCGCATGCTGGAGCGCCTCTGCTCGTCGTCGGCCGGCCGCGCGGCCGCCTTGCATGAGAATGGGGTCGTGGCGCTGCTACAATTCGTCGACTTCTTTGCCGTCGACGTCCAACGGACCGCCGCGCGCACCGCGGCCTTGTTGTGCACGGACGCAACATCAATTCCGACGCTGCAGTCGACTGGCGGTCTGCAGCTGGTCCACGCGCTCACGAGATCGTTTGACGCCGACATTGTCTACCACGGCATCGATTGCTTAGACCGGTAAGGACTTGTGAACGAACGACAGAAGCATCGATATGGAGGAAGGCTCAAGTATGAATGGGCCGTGATTTCTTTAGGAGTTATTGTGCTTATTTCACCCAAAGGTGGACTTGTGATTTCACCAAATAAATCCGATTGATCCAATTTAAGCTTGTACAAACTATACTATACAAAGATTAGTATATATATATGGTTTTGAGGACGTTGAGTCAAACGTTTGGATTGGCAGATATTCGACAGAATGTGATTTGATTGGCTTAGGCGGAACTTTAATCCATGCTGTTAAGACATTCGATTTTGCTTTGAGGGCTCCAGTTTCGAATCGATTTAAACACAATATATATATATATATATATTTGCATTATTTGTTTGTGTTGTACGTTGTGGATAGCAATTTATATTTGTACTTTCAGCCATAATATTTGGGTATTTTGTGCTGATGCACAGCTTATTGTGTATTGGTATAAAACACGTCTAGTGTCACACACAAATATACGTCATACAATCATTCGATGTTGCATGGCTGAAGAGGGACTTTGATTGGCCACTTTATTTGTGTTCTGGGTTTTGATTGGTCGATCCTGCGCATTCACCCCCTGCGATTTCGAATCGAACTAACAATGCAGTATATATATATATATATAGATGGATTGCCTTACAACACTTGTATATATAGTATTCGTATCGGATTGATGGCCTTTCGTACATATTTTAATCTTTTTTTATAGTTAGTAGCCAGTGTATCTCACATCCATGTGTATATTGTACACAAACTATATACATACATCCCTGGTATGATGAATTATATTTATTGTTTTATATGTATGTAGACTTTGCACCTCCCTCAGTGCCCAAGGCAACGACGCCGACTTGTCGAATACTTTGGTGGTGGTTATCGACTTGAATACGTTGGACCACCTGCTGGCACTTCTCGCTACATACCCCACAACTTCGAGAATGCCAGACAACATGAAGCCTGCCACGTATGGGCTACTGGTTCACATCTTGTCTGTCGTGGGTCGTCGCGTGTACAGTCGTCGGCTAGTGGACGGAACATGCGACAGCGTTTCTGTGGTACTGTGTGCGATGTTGGCGGCTCAGGACCCCCCCAGCGTCGTCCGCGCCGCGCTGCACTTCATCGACGACGTGATCGTGTCGTTGAGTAGTAGTTCGTCCGACAATACACTTTGCGAGTTGGCAGATCACATGCTTACCACGAAGCTGGTACCGGCCATGCTGTCGTCCTTGGCGGGTTTGGCCGACCCGATGGACGACGACGACGCCGCCGACACGCGCGCGAGGCTCGTGGACGTGCTCACCGCCGCCATGACGACCGTGTCGCATCGGGCGCTCAAGCACGTGGATGCCTTGTGCTCATTTGTCGCCACCACGTTAAAGCGTCCGCGGCGTCGGCGTCGGCACGTCGCTTCCGTCGGGGCCGTTGACGACGAGAAACGTGACGATGTTGGGTCCACAGAAGTATCGCTGGCGCTGTGCGTCATGTCCATCGCACTGACCCATGCGCATGATGAATACCACGTTCGGTTTGTGCGCGATGGCGTGTACCAAGCGTTGGAAGGGGTTGCCCACGAGCCACCAGTGGCCACCGCCAACACCCACGCAGCTACCCAGCTGTTGGCTACGTACAAGTCTAATGCGACGACGACCCCCGCGCTGGACGCCCTCGCGGCGTTGGCACGGGACCTGCGCGGGGGGTCGTCCAACGCAGGGGTAGGTGCCGTCGTCTTGCGGCTGGCCGACGTGTTTAGGTCGCCTGACGGCGTGACATCGTACGAGCTCACGACGAGCGCGGTGGTGCCGGCGTTGGTCGAGTTTATTCAAGCGTCGACGGATGACTTTGGCGAGATGGTTGCGACCATGTCGGACGTGAGGTGGGTGGTGGCGTTGGTGGCCACTGTGAAAGAGGCGGTGGTTTCGCAGTGGAACCCTTACCACCTAACGCGACCAGGGACAGATGGGTTGTTTCCATCCGTGGTGGCCTCGATGACCACGTCAGGGCGTCCGGTCGCACACGTGATGAACCTGCTCGCACAGCATTTGAACGTCCGACTTCATGTGAACGCTATGATGGGAAGCCCCGCGATCGCCGACACAACAACGACGACGACGGTGGTGCTCGTGGAGCCATTGGCGCGTGTCGACACGATGCAAGCGTTTGTCGCTGCCAAAATGTTTGGCAAAGATCAGCATCACCACAATGATGATGATGACGAAGAAGACGTGACGGAGATGCAGGAGGGGGATGGAGAAGACAAGGCCCGGATTCGTACGACCGTGGACGGACACGTGTTGCCGCCGTCCATGACCATCTTGGAAGCGTTGATTCGCAGCAAAACGTGTGGATGGACAAATGATTACGAGGGGGATGAGGATCTGCCGTGGGTGCCCGTCGAGTCGTTGTGGGATGCGCCGATGGACTTGACGTTTCACATGGCGGCCACCACCCCCCCGAACGAAACCCCCACATTACCCGTGACCAACTGTCATGACGACGACAAGAATGCTCGGGGATCTGTCGTTGACGACTGCTTGGCGTTGCTGGCGTTGCTGTACAAGATGTCATTGGTACCCCCCACGGCGTTTGAATCGCCGGCGTTGGCCATGCACTTGCAACGCACGTGCTTGATGCAGCCTCTCGTGGTGGCGCTACAAGCGTTTCCATGGGCAGTCCGCACGATCGCGCACTCGTACTCGTTCTTGCTGCCGTTCCAGGCCAAGCTACACCTGATGTACGCGTCGAGCTTTGGGTCGGCGCGCGCGATCCAGTACCTGTCGAGGACACTGTGGAAACTTCCAGGCGGACGACGCCCCGACGCGACGGGAAGCCGACGACGGGACGACGCGGCACTTGCCGCCGCCGTGGCGCGCGTGGCTAAGATACCCCGGCTCAAAGTCCGTGTCGCGCGGTCTAAGTTGCTGCAGTCAGCGATGAAACTGCTGTCGACGTATGGCGGCCAGAAATCCATCGTTGAGATTGAGTACTTGGGCGAAGTCGGCACAGGTATGTACATATCAACACAGTCATATGTACTTGTGGCCCGTTTATATATCGTTGGATGTAGCCATGTTTGAAACGTGTATTGTATTTGGTTACCAATGTATTGGTTTTGTTTGGGTGCTAGGGTTGGGTCCGACGACTGAATTCTACTCGTTGGTGAGCCAAGCCATGCAAGCCAAGCATTTAAACATGTGGCGCGACGAACAAAGCAGCAGCGCGACGGCCGACGCCGAGTCGGAACCCCCCGCAGCCGCTATCCCCCCGCAAGAACCCCCCCCCCACCACGCCATGCCCGTTCGAGGGTTCCATCGGGTCGTCGTGATCGTGTGCAACACGTGCGCGCACCTATCAATTCCCACTTGTCCGACGCACCAATGTCTGCTGACTCAACCCAACGACGGTAGCCACAGCAGCAGCTCCACGCCGCCCAGTGGCACTCCCGAGCCCCACTGCCACGCGTGCTCGTTCTCATGGTCGATGCATCAGTGTCGCCATGCTACCGCCACCTCGCCTTCTCTTTCTGGAAGCCTCGATACAGAAAATGGTGGTGGTGGTGCGGCGGCCCCCCATTCCGTGTCATGGCGGTGGTGGATTGTCAGCGACAGCGAAGTCGCGTACTTGTCGCAGGCGTACCCCCGAGGCACCCCCAGTGTCGTGCATCCGGTTTTGCAGTGTTCGCATTGCGACACGGTGACGTTCCCGGGCACGGAGGCCGGCCTTGTGACGATGGTGGACGGTGGTACCCGCATGGTAGCGCGAACCGGACGGCGCATGTACGAGCGCGACTACCGCGCCGTGACCAAACACGCGTCGGTGCATTGCGAAGGCACGCCGCTCACCCAAGTACTTTGTATTGTGTGGTTCTTTATTTGCGTTAACGTCTATTTTGTTGATAGACCAACGTTGTGCTGTACGAGTTGGACGTGGACACACTCGTGGCCCTCGTCCCCCAAAGCCCGGAAGTACTCGACACTGAATTGGATGGACTTGGCATCACGTCGTCATTTCACACGGACCTGGACGACGCAGTTGAGGCGCCGCATGGATTGTTTCCGCGACCGATCGACCTCCATCCTCCATCCCCCTTATCCTCCGGTTCCTCGTCGTCTGAGCTCCTCGCGCGGTTTGCATTTCTCGGCAAGCTGGTCGCCCAGGTACACACCTATAGATTGTTTGTCGACTGATGTTGTTTTCAATGGCCATATATATATATATATATTTATGTCTATAGTGTCTTTCAGCCAAAAAATCCTTATCCATCGATTGATTTTCTGCTCTGAATTTTGTACTTTGCGAAGTATGTAACAAAATGGGATCCCCGTCACACTAATTGAAATCACACACTAATTAGTTGTGATTTTTGCTGCAATCGGATTGGCTAAAATTCGTTTGTCGATTCGTGTACATTTGGTGGTGTCGATACTTTGAACATGTACAATAATACTAAAAGTCGTATGGGTTTTGGTAGTAGTAATCGATAGTGGTCATAATGTTATATATACACGGTATATATTGCATATATATATATATATATATATGTATATATATATATATCCTATCCATACATATCGATTGGACATGGACAGTCTTGATGTGGTTTCTCGTTACGCCCGTTAGGGAGATTGAGATGGATATTATTTGGAGATGCTGTTCGCGGATGTGCCTCTCAATATATATGGTTGCTCGAGCATTAATATATATATATATATATAGGCACTTGTGGACGAACGCTTGTTGGACTTGCCGTTGGCAGTGCCGTTTTTGCGGTTACTTCGAGGGGAATCGCTGCACGGCAACATGGCGTTGGCGCTCGAGCACATTGCGACCGTGGACCCGCAGCTGGGCCGGTCTCTGCAGTACCTGTACGACCACCGCCACGACGCGAGCATCGACGATATGGGACTCACGTTCGTCTTGCCTCCGTCGTCCATGCCTCTGTGCGACAAGGGCGCCGACCGACCTGTCACGACTGACAACGTCGTCGAGTTCCTCGACTTGACGGTCACGACCATGCTGGACACGGCCATTCGACCGCAAGTCGACGCGTTTCGCGCTGGGTTTGCGTCCATCGCGCCGCTGCATGTGCTCACCATGCTGTCCGCTGCCGACTGGAGCGTCTTGTTGGCCGATCCGTCGCGACAGATGTGGCCTGGTGGGGCAGACGAGATCCGGGCGGCGATGGTGTGCGACCACGGCTACACGATGGACAGTCGCGCGATCGGGTGGCTCGTGGACATCCTCGCCGAGTTTTCGCCCGACGACCAAAGGTTGTTTGTCCGATTTGTCACGGGTTCCCACCGTCTGCCCATGGGGGGCCTCGCCAGACTCGATCCGGCCCTCACTGTCGTACGCAAGTTGACCGTAGACGACGCGTCGTCCTCCACCGCGAACGATGCGATCCTGCCGTCGGCGTCCACGTGCACCAACTACCTCAAGCTTCCGGACTACAGCTCCAAGGACATCATGCGCACCAAGCTGCTCTACTGCATCCACGAGGGCCAGCTCAGCTTTCATTTGTCCTGACTTGCCCAAATTCTCCCATGTGATTTCTCCAACAAGTCTCACCATGGTGACCACCACCCCATTATTTTGATAATATTCGACGCATAACTTGATAGTTGTATACATAATATCTCACCATGTGTGGTGTCGATATACTATCGAGATCCGGCGGCCTTGTTCTTGCAAGATCCGCCCTACCCCTACGAAAAATTCACTGACGATTTGTATGGGGCAATTGAAAGAATATCATTTGATCAAAATGTGCAGCGTCGCCACTTCTGCTGCGCTTCCACCGCCGCCGCCGCGACTGGCCCCATCCTCGCTGGCGGTGCCGACACAGGTGGACGAAAATGAAGAGGACGTCGAGGTTGTGACAAAGAAGCGGTGTACGAGCAATGGCAGTCGATGGGACGCCAAACCGGCAGAGTCAACCTTGGAACTGCGCAAACAAGCAGTGCGCGACGCTGTTGCAGCCGCCCAACAAGCATTTCGTTGTCCCATCTGCCTCGACACGTTCGGAGAGCTTGTGGTTGAGTGCGCCGAGTGCGCGCATGTGTTTTGCGACCCCTGCATGAGGGTACACATTCACATGTAGGGAGGAGGAATGCCTCCACGCGTCGTGTTAGGAATCGCTAAAGCGCAAGGACAAGTGTCCGTTGTGTCGATGCAACCCAATGCCACTGCGACGCAGCAAGCCCATTGAACGACTCGTGGCGGCGTTGCCGGAATCCTGCGCATTCCTTGACAACGGTTGCGTGATGACGTCGTTGACGCGGGCCACGGCATTCCAGCATGCTTGTAGGAAGCATGTCATGTACATATATCCCTTGGCTCAAAGATATGGCGTGTGCCACGTGTATAGTGACCTGTGGGTTTGCGCGCTTTACATGTCCCCATTGTCGCCAGGTCTTCCTACGCCATGAGCACGACGAGTCGGTGTGTTCGGCGGAGCTGCATGCCTGTCCGTTGTCGGCCCTCGGCTGCTCCTTCCGCGCGCGCGTCGTCGACATGCATGAGCATGTAAAAGACCGCGTCCACTTCGACTTGGCGCGCCGCGTGTTGAAGGGCGGCGGTCCCATCGTCCCCACGAGGTATATATGACTCGTGCATGTGTGTAGTCCCATCTTATGTGGTTGTCGTCGCCAGTGATATGGCGACGGCGTTGCGCGCGCTCCTGGAGATCTCGACGAAGGCGTGGAAGGACACCGACGGCGACCCCGCGCCGCCGCATGACGAGATCACGGAGCGAGCGCGGCTCGAGTTTGTCCACGCCATGCTCGCGTCCAACATTGTCCCGCCGCCCGCATGAAGGTGCATGCTGCTGATGGCGCGACAAATATGTAGAAACCATGTAGATTCGAAATGTAGAAGCAGTATATAGCCCTTGGTTCAAGTTTGTGATTATGACAAGTAGGACAGAAAACCCACACTTTATCGCAGAAGCAAGTGAAACATGCAAGGCTCCATGTACCACCGGAACGAATATGTGTGACACTGTGTGGAGCAACATGGATAACCTGGTTGATTCGAATAAATAAGGAGGGAGCCTAACACACTATCAAGTTGAGTCGACGGCGATCGTCTATGTGTGGTGCGCACTGCTGGAGTGGGGATTTCGCAGTTGCTGCTGCATCTTGGCAAAGTCGTCGGCCGAGTACCACAGGTCCCTCTTGGTCGCTTCGTCGATGCTAGACAGCGATGGAATGGTCTCGACCTTGACGTCATCGTCAAAGCTGATGCGCTTGCTGTGGCTGCACCTTCGGACCCGGGTTTCGGAAAAATCCCAGTCGTCTAGGCTCATTCGGTACGAGAACGAGCTCGATCGACTGCTGGCGACGCTGGATCGTATGTCGTCCACGTCGTCTTCAAAGTACTCATGCATGCTCGCCACGCTTCTCGTCCTTGCGCGCATCTCGATGGCGGTTGTCCGGCGTGGGAAATTCGCAAATGATGCCATGCATGTGCCATTGTAGTGCCGTATTGTAATGCTGTTTTACTGTACTTCTGCTTGGTGAGTAATGGCGTCGTAGAATGTACGTCGTACTTTAGAGGGAACTACAAACAATCGGACTTCCGAGGGTCCCCTTCGATGAAGTCATCCGATATCGTAGCCATCTTTGTGGGAGCCCTCGACGATGCTCCATGATCGATAACATGTGCGCCACCAGTGTACTGCACGTTTCAGACAGGTGGATGTCGTACGTGGCATCGAAGGATGGTGCTCAAGGGACTATGCGCACCTTGGTATGTATGGCGTACTTAATGGGAGAGAATTGAGTTAAAAGACGACGAAGTGCCGACGTAAAAGGCGGTAAATACGTTCAATGGGGATTGTGGGCCGTTTTATATCGTTTAACGTGTTCTGTCGGGCAGTTTACCCATTACGTTAAACCAGATGGCTTTCAAGCACACATTGCCACTTGCCCAGTCGTACGGTTTTACTTGAAATTTGTATGCAAGCCGTTTCAAAACCAACGTGCAACCCTCATTGACAACGTACATACTGGTACAGTACCTACATACACCCAACCAGACATATTGTGAGTTATGCACGAGAAGCGGCAGTGGCGGCAGAGTCGCCGTGACGACGATGTACATAACTACTTATTATAGCATGCTATACCTGTCTACTGTAGTCGTGAACGGCTGCATTTGTTGTTGCTGCTGATATGTGATATGTAGTGGTATGTTCGATAGACCAGAGAGTCGACAACTTTATGGTCTGTGGAAGGACGTTTGTGCCATTTGTGTTCGATATATTTACGCGCAGTCACAAGAGCCAGCAAGCTCGTGGGCGAAACAAAGCAGGGTGGTTGGCTGATTTCGGCTGATTACAATAATAACGTTAGCACAATGATGATGTTTACTGTTAACACTGTAAAGTGCCGTTTTGTGAATCCTACTACCGGTACTACCATACCACCGTTTACTGGTTGTATTACAGTTATCAAATGTGTTATGGAGAAGAGAACATATAGTTACGGTGGTAGTATATATGTAGTACCTCATATCGTCCAGAGATAGAGTTTCAGTCGACGCCAGTCATGGTTTTATCACTGGGGACATTACAAGCGCTGCACAGTGCACTTTGAAATGAAACGTCTGCAATTATTGCATAAAATAGTATTAATGTCCCAAGAATATCCAATAATAAGGGTACTCCAAGAAACCATATAAATTCAGATCTTCGACCCCATACTTTACCAAAGTGATTTCGTTTTTATGACCTTAATTTTACTTTATAGAATGCCTTCGAAGAAGCATTTGATTCGCGCCAAGGTACTTCGGCGCCGTGGACTCTATGGCTTCAGTCCTCCATATACAACGAGTACGTACGTTGTTGCCTCGGTGATGCTTTTATGTCATTGTCCAAGGAACGGAATTTCACATGCAATCTATTACGTTTACGCCTTGGTTTGGTTGGCGACACCGGCGATGCGGTTGCGGATTTCTTCTTGATTGCCGACGTAGTGCCCGGACAATGGCGCGATGGCATGTTCGTGCACGATGGGGTGGAAGTTTTCGTCCAAGTCGTAGACGAGGGGCACGCCCGTGGGGATGTTGAGGCCCGTGATCGTGTCTTCCGAGATGTTGTCCAAGTGTTGCACCAACGCGCGAAGGGAGTTGCCGTGGGCGACGATGAGCACCTTCTTGCCCGCCTTGATGGAAGGGACAATCACATCGTTCCAGTACGGCACGACACGGAGCTTCGTGGTCGCCAACGATTCGGTGAAGGGCAATTCTTCACGCGGCACGTCGGCGTACTTTGGGTCGTTGCCGGGATAGTACTCGGAGGACGCGTCCAATGCAGGGGGCGGGGTCGAGTAGCTGCGGCGCCACACCATGACTTGGTCGAGGCCGTACTTGGCGACTGTGTCTTGCTTGTTCAGGCCTTGGAGGGCACCATAGTGGCGCTCATTCAGTTTCCACGAACGGTTCACAGGGATCCACATCAAGTCCAATTCCTCCAACGTGTTCCAGCACGTCTTGATGGCGCGCTTCAACACGGACGTGTACGCGACATCAAATGAGAAGCCAGCGACCTTCAAGGCTTTGCCGGCATCGTGGCTTTCCTTTTCGCCTACAGACGGAGCATCGTCAGTCAATGCATGCAATCTAAGCGTTGCCATACATACCGACGGCAGAAAGGGGAACATCGTGCCAACCCGTGAAGCGGTTGTCCACGTTCCATTGGCTTTCGCCGTGACGGATCAACACAATTTGGTACTTGCCTAGACACACATCATCACCATCGTCAGTACGCATCCTCCTGGAGGCGACAAGGGAGTGGAGGCCGTGTACCTGGCATGCTTAGATCGATGCGAATTTGAAAATGACAAAAAAGTCGCAAATCCCTCACTTCCTCGGCAAGGTTGAACCTGTATAAATTGATAAGTTGCACATCCTCTTGAATATTCCTGCCGTCCTGCACTGCAGCGGATACGGAGTGAGTGGTAGCAACGAGATCAAACTACCCACCGCTTTGAACTTGCATCTTATGCCTCCTGAGGTATTGATTGCACGAGCATACAGTACATCGACGCTACCGTCGTGATGGTTATGACGTAGGATGACAGAGCGGCATCACCATGAATTTCCCATATCCTGGCGAATCAAAAATGAGCATGTGAATATTTCAGCCAATAGGATCCAATGTATAATATTTCAGAGTATTTTATGAACATGGGACCCCCGATGGGGGGCCCCACCGCGTCAGTTCGGCGGCCCCCGGCTAAATTAGATACCCGGAACGAAGGAAGAAGCGACAGAGGACAATGAGCAGCCATGACGTGCCGGTACAATTGGGGTATTACCGTCTAGGAGAGACGCTGGGAACAGGTTCCTTTGGGAAGGTCAAATGTACGTCCGTCCATATGCGCCTCTGATGGAGGGAATGACACGCGGCGTGGTGGTAGTGGCCGAACATGTGATCACAGGGCACAAGGTTGCAATCAAGATCTTGAACCGCAATAAGATCCGATCGCTGGACATGAGCGAAAAGGTGCGGCGTGAGATCGGACTGCTCCGCAAGATGCAGCACCCACACATCATTCGGCTGTACGAAGTGATCGACACCCCCACCGACATCTTTATGGTGCTCGAGTACGTCGCGGGCGGCGAGTTGTTTGACTACATCGTGTCCAAAGGCCGGGTACGACGACGAACGCACGCATGCCTTCACATCCTCATGTCGACCCCGTTTCCTTTGCATCCTCATTTCGACACCATTCTTATTGTAGCTGTCGCCGGACGAGGCGCGGCACTTTTTTCATCAAATCGTGTCCGGGGTCGAGTACTGCCACTTCCACCGCGTGGTCCATCGCGACCTCAAGCCCGAGAACCTCCTCCTCGACGCCGACAACAACGTCAAGATCGCCGACTTTGGTCTGTCCAATACGATGCGCGACGGCGAGTTCCTGCGCACGTCGTGCGGGTCGCCCAACTATGCCGCCCCCGAAGTCATTTCTGGCAACTTGTTCGTTGCTTTATCTTGTTCATTTTAAGTGTTGCTGACCAGCTCTTTCGTTCGCTAGGTACGCCGGCCCCGAAGTCGACGTGTGGTCGTGCGGGGTGATCCTGTACGCGCTCCTCTGCGGAGCGCTTCCCTTTGACGACGAAAGCATCCCGAACCTGTTCAAGAAGATCCGCGGCGGCATGTACAGCCTGCCGTCGCATCTGTCGGACGACGCGCGCGATTTGATTCCGCGCATGCTCGTCGTCGACCCCATGAAGCGCATCACGATTCCTGAAATCCGGTAGTAGCATCCCATGTGATCATGTTGATTTATTAGCCCTTTTACCCAAATTTGGACTTTGGTGGGGTAATCGCCAAATATATTATTCGAAATCGATTCAGGATTGTACTGTATTTTGTAACAATTATGTAAACAAACGTGTCCTGTGGCGATTGGTGTCACACACTAATTGTGAAGTCACACACTAATTCGACGTGGATGATGGTTGTTTCCTGCAATCATATTGGCTAAATCGTACTCTGCCGATGAGTCTTGTGGACTACATGTGGTGTTGTCGAAGGTGATTATCTCCATGTCGCTCCAGTTTAGAATAATACTCTATTTGTATTGGTAGTGTGTCTATTGTAAAATGTCTTGTGTTTAGAAATATATATATATAATGTATATTTCTAAATATATTTATTTGATTTGACGACTACCACAACGACAAGTCGCGTGGTGGTTTGAATTTTTTATATATTTTTTAATCATCCTATTTTCGTTTTCTTGTATTAAAAAATATTTTTTATCCATGCTCTTCTGGGTGTGTTGATCCTTTTATTGTGCTTTCGAGTGAAATTTCGTGTTGTGGCGTGGTTTCTCGTTGGAATTTAAATCGATTTGATTGGCTACCTCAGATGAGCTCAAAATTAATAGCCAATCAAAACCTTCTCAATGAAATTCGACCAATCAGATCGATTGTGGATCGGTTTGGTCGGCGCGATTCGATTGCACCCCCTCCCCAAATTTGTATCAAATCGACAATATTGTATTTAAATCTCCATGTATAGTAGTAGCATGCATTTTATGTATGCTCGCTCGTCAGGATTATGATCTAAGAGTAACACGATAGACAGCATCCGTGGTTCCAAACCAACTTGCCACCATACCTACAACATCCCCCCGAAGCCGTCGAGCAAGAAGTACGTTGCATGTCGATTCGGCACGTGTTTGGTTTTCTGCTATATATATATATATATATATATATATTAAAACATACCCTACCCACGGCATACATCGTATTCCTATTACCACGTTTTTAAAATTACTATTCCAAAAATATATTAAATAATTTCAAATTTATTTGTCTTTTTTAGAGAAACATTATATATATATACTACTTCATTGCGTTTTTTGTAGTCTCCATGCTGGGTGGAGGACACAATACGTTTCGATATTGTCCTTTTGGACTTTTGTGCCGATTTTTTGCCAAATCCATCGATCGATATTTTGAATTTTGTATGCAAAAAGATGTCCTGTGGTGATTGTATTCACACTAATTTCAGTCACAAACAAACTCGATGTTGGTGGTTGGTTGTTTTGCTGCAATCTGATTGGCTCAATTTTTCTGCCGATTCTTGTGTACATTCGTTCTCCATGTCGCCCCAGTTTATTATATATATATTCATGGGTTTGCTGTCGTTTAGGCTCGAAAGATCGACGACGAAGTGGTCGCCAAGTGTCTGACCCTGGACTTTCCTGGCGGGACCATCACCCGCGACCATGTGATCCACAGCATCGAGCACGAAGAATACACGCCGCTGCGGGTCGCGTACGACCTCGTGCTGGACCACAAAAATGCCAAAATGCGAATCGACGGTGAAGTTTATTTCAAATACACAAAGCAGAATAATGTTTGAACGATATGGACGTATATATATATATTTATAAATATATATATAGAACTGCGAAATGTCAAGCGGCATGACAACACGCCCAAGACGTTTTCCCAGCCCGACCAGAGTAGTTTGCTCGTGCCAGGTACGACCGACGCCTTGTTTTGATTCGTAATTTGCGTCGATTTGTCGTGGGTTTTTGGGGTATTTTTTCGACTTTTTGAAAGAAATTTGGAGCCTTTTATGCCTGCATTAAACAGTACTTTTTAGTATGGGCAGGTTGAGCCTTGCCGACCTGGCAAACAGTAGTGCGAGCATATATATACCAGGTCCCTAAACTTGGACTTGTGATATAGCATTCGAATCGATTTGATTCAATTTAAGCTAGTACAAAGTATGCCATACAAAGATTAGTATATATATATTTGTTTTGCCCAATACGGAGGAGGGACTGGGCCAAACATTTGGATTGGCAGAAATTCACCAGATCGAGTGATTTGATTGGCTTTGGCGGTTCTTTAATCCCTTCTTTCAAGACATTCGACAATGCTAGGTCCCAACAATTGGACTTTGTGCTGATTCGCCGATCAATTCTTTGTACTGAATTTTGATTGTTCTCTGGTGACGCCAAAACCACACTAATTCAAGTCATACACTAATTCGATAATGATGCTGATTTCCTGCAATCTGATTGGCTCAAAATTCGTCCTGCCGATCCATCTGTACAGGGAACGACATGCTAGATGACCTAAGTGGTTGTTCGAACTTGCCAAGATGAACTGATAGCATGGTTGGCTAATTTAAACCAATCAAAAGTTTGGCCCAGAATGACCCCAAATCTCTTGGTTATGATTGGGTAGACTTTCTTTTTTTCCCCTGTGCATGTATTGTCCAAAATTTGGACTACTTTTGTGCTGATTCTTTGCCAAATCTATCGGTCGATTCTTTGTTACTGAAGTTTGTATGTAAAAAAGTTGTCTTGTGGTGATGGGAATCACACTAATTTCTGGCACACACACTAGTAATTCGATGTTGGTTTCATCTGATTGGCTAAATATATCCTTGTGCCTATTCTTTGGTGTATGTGTCGATTCAGTCATATTCTTGTGGATGTATGTAGTTTACATCCGTACACTCTAGGCCGAGGACCGATCCCGATGGCTGCATCGCCCATGATCCAAGCGTCCCCTGGAGACCCGCTGATGCAGCGGCAATTTGGCGGCCGCACCCCGTTGGCGCGAGGACCGCCGGCGGCAAATTCTTCCCACGGGGGGGGGGTCATGTCTGTCCAGCACCAGATGAACGAAGCCGCGCTCGCGGAAAAGAAGCGTCGGCGATGGTACTTGGGCATCCAATCCAAGAAGGAGCCGGCGCACGTCATGTCGGAAGTGTACAAGGCACTGCTGGTGCTGCACTTTGAGTGGAAAGTGCTCGCGCCGTATCGCGTCAAGTGCCGGTGGCAACCAGCGCCGCCGCCGCCATCTTGTTCAACATCAGTCCACAAACCCGTCAAGATTGGGCTCCAACTGTACAAAGTCCAGCAGCACATTTACTTGCTGGACTTTCAAAACCTTGGCGGCGACGCGTTCACGTACATGAACTTGTGCGCGCGCATTATCACTGAGCTCAAGACACTGTCGGGCGTCCGACCAACGGCGGCGGCTCCTTCCCATGGGGACATGCTGCACGGATACAACCCATCGTCACAGGGCGGCGGCCTCCACCAACACCATCACCCCGTACGCTTTGTTTGTTTGCGTTGAAATTCATTGGTGATGTATAATCGGGCTGGTTATGCGTAGCACATCAACTTGCACGGATGATATATGACGGCGCTAAACGGGGTGAACGTTGACATACATTCATTCACCCGTGGTTGGTGGGGAATGTATGTATGAGTCAAGAACGACTAGTTGAGCAGCTGTCGGATGGATGGTAGAAGCCAATGTACCCACCACATCACCCATATTAACACACAATTACTCCATCGATTGTTCTCATAACTGTTATTGGGATATACACAAACACCCCCACGGTGGCTACAGTGTATCGTCTTTACTGTTATGAATATCATTAGTGTGTATTGTCGATTTGATAGTACAAATTTGGGGAGGGGGTGCAATCGATTTCTGATTGGTTGAATTTCATTGAGAAGGTTTTGATTGGTTAATAATTTTGAGCAGTAGCCAATCAAATCGATTTAAATTCCAACGAGAAACCACAACACAATGAAATTATTTCACTGGAAAGACAATACGAGCAGCAGGTACGGATATTATTACTGTTTACTGTTAGTTGGAGGCATATTGAACTGCTAAATATAATAAGATTGAACAAATGGGCCTGTTTAGCCAATCATAATACAAACGTCATTCGTTTTAGCCAATCATACGGCTTTGTTGGCGATTTTCAAGAATACATCAACATTATTGGCAAATTTAGGTGAAAGGCTTCGAAGTACTATTGATCATTACAAGGACATGGTATATATACAGTTTTGGTTAGGATACATTGGCCAAGCCTACATACACTGTACGACATTCATTGCACCTAGGATGTCTACTCTGGGGTAGTAAGTAGTAGTACTATTACTACATGTCTTAGTTAACTTTGGAGGATGCCTTGGGTTGGTGTTTTGGTCGTTTTGGCAGTGTTCTTGGGGTCTTGTTAATGGACGATGGACGACGTTTCTTGGCGGGGGGGGGCTTCTGGGGAGTGGGACTGCTGCCTTCGACAATCGCCGACGACGTGGACGCAATCCACTCGTCTGTGGCGCACGCTTCGCCCTTGAAGTGCACGCGCACGAACGCGCCGTCCACTGCCACGACCTTGGCCTAATGACATGACCACAGATCAATCATCATCCAGTCAAGTTTGACAAAGTACCTCTCGAACACCGCGGTCAGATGCAATCAAGATGCGAGCGTTCTTGGCGTAGACATCCGCTCTGGATCGTTTGGGGGGGGGCGGGGAAGGAGTTGGTGCAGATCGGGATATACTCCTCCTCGTGCCTTGAACTGAATCATCATCACAGCAGCAGCGGTGGCATAGCAACGTCGACGGCAACGATGTATCATCCTATCAGACACAACTTTGTCTAGTATATATATATACTAGGGTATATGTACTAGACGTAGTAGCAAGGAGGCCCATGCACTCTAGTATGTACTGGTGGTATTTCGATGGTTTTGTCCAATATATTTTTTGTCTAATCGAATAACAGATCATGTTTATATTCAGTACCTGAGCAGCAGCAGCCCACAAGTCGGGGTACCGACATCGCAAGTGGCACCAAATCAGGCACGACGAGCATTCAAACCATTTGTCCTACATATCACAACCCCCTAACATTATATATTTCACAACAACAGTATTGTGCATTTCAGTCCAATAATTTGCCTAAGCATTTGGGGGATTCATGAATATCGAGCAATGGAGTATGATTGGCTACAAAGAATGAAGGTTGCAATTTGATTGGCTAAAAAGATTGATTGTAGTATTGTCGATTTGATACAAATTTGGGGAGGGTGTGCAATCGAATCGCGCCGACCAAACCGATCCACAATCGATCTGATTGGTTGAATTTCATTGAGAAGGTTTTGATTGGCTAATAATTTTGAGCTCATCTGAGGTAGCCAATCAAATCGATTTAATTTCCAACGAGAAACCACGCCACACCACAATGAAATTTCACTCGAAAGCACAATATTGAAGGCACACAGATACCTCTTTAAATTAGTTTTATATTAAATTTCAAAGGTCCAGCGATGATTGCTCGGCGGTTCATTCACAACCAATCGCCAACGGAGGACATTTTGAGTCGAACAAACCACAATATTAACTAACAGTACGGAAACAAGAGACTAGCCAATGACGACGACAACCATGACGATGTCATACCTCGACCACCACGGACGGATCGGCGCTGCTGGCAAACTTGAGGCACACACAGCTAAACACCCAGTCGTCTGATGTCAATGCGCGACTGCCGGGGCGACTGGCTTTGAACAGCTGCGTCAAGAACAGGTCCATGTCCAACGTAACGTTGTGCGGTACGCACTTGCACACCTAAAATAGTTATATTTATTTACACTACGAAATCGTCAAAGATGGAGGTACACCTTGGCTTCTAACGCTAGGGGAATCCATCGCAACGTGGCAAAATTCACGCTCTCGGCAATGTTGAATCCTATTTTGTGGGTTTATATATCATACATATAATCAATCAGATAACTATATATAAAAAAGGTGCGCCAATACAAACAATTCCACATATATATGACTACATTGGGCAAAACCACATATATATGAATAGTATAGTGTGTACAATATTAAATAGGACCAATCTCAAATCCAAATTTGGGTAAAATGCACAATACCTGTGTTGAACCCTTGGTGGTACGCACGAGGAAACGTAATGATAAACTCGCCTGGGCCTTGTAGGGCCTATAATAATAATATATATCAACGACGACATTCGACGACGTTGCCAACAGAGAGTGCAAACTAGTCGTCGCTGCTCGGTCTAAACAACCAGAGTACGAAACACTAGTATATGCACTAGTTAGTGTACTTTGGAATAGGGGAGGCCAAACTCTTGGAATTTCCATGGCGCGACGAGGGATGTCTTGTGACGCAGAAACTATATATTATGATTAAATAGCACTATTATCCCACCCCATTATAACGTTATAGCATCCAATGGTGGTATTATATATATCATTATTATATATATATGATAATGATGATTCAAGGGAAGAAGGTATGTACGTACCTCATGACAAGCCATGTGCTCGTGAGGAAACATGGTCTGACACACCCGCTCCACGCGCGAAGCTACGATAACACAGATATCGACATGATGGGCGAATTACATGGTTGAATATACAAATATTGTGGATTATTCGGTACAAAGCAATTTTCCAGATTGGCTCTTTCAGAAAACGACAAGTATACTCAACCAATCAGAACTCTAGATATTGATTCGACAAACCGCGCGAATGTTAAAAGTTTATATTGTCGATTTGATAGTACAAATTTGGGGACGGGGTGTAATCGAATCGCGCCGACCAAACCGATCCACAATCGATCTGATTGGTTCAATTTTTTTCTTTAGGTTTTGATTGGCTACTAATTTTGAGCTCATCTGAAGTAGCCAATCAAATCGATTTAAATTCCAACGAGAAACCACAACACGAAATTTCACTCGAAAGCACAATAGCGAATATTCACAATAATTCATTTGCATTCAATCGTGTTTTCAGTGTATAGGATACATGATATATATATATATATACTAATACCGTGTGCTGGAGGCACCGTGTACCACACCTTGGGGCTGCCTGTGTGGAGGTAGTTGATACTGTACAATTCCATGTCTTCCTATAGAACACCCCACCCCCCACCTTGTTTTCAACCAACATGAGACTTTGTCTCTCGTACCGTGTGCAAGGCAAACATGGCGCTCCACATCCCAAAGTACAGCATCGCTTGCGTGATCCCGGGCAAATCGACCCACGTTCGCAAGATTGAGTCTAGATTATTCACATTCCACGACATGGCTGGACTATCGCCAAACAACGAGCCCTAATCATACACCTGTTTGTCAGCACCTTTGCCACACGAACGAACGAAGATGTCTATATTGGGGCATATACATGTATATACCACAATGTCGGCGCCATACGTTGGCGGGTCCATGGTCGGCCGCAATCCTTTCCAAAATTTGCGCTCGAGGACGTCTAGCGGTGCTGTGCATGGAATGAGAGATGGAATGCACGCGCCTGGATGTGAAAGTAGCAGACGGTACCTAATGCTGGATCATCAATGTCGTTGGGAGATGCCGCAGCCGCCAGAGCTCGGAATGCATCCAACGACATGCTCTTCCGAGTGACCAAATCGACATGGAACACACCCTTCTTGCCCGCCACGTACTGCGTCAACGGCGTGGGGATCGTGAACTCGAGGTCGTCGTATGCCCGCGTGAAGAATCCTGCCGGCGGCACGATCTACATCAAGGTGAGCTCTACAAGTCTACTACTACTGGTGATGGGACCAGGACCTTGCACATGCCGATGCGATGGCACGCTGGTTCGACGATAGTGCGCACATACGTGGCAAAACATGAGAACTCTTCGGGCGTCGGGTGAAACTCTGGACATAGCGCTCCTGGAGCGGACATCATGACGGTGGTGGACGCGGCAGAGATACGTCGCGCGATGGCGCCGCGGGAAGGAATGGCCGTGTATCTTGGCAATGTAACCCGAAACACGCACCAAAGGGCCACCATACAAATTCAAAGTCTAATCCAACCGGAAAACGCACCGGAATGAACCTTAGCACCAAGTGCGTTTTATTTGATAAAAAACGTGCAAAAACTTGATGTACGGATAATTGGAGGGTTATCCGGATAATATTCCAGAGGCGTGAATTTGTTGCTTTGTTGTGTTGTTTGGTCTGGGATTCACTCTCTGCAGGCGGCAGGTAGGGCGGCGGGATGGGTGCGGCATTCGGCAGGGATGCTGAGGATCACTTGTGTGTCTAGCGAGGAGCGATCACATATCTGAAGGACACGGCGACGACGAACGATCGTTGGTGCTGCGTGACTCATCCTTAGAACTCCGCGAGTACGAGCGAGGTTTAGCATCATCATCGTCATCATCCATGGAACAGCCAGAAACGCTTCCGTATCGTCAGCCGCCGCCATCGTCTCCGCGCAATAACACGTCTTCTACAAGTACGTTCGTGGTGTATATATCTTATCTCGGCGACGTGACGTCCAACGAATTCACGTACGCGTTGCGCTGTTTCAAAGGCCACAGCAGCAGCTCACGGACGACGTCGGCAATATCTGGCCCGACGCCCCCGACGATATCGACGGCAACGTCTATCGGTGGGAGCAGTCGATCCGCATACCCGCCGCCTCCCGCGTCGTCCAATCTCCACAGGTGTGTGTGTTTAGCAGGGACATGCACACATTCCGTCTTCTCACTCGTGCTTTATGGACCATGGTTTAGAGGGGGTCGCAGTGCCACGGCGAACCACACAGGAAGCAGCAGCGCCTGTCTACCGCCGCCTTCATCGTCCATCAAAGACACATCCCGAAGCAAAGGGGACTCCGCGGACACCCATCATCACGCGTCTCGGTCGCATTCCATGTCGTCATCCCGCGACGCCAACGGCTCCACACGGCGATCGTCCCCCACCTCTTCCAGTCGAAGCGACCCCCGACCCCCCGTGTTCCTCTCCACCCAGGGCCATCGGTTGCGGGAACGTCACGCGCTGCTCGAAATGAACCGCTTCCGATCGCATCCGGCCGACGACGGCGCACCCACGATGGACCTTGCAACCAATGTCCTCGGTATGGACGCGCGCTACATCAAAGTACGTTGAAGTATGCTTTGCTTTCCATGACAATCTACTATTACTAGTACTATGTGCGATACTTCCGATATTGTAACCCTTTTACCCAAAATTTGGCAGACTTTTGTGCGGATTCGCCAAATCTATCGATAGTTTGTACTGAGTTTTGTATGTACATACAGTGATGTCCTGTGGCGATTGGTAGTATCACACTAATTGAAGTGAAACACTAATTTGACGTTGAGGATGATGTGTGTCCTGCAATCTGATTGGCTCAATCCTACTCTTTGATTTGGTCCATTCATTCTCCATGTATCGCTTCTCCAGTTTAGAATATAAACACATAACCATATAATATGTCATAGTTATGATCAGTATCGTTGACTAGGTTGTGTCTTTGTATGTGTTATGATCGTCTCCACTGTCATTCATGGCCTCGAATGTGTACACTTGTATATAAATGTATATTTGTATATACATGTATATTTGTATATATGGATATATATTTGCGATTCCATCAGGCACTATTGCAATATAGCACTCTGACGAATATATGTTGCATGCGTCGTTTATAAAAGGATTTTTTATACATTGTGCTTTCGAGTGAAATTTCATTGTGTTGCGGTGTGGTTTCTCGTTGGAATTTAAATCGATTTGATTGGCTACTTCAGATGAGCTCAAAATTATTAGCCAATCAAAACCCATTTTTCAATGAAATTCAACCAATGAGATCGATTTGGTCGGCGCGATTTGATTGCACCTCCACCGCAAATTTGTACTATCATATCGACAATAAAGTCTTTCTTGTGATGAAAATGCATATACATGCATGCCTTTATCTGTACTCCCGTATATATATATATATATTTTGTGTGCTCTAGTCATGTGTCAATTGCTAGTGTTTCTCGTTCAACCCGTCTTCGTCACTGACCTATATATATATATATATATATATTGGAGAAATCGACGGGAGGCTCAGTTTCATACTGTCAAAAATGTATCTTATACAAATACAATTGCATATATATAAAATGTTCGACTGGGCCGACACATGGGCCAACCAAATCCTTGGGCCAAACATCCTACTATTGGTTGGAATGTAGAATATGAAGACCTTTCATTGGCTAGTCGATTGTGTCTTGGACTACCCACTCTTAACATTTCGAATTGTCTATGACTAGGACGCATGCACCCCGACGTTGACATCGAAACTGGCGGTCGTGCCAGGCGTGTTTCCCACACACAACGACCACGATGAGGAAAAATATCATTTCTTTGCCAAGCGACGGGCGACGTACGTGGCGGCCCTGCCGCGGGGCCTCGGCCCGATGCCATCCAATTGGCAGCGGCAGTACGCGTTGTTCCCGGACACGCCTCGGCTGTTTGACCGCCTCTCGCCGTTGCTGCTTCAGCCTCCTCCTTCGTCGTCTTCTGTTGCCACCAAGAAGAAGAAGCCAGCGACGGACAACTCGTTCTTGGACTACTTGGTGCGCCAGGTCCGGCGCTTCGACCCCCACACGGCGCATGTGTGGATGACTGAGCTCGCGCGCGGCGACGTGTCGATTCCCGCGCTCGTCCAGTCGTTTAGCGGCATTCCATTCGAGCAGTGGCGCGCATCCCCAGAGTCAAAGTGCCCGCTGGTGGATCTCGTGGCCACGTACAACGTCGGCCTGGTTGAAGCGTCGTGGTTTATCCGGATCAACGTCATCTACCAAGAACTGAACGAGATGCGCCGGGATCGAGATCGGCGGGTCGGCGATTGGTTTTACCACCCGAAGCGGTTCCAGCGGCGATCGATGGAGTGGACTGAGCAGCTGATTTGGTCTCTGCACACGACGGCTCGGCAGTGCTTTACCCATCGGTTGACTGGGCAAATGAATAAGAACAAGAAGACGTCGTCCCACAAGACACATGCCCCCCGACCAACTACGACGTCTGGTACTACATCTGGACCATCGGAAAGCAACAAGCCACAGCAGCTAGTACCACCGACAATATCCCCAGACGATCGGTTTCGCTACGTGTTGCAACTAGCTGAATACCATTTCCGCCTGCGCTTGGTCGATTCAAGTCGATTTTTCAACGGACTGTTGTCGCTGTATCAAAAGAGTTTGCTCTTGAATTCGAAACATGACAACCTTGGCGACGAGTGCTGGCCCGTGCTGCCGATGCCTGTGAACCACCTGTTTTTGGTGCTTGGAGTTATAATCAAGCTGCTGCCGGCGATGCTCCAAGACGCGAGCGCCACGAAACTGCTCGTCAAGATCACGCTGGCCCACTTTCAAGTGCTGCTCGTGGTCGAATCGCGGAGTCGCCACCACGAACGCCTCATCGTAGCTCTTTGCGATATCCTTCGACTTGTGCTTCACCACGGCGCCGACCACCTCGTGCAAATCAAAGACGATGGTAGTACACTTCTTGTGATCTATCTTGTTATCTATTTTGTTATCTGTCTTGTAATGTATCTTGTTATCTATCTTTTTATCTATCTTGTTATCTATCTTGTTATCTATTTTGTTATCTTTCTTGTTATCTATCTTGTTATCTATCTTGTTATCTATTTTGTTATCTTTCTTGTTATCTATCTTGTTATCTATCTTGTTATATAGTAGTTATCTCGAAGGCGTCGTCGCCACGACACGTGTTGTATACTTCGCTTGGATCTATTGAGTTGTTTGGATCGAGTCCAAACCTATATATATAATTAAATATATATATGCCACGATGGACCGATGAATTCGTACATATTATCATTGTGTTTATTAAAATATATAGGATCGAAACATGTTGGACATCTCTGCGAAGTATTGAAACTCGTTGATTGGACTGAATAATCATACGTTTATATATCTATATAAACGTATAATATTCGATAGATATGTATATATATATATATAATCATAGAAAAACCTATGATTATTCGGTATATAAACGTATCATACGTTTATATATATATATATCAATAATCATATATATATATATATATATATAAACGTATGATTATTCGGTCGAAACAACGCGTTTCAATACATCACATCATGAACTCGGTCCAACCAACTATATACTATATATATATATATAGTCGTTTGGACCGGGTTCATTCATATCAATCATATATATATATATATATATATTTATATCGATTCTCATCGACTGTGTTGGCTTTAAATCAAGTGGTCTTTGATTATATCTTTGGCTAAGACATAGCTTTGTATATATCTCATGAGGGGGTTGTAGTGCTCAAGCAATGGCCAGCGTGTGTATTGACAGACGAATTCTTTCCTTGCGACGACCCAGCGGCGCGGACAGCCGAGTTGGAGTATCTCACGACTGCGCTGCGCCACGTGTATGCAAGGAAAGCGCGGCTCGCAGAGGTACCTGGGCATTTATATATATATATATATTTGGCTAGGAAGTTGTAGCCTCGTTTGAGTGTATATCTTACTGTATTTGGTGGTAGTTTCATTCAACGGTGGCGCGGCGGCGGAAGAAAGAAGCCCCGCACGACAAAACGTGTGAAGCCCGCCTGCGCAACCAAGTGGATATGATTCAAGTGCTGGACGACTTTCACAGCGGCAACTCGACCGTCGAAGTCGCAGACGTTTACAAACTGGTAAAAATTGTCGTTTTACCCCGTTATTTGTGCGGATTCTTTGCCAAATCTATTGATTTTCGTTATCTGGACGGTTGTAAAGATCGTCACACTAATTTCTGTCACACACACACTATTTCGATGTTGCATTGGTCGAATGTGAGTGGATGATTGGCTACTTGATTCGAGTTGTGATTTTTGATTGGTCGTATGTATCGATTGTCGATTTGGTTTGTCGTAGTCGATGGACCACTCCTCCGACTCGAATGTACAGAATCGACTGCTTGACAATATTGGTTGTCGATATATAGTTGAGAGATTGGGTTTTGATATATATATAGTTGAGAGATTGGGTTTTGATATATATATATGAGATTGGGTTTTGATATATATATATATATATGGGTAGATATTTGACGACAAGGCCCCACACGACGATGGCTCGGTGGACGTGAATGCCGTGACAACTATCTGCGAATGGGCTGTGACGATTCATCGGTCGCAAGAGTACAAGTATATTACAGCGGCGTATATATTAGAAATGCGAAACGACGCAATCCTCGAGCAAAGGTACTTGTCCCTACTACTCCTAGTAGTAGTCCTAGTAGTACTAGTCCACGTTGAAAACTCGACGAGGCCAAGTGTGGATCTGTGACATGGTTTGGCTGAATATCATTGGTTTGTGTTTGGGGCGTAGAAGCACCACCACTTCGTCACAGCAGCAGCACCAAGCGACTCTGCAGGACACGTTGGTGTGGTTTCTAAAATCGTATGAACCGCAGCATGCGGTCGAGTTGACGGCGGTGCTCGAGCTGTTTTCTCTCTTGATTCGGCGTCGGCTGTTTGTGTTGGAGTCGTTTATCGAGAGTGTGGCCAATGGTCTCTCTGTTCCGCCTAGTAGCACCAGCACCAGCAACTCATCGTCGTCACCGTCGGCAGTGCTCTGCCAGCCCAAGTTTCAGTTTGAATTCGGCCCCACCAAAGGCGGGTTCAACGTGGATCGGTTGAGGGAACTAACGCTACCCGACCGATTGCGGCTGTACTTGTGGCAACTCCCCCGCGGCGACACCCCGCTCTCGACTCATGTGCCGATGGAGCTGACAGTCGACAACGACGAGTACATGGTTGCCACGTGGATGGAGCTGGTGCACGTAACACGCAACGAACTCAAGCGCAGTCGCGCGCTGGAGCGAGTGATGATTTTGACCCATCAAGTGTTTCAGCCGTCGAGTACTAGTCCGTCGAGTTGTAGTACTACAAGTGGGGCTGCGATGGCCGACACTACTACAGACCCTGGCGACAACAACGTCGAGCTAGATCAAATGGCCAAGATCTTTGAGCTGTATTCGCTCTTGAAAAAGCTCTCTGGACACGACAAGGGGCGGTACGCGGCGTGGCTGTTGCGGCAAGTGTACGACCAAACCACCCAATTGTCCGATGTGCCCCCGTTTTTCATCTTGAACGATCTCAACACGGTCGAACATGTGCTCCGGCTCACGTGGCTACTACTCGAATTGACGGATGTGTTGAGTTTGCTGCAGCTGCTCATCCACTGCCTTCGCCACGCCCCCGTGTACGTCATCAAGTCGGTGGTGCTGCCCATCTTAGATCGGCACCACGCCACGTTTTACGCCTGCCATGACATTTTATCCCTGATACAAGCGTTTGAATACCGATGTATGGCATTTCGAGCGGCGGGACTCGACCCAGACGACTCGTACCAGACCATCGCGCTGTTCATTTGCCGCATCTACCAGCGCCATTCCAAAGCTCTGGACAAGGCGCTTCAGTCGCTCCAGCTGCACAGCCCCCCCGAAGTGCTTACCAAGGCATTTTTCACACTGCTCAAGGACGACCTGAAGGCATCGAAAGACACGAAAGATGGGATTACGAGCTTGGAAGGGGTCAACCAAAAGTTTGCGTTTCCCAAGGACAAGGATACGATGGCGCCAGACATGCAGGAGCTCATGGCGCGCGTGTTCGCAGCGCTCCAACGACCACGTGATGCGGCGGCCACGGTGCCGTTCACACATGTCATGGGCACAGTGGACAAGCATGACGTGGCATGCCGAGATGCGGGCGTGGACCAAGCCGTGCAGGCCATCTTGCGGCACGGCCAGCTCACGTCGCAGCAGCGTATCTTTATGTTTCGCGTGCTGTTGACAGACGTGATGGACAAGTGGATGGCGATGCTGCACGTGGCCACGTCCAAAGCTGCTGCAAATGGAGCGCAAAACCACCACCAGCAGTCGATTTATGTGCAGGTGCCGCAGTACATGCATCGATGCGTGCATGTGCTTCGAGATGTGATTGATGGCCATGAGGAAGGCGAGCGCAAGCTGATGCGGGACACGCTGCTCACGTGGCTACACAAGGAAGTCATCACTGCGTTCAACGGCGTGGAGCCGACGCCGAAAGGCCAGGCGGAGAAACCCAAGCCAAAGAATGTGTTTGTCAAGTCGTCGGCTGTCGACGCAACGTCGGGCAAGGACACATTTGCTGCAAACTTGAAGGGCCATCTAGACAAGATTCAGTACGGACTCAAGCTGTTCTTGATGGCGTTGGTCGTGCACGGGATTGTCGACCTCACCCAAGTGCTGCGGTTTGTGCTCGTGCCGGGCTTCCCCAAGGTATATATATATATATTGTCGAAAAGTTGGACTCGTGCTGATTCGCCGAATATCTATCATCGATCGATTGATTTTGTTTGACTTTTGTATGGAAAGATTGTGCAGGGGGTGGTCACATTAAATTCAGTCACACACTAATTTGCTGTTGAATGGGTTTTCAAGAGTGGATTTGATTGGCTACTTGATCCTTGTGTGTGGGTTTTGATTGTTGGTCGTACATCATATATCGAGTGTCTGCCGATGTGGTGATTCTGCTCATGTTCGATTGACCACCCAACTCTCCAATTTACCGACTCGACTGCTTGATAATTTACGGGTATATATTTATATATATGGTGCTGTTGTTGGACGACCTGTTGATTTCACTGTACGACCTTGTACTAGACGATACGATATGTAGAGGGGGTAGTTGTATGAGTGAGATTTGGCGGGTGGTTATGGTGTTGATTTTGGACGACCTGCATCCGTCATTTTTGTACGACGTCTCTATAATTACGTTTTATGTGCCGTGGCCATTTAGAAAAACGCCAATGCTGCCGCCCAACGCACAGAAAATCGTACGCTGGCCAATCAAATTCTGTCCATGACGTTGGCATTCCACCTCTTGGGCGACAACCCGCCGCAGTTTGTCAAGCTTGGCCACAACCTTTTCGCCAACTTTGAGGACCCCATGGTAAGTTATTTTATTATGTGCTTCAGCTGGTCTGTCTCGCCATATATATATATATATATCCCATAGCCTCGATACATATATACTACATGTATACATCTCAACACATATACACTCACCATCATGTCAACATATATATATATATTATGCCTCGATACATATATATATACATGTAGACATCTCAACACATACACACTCGCTATACTGTCAACATATATATATATATATATATCCGTGGCATCGATACATGTATACATGTATACATACACCCACACATACCCACTCTCGATTATTATTATCCTAGCTCAAGTACTACTGGCGGTATTTGCGAAGTATGGTGCCATGCACAGTCATGTTTCCGTTTGTGTTTTTGCTCTGCCAAATGTCATATCACTGGAGCCCCGAGAACAACGCGCTGCTGCCACGTCAAGAGCGAGGGGTGCTAGCCAGCACCATGTTGTTCGACTGTACAAACGATGTGGTGGTGCGCGAGCTCATTTTCGCCGACAAGGCCGTCAAGGAGCGGCATGTGCTCAAAGAGAATGGCGACGTGTGGTTCATGACGGTCATCATGAAGCTGCTGTGTCGGCCGCTGCACTCGCCGCCCGAGGTATCGACGAACCGCGTCCATCTGCTCAAAGCCGACGAGATTTTCGCCCACATGACCAAGTGGAGTGTGCACCGGGGGGGGTGCATCTACCTCGAAGTTGAAGTCAAACGCCAACATCTCAAAGTATCCAAGCGAATCAAACCAGTCGCCCCGATTGTCCTCCAGCAGTTGTCGTCCGCTCCCAACATGCGAAACCACAGTGCCACCGCGGCGGCAGTGTCCAATGGCCTTGGCTCGATGCTCATAGACGGCGACATGCAAGACGAAAACGCTGGCAATAGTAGCATATACAGCAATAGCTACTACTACCAGACCCGCCTCGATACCATCGTCGCCACTCCGACCTCGTACACGTTTGACAAGGACGACAAGTCGAGTGCTGCCGACAAGATTGGCACCCTCGTTGTCCATCGCCTCTTTGGCCGGTGCGTGCGGCCGCAGTTCCTCGCGCCGCCGGCACTCGACAGCGCCATCGAGTCCAAGCTCGCCGCCCGCGAAGCCGCCGACGTCGGTACCGCCAACCTGTACGCGAGCATCTTGTGCAGCATCTACACATCGTCGCAGACGTCAACGGCGTCGTACGCGGTTGCCACGTCATTGATCACGGCCGCCGTGTCGCGGGCGCTGGAAGTGCTCGAGGCAGACGCCAAAACGACGTCGGACGACCAGTACCAGGACACGTTTAACGGGTCCGTCGTCGCCGTGTTCCTTCGGCGGGTGCTGAGCTCACAGGGCGCGTCCAATAATCTGTTTGTACGGTACATGCGATCAATGAAGGTGCAGTTGGCGTGGCTGCTGCAGACATGTCAAGCCGACAACCACAACAAATCGGCGGCATTCCTAGCGGCGCTTCGGCGGAAGGTTGGACTCCGCCTACAGCTCGTGAGCATCACCGCGTCCGTGTCGACGTCGCCGTGTCCGCACCGAAACGGAATTGTCAAGCTGCTGTTTTCCCTCCTTGGGACTTCCATCGTATCGCAAGGCGGTAGCGGCGGCGGCGGTGGGACCTTGTTTGAGTGGATTATCGACCTCATTCCCGTGATTCCGTCGACTGTGTTTGCCGACCATCACTACAAGGTACTAGGTCCATCATAATCATGTCAAGTATTTATACTTTGGGGGTAGGATTTGGTGGGGAAGTTGCAGTTGCCGCCGTCGCTGGCCCGCAGGGTGTACGCGGTCTTCCCCAAGTCAAACTATGGCGCTGTGCCCCTCCAATACTCCCACGGAGGTGCCAAAGTGGACCCGTGGGGGCTCCTGGAGGGGGTGCCGGACTTGCCGAGTCGGTCCGTGACCTCTACTGCCGGGGACCTCATCCCCCCCATCGCCAAACGAATGAAAACCACCCCCGTCTGATGTCGGTAATGAAAATATATCATTTTTCAACGACTTCACGGCCAAAGTAGGGGGATGGATGGATGATATTGGTGTAAGAACGAGGCAGATACACGGCCAGTCCATTATTAAGTAATATATTCAATACAACCCCATGGTATTTTTTATTTTTTTCTCACGACGGGGTGAAACTTGGCGCCAACATGCGAGCACAGGGGTTACAAATTAGCTTGCTTCACAATTCAATGGTGGTTGGAAAGCGTTGATTAACGTAATCTAGCCAATCATATCATTGAATGGGGAATTCTAGCCAATCGATGCCATTCTGTGATTGGGAGTAATATCGCAGTCGTCCATACTAGTACTACTGTAGTCGTACTATGAATAGTATCGTTATTACTATGAACAGTAACGTTATTAATAGTACAAAAGCAGTTGGTGTGTTATCATGGCACTGAGCATAATTCTGAACATAACGTTGCTCCTGTATTTGATTGATCCAACAGCAAAATTAGAATAGCAGAAAATTAACTTTGTGTTTTTCTGCGAATGTACGATAGTCAAGTTTGACGACTTGAGAGAATGACTGCTTGCATTAAATCGTTAATCGGCAGGTGGTTGCAAGCCCAATGTAATCGATTGCAAGTACTGTATAATACTTCCTCTGTTCCAGGTTACTGCCGACATTTCAAAATTCGCATGTTCCAAGTTACTGGCGACATTTGCATTTCATTCGCTCTAATTCTTCAATATCGAACATTTATGACATTTCATTGGCTTACAATTCCTTTAAGCGCCCACTAGAAACCAATCCTTTGCGAAAATTCATGCAATTCCCTTTCAAAGCGTCATTCGCCCAAATTGAGTGAGGCCTCGATTGTCTGTGAAATACATGTCGGCAGTAACCTGGAACAGAGGAAGTATATACGTTGCTGGGCCCACTTTTTGAGAGACTCTTCGTCGTCCATTGCGAGTATCACTTACTTGTCCCTACACACACACGGGGCTTATTCCAGTCCCCTAGTACAATGTACTTTTACAAACAATTGACAAGACTGTTCTTCATTTAAAGCGGCGTGGTGGGGTTGCTTTCATTGGGCGGTGGGGTTGCTTTCATTGGGCGGTGGCGGTGCCACGATCATCATGGACGAACTCGCGAGTTCCGTTTCCGCTACGACCGACGGCCGCCTAGACGTTTTGCGTGGACTGGTGGTGTTTACTGCAGGAGGCGTGGTGGTATTATTGTCGTCACTGGGCTGTCGGACGCTGATTCGCCGCCGAGATTTGGACTTGGCCAGCAGCGACTTGCGGTTGGTCTCGAGGGTCGTTGCTGCTTGGATATGGGCGGCGTGGCGTTCGCGGAGTTCGCGAAGAAGTTCCTTTGAGTGGAGAGCAACGAGGTGGGGGTCGTCCCCCTTGAAGATAGTCGGGTTGTTGTCGTCCCGAGGGTCGTTTTCATCATCGTTGGCGTCGTCGTCGTCGCCGTCTGTATTCCCCCCCTTGTCCATCGAGGTGCCTGGCACACCGACGGAGGTCGGAAGCAGCGGGGGGAACTTGACCAGTCGCGGCCGAAGCACCCCCCGCGACTGGAGCAGGCGGATGAGCGATGCCGACTGCTGCCAGTTGCCGTTGTGGGTCGCGCATTCGTGGGCGATTTTGGACAGCACCTTTTGTGTCACTTGCTCTTCGATCACCGCCAGCCGTTCCAAATGCGTTTTGCCAGTCTACGTCGTTGGGCGGTTTGAGTACCGTCGTACTATGGTTGCGCGCACACGAAGGTAGAGATTGACCCCATCGTTGCTTCAACATGAACACATAGTGTCGACTGGAAAAGAATCAACAACTATCACGGGAATCAATCTTATGCGTACCACGGTGTTATCACGAGGCGCATTTGGTTGGTTGGGGCTCGTGACCAGTGCAAACAAGTGCTCTAAGGGGTCAAATAATGACTTGGCCCTAGGTGTGGTATGTCAGTCGTTGCTGGTAAATGTCGACGTGTTACAAATTGTCGAGTTGCTTGGCTTCTGCGACCAATTTCTCCGTGTGTTCGCGGCTCTTTTTCGCTTCGTTGCGGATATCTACAAATAGTTACAACTAGTTTTCACAACACAACCACCCGATTTCGGAAGGTTTCAATATATTTCGACAGTGATATATATATATTGTACATGTCGTTCGTTACCTTGGCAATACGGATTCAACCCTTCCATCGTAGGCAAGTCGTGGCCTTGTAGTTTGATCTTCTCTGCTTCGAGTTGTTGTATCTTGACTTTCATGGCCGCATCTAAAATCATAATTTGGTAGTATCAATGCGATATCACATCACTCAACTTACTTTCACTGGCCTGGCGTTCAATATCGACACACAACGCGGCCTTGTCGGCTTCTTGGACGTGGTACTTTTCCCAAAACACATGCACATGGGGCAACTTGGACGTGTGCAATAACGTGTCGAGCAGATGCTTTTTCTGCTCCAAACTTTCCGTGCGTTTCACCAAGCACACCTTGTTTCGTGCCCGAAGCCACCTACAACCACGTCACAGATACTATCGCATGAGTCATCATGTTTCATGCCATTGAAAACATATATATATATATATTTATTGAAGGGATGGATGGTGTCGTACGAGAGGTTGCTCTTCTTCTTGTACACGTGCGTGGGGCTAGCCGCCCCTCCTCCTGATTGACGGGCCCGATCACTCGACTGCGAATGGCCTTGTTGCTTGTGGCACTCGTGCAGTTGGTCCATCAGCTGTTTCTTGGCCGCGAGGTACGTGGCTTGGTCGTCGTTGATGTCGACTTGCAGCTGGCGGATCTGGTCGGCCAGCGCGGCGTCGCGTTGTTTGATGGCGGCGATTTCTGCGTGAGTCGCCTCCACCGTCGCCGCCATGTGCGTGGCTCGTTGGTTTTCGTCGGCTTGAATGGTCAGCGCGTCCTTGCGCTCCCGTCTTGCTTCGTCTATAGCCTGAGGATCATCTTCCCGTTTAGGTTGGTTTGCGTGTCATGAATTCAAGGACCCAGCCTCTGTACCTGCTTCAACAAGGTCAATTTGCTCAAATCTTCACTCAAGTGCCCCTTTTGGCGCTCTTCGTGGGTTTGCAATGCCTTGACGTGCTTGACCAAGTCCCTAACACAACCCCTATCTCGCTGCGTCAACCACATGTCAGCCACGACCGAATGGATGTTACATAGCTACAGTATCGCATAGTATATGTGTGATACTGTCTGTACATTCGAGCCCAAGTGTGTGGATAGAATTCATCGTCATCGTGAACTGTACATGGAAGTGGAGGCGGTGGGGCACTCATGCAGCTTGATGGTATGGATCGCTGCAATTTGGGCCTTCGCCATTTGGATCTCCTGAAGGGTCGCGTCCAGTTCCTTCTTCTCCATCTCGATTTTGATCATCACCCAGTCCCCTTCTGCACGGACTTTGGCCAGTTCCGCCTGGGCCCCGGCGTGGCTTTCCATCCATTGCGTCATGCGGTCCGCCTTGGATGTCGACCGTTTCAACTCGTTTGTCAGTTTCAAGTCGGTTACAAATCCACGAAACTCCGAAACCATACTATTGATTTGGGGAGCTCGCTTAGTGTGTGCGACTTTGTCCAATTCTTTCAGTGCCCCCATTGTGGCCTTGTGAGTAGTGCTTATACAGAGACATGGCAGTGCCAAATGTCCACAACGGGTTCACAAGAGTCGAGTACGACCAGCACGTTCGCCACCTCGTCCACCGCCGCATCAATCCGCACTCTCTTTACGACGAAGTCACGTTGATCGATGAACTGACGTTGTATGATATGTTTCGACAGCCGCGACCTCTGGCCACCACGCCCCTCACCGTCCCCCCCACACTCCTCCAATCAGAGATGCAATGCCCCGTGTGTCTTGGTACGCCCTTTCGTGGCATCTTGGCTAGTGTGTCTAGTAGGAATAGAAGTACCTTTCTATGTTTCTCATAAGTACTCGACATTTCGTAGGCATCGTTCGGAACGCGACGGTGATCAAGTCTTGTTTGCATCGATTCTGCGACAAGTGTTTGAACGAATGCCTCCGGAGCGGCATCAAGGAATGCCCGAGCTGTCGCGCGGTAATTGGCCCCAAGCGCTCGTCATTGCGCCGCGATGAAACCTTTGACAAACTCGTGGCGACGATATACCCCGACTTGGAGCGCTACGAAGCGGCAGAAGACGAGCGCATTGCCTCAGCTAACACGCCAAAGCGACTGCACCACGACGACAACCCCATGTCGCCGTCGGGAAAGCGAGCCAAAGCCACAGCTCAAGTGGGGGTACGTGCCATCCATCTACTCTCCTTCCACGTGATAGTAGTATGAATGTATCAACGGGTACGATCCAGTCGGCAGAACCAACGACCAGAAGGACGTCGCCACGCGAACGCTGCCGCCTCGCCAACCTTTCCACCAGAGATTGAGTGGCATACATGACCAGAAGTAACCATCCGGCAAGGCCAGGCCTATAACGTTATAATCAAGCAGTGCCACGTCCAACAGGTTGGGCATGTTGCGGTGAAGATGGTCGTGAGCTGGCGCCGTTCCAGTAACGCTGCGGCGTTAACGTATACTAGTACTTGAAGTATTAATACTACACTATTTTGCAGTGAAGTCGGACGAATGCCCGATATACTTGGCCGTGCGCCCGATATGTTTATGCCCCGATAGAATTAGCCATGTGCCCATTTAATTTCGCACGCCGAGGTCGTGTGCCCGATATATTTCGCGATGTGCCCGCTATACTATTTAGTCGTGTGGGGAGAAATTGGCCATCTGCCCGATGAAGTGTATCGTGTACGCGATGAAAATGGAATAACTGAAATAATTAGTAGTATTTTTTATGGAGTGCAAATCAGTTTTGGTGGAAACAAATTTTGGTAAGTTTTGTTAAGTTCAAGGGAAACTCGCGAAGGCAAGAATTCGAAATTTATACTTGAATAAAGTATAGTTTGAGTTCATAATGCGCGCGTTTTCCTCCAACATTTTGAATGCTCATTATTCAAATCGCCAAGGCGCGCACCCCCCATGAACTCTGGTTATGATGTCAATGAAATACTAGGTAACCAACCACCTCTATAGTCACGAGGCCAACGCATATCTCTCTCCGCAAACCAACGAGTCGTCGCAGCGTTCAGAAACGACGACGACTGGAAATCCGTGGCGTTCGCCAACGGGATAAAGTAAAGCATTGGTCGAAATTGGCTATGTGGGGGCCGATGCTAACCGTTTGAATCGATACGCGCTACGCCTCGAATACTGTTACGGATGAGCGGAGATCATGGACGACATGAAAGTTTGTATGTGATGCTAAAACGAGGATGTTGCATGTTTCATTTCGACTGGATTTTTTATGTGAGTTCAATTTTTAGTTGGAGTTATTTCATTGTCATCGGGGCAGACGACCACAATTTCTTGGGCACACGGCTAATTATGTCGGGCACATTGCCAAATATATCGGGCATATGACCTCTATGTGCCAAATTAAACGGCCTCATGGCTAACTAAATCGGGGCGCACCACTAAATATATCAGGCGCATGGCCAAATACATGGGGCAGTCGTCCAACTTACTGTTAACTGCAAAATGGTGTATTATTAATAATAGTACTACAGTATTATACTACGTAAGAGTAATCAAAAATCTCCGGATAATATGCCGAGATTCATTCGGATAATTTTGCGCTGTTTTGATTGGCTTTTCCTTAAGCGGAAATCACGACGAGAATGCCTCGAACAGACCTGCCAACGCGACCTCGACGGGTCGAATCATGCGAGCTGTGCGGCCGCAAGGATGGCGAGAAGAAGGTAAGGAACAGATGTCAGTGGTGACGTTGCGTGTTGATATATATGTATGTGTGAATGAAGGTATGGAGGAAGATCTTGTGGGAAGAGCAACCGTATGACGATTGCTACGTGGACTCGTCCTTTCTTGAACAATTGAGAACCAATGGTAACAACCCATTCACAGAGTCGGTTGTCACCTGCTTTTCACATGACATTGGGGTGATGTAGAGAACGTGCGGGAGTACGACTACTGGGGCATGTCCAAAGCGTCCGCGGCCATCACGCAGCAGTTGAGTCTCGTGTTCATCTTCTTTGTTCGTCATGGTTCCATCAAACTACGAACACGACACCCTGATAGGTATGCATGTAGGCCATCTTTGTCAATTCCAGGGAACACGTGTGGTCGTGGCAACTGCTGGCAGGGATCGACATCGTGGTGGCCGTCAGTGGGTACTTTGTCATGTTTTACTGCGCCCAGTCCGAGCTTGGTGCGTCCATCATGTCACTTCATTGCAAGTTCGTCATGTCTGGGATGTGTAGACATGTGGCAAGGAGTGAAGGAAGGTATGCTCTTCTCTGCGACCTTGTCGATCCTGTCCCCCGTGCTGAGGACCTTGACCGAGTCGTACGCTGTCGACACCATCTGGGCGCTGTCAGTGGCGCTGACAGGCATCCATCTCATTACCCACGACTACACGTACATCAATGGCACCACTTACAAGTACGTACTAGTGCCATGCCCCACATGTACTTCTCGGTACATGTCCGCCATCACCACTTGTCGTGGTCGGTACCAGGAGTACCTTTAGGTTCTTGAATGAGTACTTTATGAGTGTTGAATGGGTACTTTATGAGTGTTGAATGAGTACTTTATGAGTGTTGAATGAGTACTTTATGAGTGTTGAATGAGTACTTTATATGAGTGTTGAATGAGTACTATTGGAACATTTTTGAGCAGTACGCAATGTCGCGAACATGATGCAGGTATGCGGGGACGATTTCGCTCAACGCGGCGATCTTCACGTCGGTGCTGCTGGCGTCGCTGTTGCACTCGAACGAGCAAGTGTTTTCGTTTGTGTTGTTTGCCATCGAAGTGTTTGCCGTGAGTCCTATCGCCCAGCACAACATCAAGGTGCAGACACCGCTGCGTGCAAGATACGGATGATGGAGCGACTGATCTTTCCTCGATAGAAAACGTCCGAGCACCTCCACGTAGCGTTGGCCTTGCTTCTCTTCTGTGTGGCACTTGCCCTCATGTGGCCCATCTCACCGTCTATCTCGGTGGTTGTATTCGTCGCCGTCGGCTTCATCACGTTTGTCTGTCCGCTTTGGCTCATGCACGCCCAGGAATACAAAAAGTACGGATGTCTCCATCACGTCGATGAATCTCTCACATGCATCGTAGTGAGATTCAAGGACCTTGGGACATTGCCAAGGTGGAGCCCCAGCAGTAATGTCGCTAACAACGCACATTCGCGTCCTTCACTTCCTTCGAGACACCTTCCTTTGCGCCACTGCCCTCGTCGTGATTCCCATGTACACACATACATGTCATGTTCTCCATGCTGGATAAGTCATATCTCCACCGTCACGCCTGTGCACTGTACATGGCAGCAACAGCTTGAAGTGGCACTTGAAGTAGCCGTTACAGTATTCATTCTATGCCAAATCGCAATCGCATACAAACATCAAGACAACACGAAAATCACCATCGAACCCCGTTTCTATATTTTTATAATGTTTCATAGGGATTGCTGTATATATTAATTTATTAGGTGGCTGCATATGTATTATTATTCCGTCGACTTTAATATCACTTGGTTCGAGTATGGACTCGGTTCGATTTTTCCCTGAAGTACGGCACTGAGAATTCGATTGGCCGGTTCGAAAATTCGCTGCAATGCGATACAAACTCCAAGTCACTTTTGTGGGTGATTTGATTTTCTTGTTCTCGGCACAACCATCACACATATGAAGGCCATGTAGTACGCGTTAGTCGACACCTTCTTGTTAACGTTATGGATACATGTAACTACACTATAAAGACAAACGTACTGCCACGAAACCAGGGGGGGGCTGTATAGAAGGCAATGGAACTTGCGCGTCAATGTTTGTCTACTTGGTTCTTGGCGGCATGGGGGTTTCACAAAACGAACCAATCATCGTGCGTGTTGAGGTCTCTGCAGCCAATCAGCGACGACGAGACGGTTGAAACATTCCATAGAAATATGGAACGGGCCCAAGTCTGCGTTTTTCTAATTTGTGCCTTGTGAAACGACCAAATGCCATGACCGACCACATCATTCTCCTTCCTGTCACGACGCCATATTCAATCCCGCCACGTCGAGCAGAGGCGACCATCCTTCCTTGCATGATGCAACCCAGTACCTCGTACAACGTGATGGGCAAGATGACGGATGGCCCTTCGTCGACTGCACCGTCGTTGAAGATCACAGCACCGTCAACTCCGTCCTTGCTAGCCTTCGCCAAGTTCAAAGAACGAGAAGCCATGGGGTCGCCCACATCCCCTGGCATGTCCTCCATGACTCTCCCCGCCCGAAAAGAGCTCGCGGAAGCCGCGGCATTCCGTGCGTCGTCGTTCCATGACGATTCGTCCAGCCCCGACGACGAAGATGCCGGCAACGACGACGATAGCGACGACTCGGACATGCCGCGCGACTGCAAAGCGAACACGGGACGATGGACGGACGCGGAGCACAAATTATTCCTGAAGGGACTCGAATGCTTTCCCTACCGAGCGTGGAAGAAGATTGCAACGCTGATCAAAACGCGAAGTGTCGTGCAGATTCGCACGCATGCACAGAAGTACTACCAGAAGCTTGCCAAGGAAGAGGCCAAGGGCAAGGACCGAAGCAGTGTCACCGGCCATATCACCGCCGACGCTGCCAATCACTTCATGCACAGCAATGCCGCCGTGGCGTCGTCAGCATTCGCATCGTCGTCCACCGATAGCACGGACCACTGTGCGAACACCCGACAAAAGGGCGCTTTGAACAGCATGAAGAAACGCAAGTTTAGCTTCGACGAAGGCCATTACACAACGCCTGCGGCGTCCCGACTGTCCAAGCGCAAGGACGTGACGTTGCCACCTCTTGGGTTTGCATCTGTCGACACATCCAAATTGGTGGACAACAACTTGATGCGACCAACCGTGGCCGCCACTGCCGCGATCGAGTTTGAAAAGCCATCTAGCCGAATTAGCACACGGCAACACGCGATGATGCCGCTGTCGTCGGTCACACGGCGGCAAGCGATGTCTGCGTTTGACGTGCCCACGATGATCCTGGACTACCCTGCATCGGTAGACGACAAGCCTTTGGATGAATACGACATCATCGACGAGAGCTTATCTCGCATGACCCCCGTGAATGACGAAGACATGCTGCATCTCACTGACGAGGATTGGTTTTCGTCGTCGTCCGAGAACGATCGCGATGCCGGCAACAAGAATAGCTTGGACGACTCGTGTTCGCCGCTGTCGTCGCCATCCCATCAGTATCAAATGCTATCGCTCAAGAAGTCGCACAACGCATTCCTGTACTGCGACACATCGAACCATCCCACCGACGCCACGACCCCGTTCGACCTGCTCGAGCCCGAGACCGACCCATACTCGATCTTGTTCGACCACGCGGATGAGCCGCAAGCAGTATCGACGTACGTGGACGAGTTCATTTTGGACCCGCAGACGTTCCTCACGAGCTACTTTGGCAAGGAAGGGTAGTTAGTTTATGATTGCGAGTTTTGTTAAGTGCTAATTTATTAATATTTCCTTCCCCTTCAAATATTTCGAATATATATATTCGAGAGTTGTCTTTGGTCTTAGATATCTGGAGGATGTACAAGGGTGGGAAATGCGGGGACGAGGCATTCCAGGGGGATAACACCGCCTTCACCATCGCATGCGAAGAGCTTGATGGGAATGTCGACAGGAGGGGCTGAGTCGTCATCATGCGGATGTGATGGGACTTCCGGGGAACGAGTTGGAGTGAGTGACAGGAGCAGGTCAAGCGACGGCATGACGTCGGACATGCGAAACACGACGGCGTGGAACAGCGGCGGGTCGGACTTCTTCCCTGGAGCATGCACAGCATAAGCGATGGATACGTGCGTAGCCGTGGACACTGCGGGACGACGAACGCGTCGGGGAATGAACTTGCGGTCTTTGAGGAAGCAGTACACTTCGCGACACTCCCTTGGCACGCAGACGCTGAGTTGGTCGTTGAGCTCATGCAGCGAGAGGGAGGAGGTAGATGCTGCTGATGATGAGTTGTCGGCTAAGCGAATGTCGAGGACCCCACGATGCGCCAAGCACGTAGCTTCTTCAGGGTGCAGGTGGAGATTATTGTGCTCGGAAAAGCCAGTGTTGAATAGCGCCTTCCCCCGCTGCTTTGTGACGACCGTGGTCCCGGACTCGACGATGAGGTATCCATCGGAGCGATTCTTGACGGCGTTTCCTTCGCTTCGAGCGAGGGCGTCGAAGTATGCGAGTATGGACGCCGATTTATCGGCGCCGCGGACGTTTTGCGCCATGCAATATGACGTGAAGAGGTTCAAATCAGCATTTTCATGGAACGTTACTGTATAAACGAGTAGGAATAAATAACAGATCATATATTAATAAATAGATGAATAATGGAGAGATTTTGAAAATTATCCGTTGACTACGCCTACACTGCACTGTGCCAAAAGCGGTTTGTTGTGAGCGGGTTGGAGTAAAACATACTAACGTTAGTACAACATAGTAGAAGTAGTATTTTTGGTTTTGCATATCTCCCTAAGGTATCGCATCGAATTCGCGAACACTTTTTGCGTTGTGTCATGCCTAACTTTTGACGCAACATATCTCTGGAAATCCTTGGAATTTCGTAAATTTGAAAGCATACTGTATGAGGAAAATATAAATAGAGCACTATTTTATAGTTCCTTTTTGATCGTAAAACAACTGAATACTTCAAGTATGTTGTTTGTATACTATAATAGTAGGATTATACTAGAAAGGAGCAGTCATAAACATCGGAATGAAAGTTTGTAATTTTCTATTTCTCGGACAGTGATTTTATATTGATTCCTGTATTGTGGGGAAAAAATATGCATTATTTATGTTTTATTGCAGCCCGAGAAATTGATTCTGTTCAAGAATTCGATACGTTAACTTACACTAAACCGGATACGTGAATTATGCGGATTTTTCGAGTGGACAATGATCAGGGATGGAAAAAACCTATGGTGCACGTCATCTATAAACTACCAACTTTTCACAAAAATGTCTGACTTCTATTTCATATTCATTACTCAAAATTTCAGCAAATTGAGACGTAGAATCGACAGATCTCAATGTAATGAAGAAATTCTACGTCTCAGATTCAAATTTGGTGTTGCATTGGTCCAGAAATAGATATTTAACCTAGCGGTATTTTACATGGGCGCTTGGATATTTGGCCATAGGGGTGGCCGCTTAGATGTATCTTGATTTTTGTATGTGACTCTTATCCGTATATAATATCCGGAGGCAGTTGGGACCTTTAACCTCCCACTGCAGTGATAAAACGCATGAAATCGGTATTTAACGTATTTTGTTTTTGGGTTTAACTACATTAATTGTACGTTAAATAATAAAACCTCCACTCCTCGATTTGGCCAGTTGGAAGTTTTTAGATGACGTGCACCAACCATACCATGACCACTTTGTGTTTTTGACTTTTTCTTTTATTCGATTAATTGGCCCCAAAATCAGATAACGAGGAAAGAATTAGATACTCGCATGATTTGATTATCGATACAGAGTATATCCATTGAACTTATCAAACCATCAAATACTCAGCTGAAATTGCCAGCCACAGCCATGCTTCCAAAAAACTGTTTAAATTCTTCAGACAGGGCCATGTGAATGAAATGAGTGGATGAAGTGAAAGCCACGTCAATCATTATAATGTAAGACGTCACAAAAAATAAAATCCTTCTGATTGGCTGCCGCCAAGCAAATTTAGGCGCGGAAAGTCAAACATCAAATGCAGCATCATTCATCACTTCCCATTTTGCAGCCTCATGCTAAATGTTTCCGCACTCACCGCCCGCTTGCAAGACCAAACCACCTCTGACCAGGTCTTCCTGGGCCAATGCCTCGAGGACTACTCGGAGGTAGTTGTCAACTGCGACGACGTGGCCGACTCCCTTTGCCCGATATTCGACAAAGTCCTTGCGCACTCTGGCGAAGATGGTGTGCGTGTCCTGACGAACTTCACGCGCCGTGAATTTGACGTGCTGTGGGAGGTCGTCGAGCTTCCTCTCAAAGTTCGGTGACACAATGGACGTGGTTCCGATCCAAGACGTCACCGTGAGACGGACTGTTCATGACGTTGGCCGTGCTCAAGCACTACAACTCCTGGGAAAAGCTCGCCATGAAGATGCCCAGTATGTCCGAGTTGCGCGCAAACAACGGTTGCTTTGTCAACTATCCGTACGCTCTCTATGCCACGGATGTCAAGTTCCAGTCTTCTGAGCGTCCGGCTGGTCGACTTGGTGAAGCAAAGCCATACTTCAGCGCGAAGCACAAGATGTATGGTCTAAAGATTGAAGCATCTGTGTCTCCTCAAGGACTACTGGTAGAGATGAGCGAGGCACACCGTGGAGACGTAGCCGATTTGACGATCATGCGATCATGCATGGAGCAGCACCAACAAGTGCTCAAGAAGACGGATCAAGAGCCCAACATCCATGATCATGGCGAGCAAGTGGATTCTCATCCATCGATGTGGGCTGCCCTTGTTGACAAGGGGTACTACAGAGCCATGGCTGACATCTTCACCCGAAGAAAAACCCGCCTCGTGGAATGCTCGACGCTAAAGACGTTGTGCGAAACCGCCAAGTGTCATCGGACCGAGTGATCGTTGAGAACTTCTTCGGGCGAGTTTGCAGCTTATGGAAGGTGTCCTATGTGACGTTCACGTGGAGCCCCAAGTTCTATGACAACATTCAACAACTCACGTTTGCTTTGACGAACTACCATATTTCGTTAATGCCTTTGCGCGAAGCTGACAGGCTTTGGTGTCGCTCCGTGCTAGCTCGCTACGAGTCTATGGTGAGTGCAATGGCAGCGAAACGTGCGGAGAGCCAGCGCAACTCACGACTTCGTCGTACTCAACGCCTTGAGATTCGCAGTCGATATAACCCTTTTTGTCTCAATTTGCATCTCCATAACAAAATTAATTCATGATTTTGTTTTTTCTTGGGTTTGTGGGTGTGACGTTAGTAAACGGGTATGAAACAAGATATAAACTAGTTTATACCGTTAAATGGTCCGCTAAGAGGGTTTAAAATGAATATAAAAATAACAAAAAGTTAAAAGGTGGGTATTTGATGGGTAAAAGGTATAACGTTTTGGACGCCTTTTACCGTTTACAACCCTTATTTACCCTTTAAACTGTCTACTTACCTATTTGACTTACATTTTTAACTCATTTTTTATTCCTCCTGTACGGTTAGGAAGCTCGAGGCAAATACCCGAATTGCCACCCATTTCATCAGGAACAAGAGTACTTTGGAAATTTGCCGATGTTTTCGAAATTCTCCGATGTAGTTTCAGTTAAATCACGCTTTAGAGTTTTATTCGCAACTGCTACGGCAGTGCTTATAGTACTGAGATGTCCTGTTCAATCCTGACTTTTCCAATAGAACGCTGTATCTGGTTTAGCAATCTAATGTAAATACAATAAAAGCCACAGTTCTTTTAGGAATGATTATCCTAAAAAAACTGTAGTTTTTATTGTACTTAATCCGTTTACGTCGTTGCTATTGTCCATTTACCGAAAATTTGGTCTTTTCTGCTGATTCGCCAAATCTATCGATCGATTGTTTGTACTGCCTTTTGTATGTAAAATTCAACTGGTCGAAGAGTGGATTTGATTGGCTACTTGATTAGTGATGTGGGTTTTGATTGGTCGATCGATTGTTTGCCGATTTGGTGCTGCAAATTCGATTGAGCATCCCACTCCAATTTCGAATCGACTTCACAATATTACTTTCAGTGAGATCGTACAACACTTCATGTTGTTTAAACAGCTCGCAAGGTGAGCCACCTTACGATTTCCACCAATCGTTATGAAATTGATCAAAATATATTGAAATAATCTTCATTTTTGTATGGAATATTTTAAATCCGTTGAACGCATTTTTTCATGAATTCGTAAGGCAGCCTGCCTTACCAAAGTCTGTCAAATTATATGACAGAGAAATTGTAAAAAGGATAGCTCTATGCCAATCCCCTTCTATTTTCAAATGACAGCCGAAGCAATTTCACGATCGAGGAAGGGCGTCGCAACAGGATCAGTGGTGACACCCGGACTGGTTATGCATCTGGCATCAACCAAGTAATCATATGGATCAAGCTTGTTAACAAGCTGCACCTGTTAAAGCAATCTGCGGACGGAACAGCGGGGGAATCCCTTGACCTCAGCCAATTTCAGTACCTCGACTTCCTGGATTTTCTAGTCTGGACCGTTCGAAACAAGCCAACGATAAAGCCAGGTACCCTAAGTGGGTATCGCAGCGCCATCAAGAGCTTGTACTGAGGCGACTCGTTGCTGTGCCCGTTGGATACGACTCGTTGTTGTGCCCGTTTGATTCGGTGACGACATGAAAGAAATATTCTCTGGTACTTCACTGACTATTGAATTTACTATGCATAACAATGTAGCTAATTTTCTATTTCCTTAGGCTTGCAAAAAAGATTGCGTCTTCAGGACTCGGGAAAACGACCATTTAGTTGGTCAACGTTTGAGCGACTGTGCTACGATAGCATGTTGCTTCTGATGGGGAATTCACCCATCTCTTCCTCATCGTGACATGGAACCACATGTGTCGGTCCCAATCAACAGAAACCATCAGGTAGTAGTGATGTTAGATAGTAGTGTTGTTAGTTGTACATTCCTTACGTAAATTTAGCTTCGACCACTTGTCATTGGAAGATGACGCCATCGGAGTAAAGTTTTACAAAACAAAGACAAAAAAAGGAGGTACTACACTTTGAGTAGTCTATTCAGGCACCACTGTACGTGACCCAAGACATTGCTACGAAAACCCAAGCCAACCAGCCGCCTGTATTTTCCTCGCGCTTGGACTATATTTCCTGCAACAACCAAATCGAACCAAGCAATTTATTCCCTGGTGCAAAACAAAAGGTGGATTGATGAAAATATTTAGCTCTAGATGTAATATTACTAAAATAATGTGAATAGATTTGGAAAATCGTTGGCGCGCTTACTGTGTGGGTTGGACCGACAGAGTGGCACTCGACCCATCCAGAAACGCGAGATTGGGACGCACTCTATCCGGAAGTGGATGGCCACCTTCGCATGCTCAGGAACCACTGGTGGGCCGTCCATTGTCAGTGTGTGTTTACGCTGTGGTTGGTCGCTAGGCAATGTGATGGAGCGGTACTTCCGCTACGAGGCTCTGGGGATCAGTTTTGGGGTAGCGTGGTTGCTGGGCCCGTTAATAGTGAGGAATTTGCTGTACTACCCCCATACTTTGCCAACAACGACGATGCCACGGTTGTGGAAATGCTCCAACTCACGTTCACCAGTGTGTGTAATCTTGGACATTTGGCGGGTGTGCTCCAAATCGCGTTGGCCAGTTGGTGTTCCATCGCGATTATTTGGTTGCGGCCTTGCCGTCAACTCATGCTTTGTTGCATACACCGTTGTATTGTTCGGCGGTTGCAAAGGAATCACTTGGTGCCAACTTAACTTGAGGAACCATTATTGGCTATTTACGCCTCACCGGAATCCCGCCCCATGTCGAAATTTACAAAAAATTGGAGAAAAATCTTGAGGGTTTACAAGTACTGCATGGCATTTACCTTACGTTGGGGTAATTTTCAACCGATTACGCCCAGGTGCCCATACATTCGGTGGTAGGATTACGAATTGATTCCTGGTTTTACTTATAAATGTATAGACGTGTATGTCTGTCGGTGAACATGTGTGTGCGTTCCAGAAGTTGGATTGGCCAAAATAACGCCTTCCTCAACTCTGATTGGTTAATATTGCATTTCGACGTTTTGATTGCCTCGAAGCAAATAATTTAATTTTGACCAATCACATAATCATCTACTTAACCAATCAGCGTTGAACCTGCTCGAATTACGTTGTATGGTGGTGGGGATTGAACGTGGGCCACCGAGAGCCTTTGTAAGGCATCTTTCCAACACGTCCTTCGTCAGGTGTGGGGCCATGGCCCCACGCTCGTCAAGTATTTTGGCCACCCCTTCCAAAACAAGGTTTAAAATTGACAAAACGGAGCCGTGGTCCGTTCGGATTTAATCAGGACTTTCACTGGAAGAAACTGAAGTACTAATTACTACACGTAATAGCCCACATCCGACTCCCTCCCCTCTTAGAAAATACCTATTTAGGTAATCCTGTTGGGGAGGTGAAGAAAGCAATTTCAACCACCGTTTCATTAAGTGGAAAGTAGGAGTGCCTCGCAATGAGGGAGTAGCTTGTCGTCAGGAAAGACACGGACACTCCCTTTCGCCAGATTGTTAGTCCGACTTGATCCCGTCTGAGATCTACCACATCCGCCCTGTGTGTACTGCGTGATTAACTGTATGACCGTTATTATGGTCACACGCACGCTGTTTCGTTCTTCTACCGAGTAGAACACGCATGGGACGTGAATGTACCTTGCTTTTCCAACACAATGCTCGAATGGCGTGTGGCGGTGATTGAGGGGAAATTTAAATCGACAGTTCATTTGATTTTACTATGCAGTGTCCGGTTTATCTTGATTTCACTGTGCGAATAATTTATTTTCCAGCATAAGTGGAAGATGAGTTTATTCCACGACGGACAGAGCGGGCAGCCGTGCGTGCTGCGTCGTCGATACCTTGCCCTCTTAATACGGTGTAAGACATGTAGCTACATGCGCATATTCCTACATCGTTGTGCGACAAACGCGCACTAAGTTTGCACCAGTCCGCTAAGTAGCGCGGAAATCCAGTGCACTCGCCGTCGACGTCGCCGCATGGCTGGCTTGCCCAATTGTTCATAAGTTCTCTTGTATTGTAGATACATCAGCTTTTGTTACATGTGCATACCTACAGTCGCTCGGTAGCGCGGAATCCCGGTGCAATCGCCGCCAGCAACGCCGCGGCATGGGCGATTTCCAATTTGACATCGAAATTCGAGCAGGCTCAACGCTGATTGGTTAAGTAGATAATTATGTGATTGGTCAAAATTAAATTATTTGCTTCGATGCAATCAAAACGTCGAAATGCAATACTAACGAATCAGAGTTGAGGAAGGCGTTATTTTGGCCAATCCAATTGCTGGAACGCACACAAATGCTGACCGACAGGCATACACGTCTGTACATTTACACGTAAAACCAGGAATCAATTCGTAATCCTACCACCGAATGTATGGGCACCTGGGCGTAATCGGTTGAAAATTACCCCAACGTAAGGTAAATGCCATGCAGTACTTGTAAACCCTCAAGTCCCGATCGGATTTAATCAGGACTTTCACTGGAAGAAACTGAAGTACTAATTAGTACACGTAATAGCCCACATCCGACTCCC